ACACACACACACACACACACACACACACACACACACACACACACACACACACACACACACACACACACACAGCACCGCATCAGAGGAACAGAGGAAGAAAAGAGAGGCGTCGTGCGGAAAGACTCACACTCCTGCTTCATGAAGAAAGCCCAAAACTCCCTCTCGCGGCCCCGCACCAAAAACTCGGGCACGCCCGGCAGCGCAAACAAGGTCAAGTGCCAGCACCAAACGCCCTGCTTGCGGAACTGGCGCGTCGCGTTCTCCTGCGTCAGAAACGACGACTCCTCCAGCCCGAGGCCGGAGAGCAGCATTTCGCAGAAGGAGAGCTTGGTGACGCGGTCGCGGTACGCGGCGGCTAGGGCGTAGGCGTACTCGGCGCCGCGGTCCTCGCCGTGCACGAAGAAATGCTCGTGGCCGAGCTGCGTCACTGTTTGGTTGGGGGTGGTTAGTGGGATTGCAAGGCTGGAGGCGGAAGGGGAGGAGTGGGGAGTGGGGAGTGCCAAGAGGCAGTGATGTGCAGTGGTGCGGGGAGTGGGGAAAGGTAGGTAGATGTGTATGCCTGTCTAGGTCAGGACTGTCGGCGTCGACAGAGCGGGCAGATATGTCCCTGACGAGAGAGACAGCCAACATGTTTCGATCAAGGACAGAAACAAGGTCTAGTAGCTACAAATAAAGCACGAGGCGAACACTCACTGAGATCCGCAATGTCATCAGCATTGGTGCGGCAATCGTACCCTTCGGCGGCAGGTGGTTTGTCGGTGAAGCCAAAGCCGCGCAGGTCCGGCGCGACCACGCTGAAGTGCGGCGTCAACAGCGGGAACAGCTTGTGCCAGTAGAAGCTGTTCTTGGGCGTGCCGTGCAGCAGCACGATGGCGGGGCCGCTGCCGCCGACAATGACATGCATGCGAATGCCGTTGACGCGGAGGCGGTGGTGCGCCACGGGCGCGCCGGTGTGGTCGTATGTCTCTACCATCGCTGCGTCTTGGTGATGTTGAGGAAAAGAGGAAAAGAGGAACGGATTTGTTGGAGAGTGTAGCAGTTTCAATGCATGGCCGCCGAGCTGTTGCCATTTGTTTAGATTTGTATTGCTTCCTATCATGTAGATTGGTGGTGCGCCCCGCAGAGTAATTGCATCACCGGCCCAGAATAGAGCCTCGGGTGGTTTGCGAAGATCTGGGAAACGTTAAGATGTGGAGCATTTAGGGGGGGGGGGGGGGTGGAGGGCATTTCCCCTGCCAAGCTGGAACCGATCATGGCTGATGCAATGACGGGCCTTGTAGGCTAACAAACAAATATTGCGGGCGCAATGACCGTGGGAAGAACTTGGGTCTCAGGCAGTTAAAGCCCAGGTTGGGACTAGTGCTTGCTTGCGCCAAGCCTTTTACTGCCTGGCCCCTGTGAGACAAGCTTGGGATGAGAGTTGGCAAACATCTCGTAACATGCCGGTTCGTCTCTATCGTCCGATTTCTATCTCTGAACTGTGAATAACGACTAACAACGGGATCGTTTCCTCTATATGTACATCCCAAGGAGAGTTTCTTGCTTGACGCACACTCGAGGGGGTTGTCGGCGCTAGACACATGGCGCGAACAAGTATGAAGACTCCATCTAAAAGGTGAGCCATCTCCACGCCTCTGATTTTTGCGAAGGCTCCAGCCTTCAGTCAACAGTCAGAACCCAGCCTTCGTTTTTCGTCTCCCCGTTTGCGGATTTCCCACCCCATATGACAGCTGCGCCACCTCCAAAATCGGCCCAAGCATCCGCAGCAAAGTCGCCAAGTCCTTCAGGCCGCTCAAGATCGCCTTCACTTTTGGAAGCTTGCACGACATCGCAGCGCGCCCACCGATGTTCACCGGTGGCGGAACCAAAGGCCGTCCGAATCCGGTCCTTCAGGCCGGCGGCCGAGCCCTTGTCGGATGCGATCTGGAAGGTCCAAATGTCCGGCACGGTCGAGCCCGGAGCGTCTGCACCCATGAAATAGAGCATGAACTCTCTTCCTGCGCCAGTTGTGACCGGCAGAAAGCCTGCGCCCTTCCGTGGAATGGGCAAGTCGTCGGCTCTTGTCGTGGGACCTTTCGAGGACGGTGACTTTTCATGCTCCCGCGCCTCGGCCGTGCTCCCAAAGGACAGTGTTGTCCAGTGACCTGTTTTTGGCGTGACCCCTATCTCACTCTTTCCGCTGGCGTCATTGGCGATGTCACGAGAGACCTCCAAGTATGACATCTTGCCGAAGCCATCCCCCACCCTCCAGAGGCGACTCTCGGTGCAGTAAATTCGACCATCCCCAGCCACATCCTCAATTCCTGGCTCTGGAAGGGTCGGCCACTTGCTCCAGGCTCTAGATGTGACATCGAACGCCCAAGTATCGCGAAGGAGGGTCCCGGCATTGTTATAGCCACCATGCAGAAAAAGTGTACCATACGCCTCGGATGTGGTGGCGATGTTGCCCTCGGGCCGGGGGTGCGGTGAGCTGGTCATGCTCGCATATGTTCTCGGCTCCGGAACACCTGAGGTACACATAGACAGTTGCGGAATAAGCGTGATCCATTTGTTGTCGACAGTGGAGTACACATGAACAGTGCCTTGCTCATCGATGAGCGAAGTCTGTCCATTGTCGCCCGGTGACTTTGCTGAACGCCCGCCAAAGATGAAAATGTTGGAGTCGATTGTGGTTGATGCGTGGGCTGCACGAGCGACAGGAACAAGATTGGATGACGAGGATCCTGCGGACGTTGCGGAGGTGTTATCTTTGTATGGAGCCAGTGGTCTCTCCGGGGCGGGCGCTGCGTCAACGAGTTGATAGTCGGTGTCGCTCAGTTCAAGATCCGAAGGCAGAGTGAGGATGTGCATAGCATTGTCGGCGGATCCATTTTCCGTATCTCCGCCGAAGATGTACGCTCGACCTCTGTGGTAATTCAAAGAATGCGAGCTGCGCCCCAGTGCCTGGCTTGGCGATTTGATCTTGTTGAAGCGAACGACAACGGGAACGGTTGATTTAGCTACTGCTACGGCACCGACAGCAGCGCCTTCGACGGCAGTCTCGACAGTGTAGAAAGCGGCTGCTGCTTCAGCCATGGTCAATGAAGGGTGCAAGATGCTGAACGATGATGAGATGGTGTAGACGACAACGCTGAAGTCTTGTTCGCGTGCGCGTTGACGGAAAGGAGAGGCGCGTCATGTGTCGTCATAGGTCCAGCAGCATTGGTGGAGTGCCTGAAAAAGGCGTCAAATGTCCCCACTGCGTTTTGTATTCCAACATCTCAAAAATCATTCATTCATTCATCTCTATCGTTACAAAACGCAATTCGTGTCGCGGTGCTTCAGCCTGTTCTATAGAAATCCCAACATTATTTTCCGAGACCATCAATCGATCATCAAACGCGTAACATGACATTAGGCGCTGAAAAGCCCTACCGCGTATACCCCGCATTCCTAGAGCCCTGGCCAACGCCTCCCTGCCACCCCCTTATCCTCACCACCACAAGGCACCCCAGCCGAGACCGAGCAAACTGCTCACGACCAGCATAGTTGCCTCGACCTCGCCCCTGCCCCGTGCTGACCCTCCGCTACCACCTCCACTAACTGCGCCTCCAGTGGTTCCGCCTCCAGTGACTCCGATCCCGCCATCATCTGAGCTTGCGGTCGCAGTGACAGTACTCACTTCCAGCGACGTCCTGCTGACGGTGGGCGTAAGCGTGTTGTTCCACGTTGCCGGCCCCGTAGAGTTACTGACGAGTCCTCCACTACCTGACGGCACTATCGTCGTTATGTTTTGGGACATTGGTGTGGTTGTTGTTTCTGCCGTGCTTGAGGTCGTCGCGTTCGTCAGCGTCGGGGCCAGCGTGGCATCTACCGCCACTGATGCTGCAGCATCATACGTCCCGGTTGCATCCGAGGACAACGGAGCAGAGCTTTGCGACTCTTGAGCGACACAGACGATGCGCCAGGATCCGATGATGACGGGATCGGGCGAGGGATTGCGGAAGTAGCAGGTGTTGGGTATGATGCCGAGGCCGAGATTGTCGGAGCAGGACGGGGAAGAGAAGGTTCGCACTGTTTGGTGGCATTATTGTCAGCAGACCGCGTCACATCTAGCCTGAATGGCTTGCGTGGAGGGAACGTGGCTTACCTGTGCAGCCCTCGTCTAGGGTCTCAACCCATATCGCCGTAGTTCCCTCTGGTGCCGTCTTGCAGTCTTGATCCTCCGAGCCGGCCGCGTCGGAATTGTACACCGACAGTGATGTTCCCGGTTCGCAATTGGTTGATGGGAAAGTCTGGACGTTGGAGGCTGAGAGTGCGTGATGAACGAGTAGAGCAACGAGCGCGACCATCGGCCGTGAGCTCCGTAAAGGCGACGACGACATGGCAGAGTGATTCTCTGGAATTTTTGGATATTAGCGAGAGTGAAAAGGCTGAGATAGTCACGCGAAGAATTGGGAGTCGAGGATGTAGCTACAACGCCTAGGACGATCTGCAGAGCAGACCTCTCTATATCGTGCGAGACCCGCGTGCCACGCGGTGGGCGGTGGGCGGGAAAAAGCCACTGTCGACTTCTGGAATGTGGCCCTTTTCACCCCTGGCAGTCTTGTACATTGCCGGGCGCGGACCGTACGTGACATTCAAGCGCTCCGCGAAGGCTAAGTGCCCTTGCATCATGCTCTCTAGCTCTAACATACTCGCCAGTGGTCTGCCAAAAGCCAATTCGGTACCAGAGCACCGCTTGACTTACAAACTGGTGGATTCTGCCTTGAAGACTCCTCATTTAGTCGAGCCGAGATCATGCTGCTATTTGCCCTGGCTATAGTCCGTACTGCCGTCCAGCGTCACCGATGCGACATCAAGTTCATCGAGTTCATAGGAGCTGTCCAGGCACACCGTTGGAAAGTGGCCATTGGATGACTGCCATGGAAACGTGCACCCTTTCCTGGCCTAGCCTCGCAGATACGACGTATCTGGATGTGCGAAGACCAGCGCAGCCAATCAGCGGCCGGAAAGCTGAGCGCCTCGTGTGTAACTAAGCGAAGGCAGAAGCATTTCCACTGTTTCTGGGTGTTGTTGGAAGCAGAGACAACAGACTCTCTCGCTGCGTGATGTGTATAAATGGGCACTATGTCCAAGGCACACACAATTCGTCCTATGTTCGGCGTCTCGTTTTAGCATCTCTTTCCCGTCATCATACTAGCTACAAGCCCGAGCTGACGATGAAGATCATCATAATCGGCGCCGGTATAGGCGGCCTGTCAACCTACCTGGCCCTCCGAAAGCACCTACCATCAAACGAACGGCACGAAATATCCATCTACGAAGCTCACGACGTCGAACATTACCTCGACCTCCACGGCGGTAACAAGGGTACCACTGAAGCGTCAGAACTGCCTGGAGCGACAGACGACGAGCCCACTTTTACTCCGGAAGCCATAGCAGGAGCTATCGGCATCGCCAGAAACGGCTTGGAGGTGCTCTTGCGCCTCGACGAGGACCAGCACAGTGAGTCTAGCATCATTACCCAGATGCTGACCAAGGGTCATCCTGCTAGTAAGTGGAAGTTGGGGAGCGCGAGAGGGTGGCAGTTGGCGGAAGCGCGGATGGCGTCGCCGGCAAGCACCGAGGGAGGCATTACGTCGATCATGATCTCCCGACAAGAAATGTGGAAGATCTTGCTCAGGGCGGTGGTGCAGGTTGGAGGAGAGGGAGCGATTCGTCGGGCGCAGGTCAAGAAAGTGGTACTGCCCAAGCACGGACAGGCAGCCCGGCCGAAGGTGGTGTTTGAGGACGAATTTCCAGAGGAGAAAGCAGACTTTGTCGTCGGGGCTGACGGATTGCGGAGCGTGGTCAGAGCCGCCATGTTCCCAAAACCCGACCCAGCAGAGGAAGTGCAAACACCATGGTCATGGTCTAGATGGCTGCTCTCGTGGTTTCACTCCACACCAATGCCAACCGACTACATCTCACCGCGCTATGAAGGGCTCGTGGGCGTCGCCGGCTTTGTGCCTTCATCTGTACTCACCTCAGCCGGCCAGGAGCGCGGAAGCATGTCAATCACGTTCGGGCCCAACGGCTTCTTTGGCTGTGGCTTCTTTAGCACCGCTCCCTCGTCTCTCGCGTCGCCACTGACACTGTCGACCGCGGAGTCGGCGCCCGAGCCAGGATCCACGGCTGGGTGGTGGTCCACGTTTGCGGCCGACGACCCATGGCCGTATCACACGCGAAATGATCATGGTTCGCGACCCAAACCGCAGCAGGACTTTGATCGAGACACGGCGCTGAAAGATTTGCTTGCACGTCACAAACACTGGAAGGATCCTTCGGTCCAAGCCATTCTCCGATACGCCAAAGACAACACTGAGAAATGTCTGCAAGGCGTGTGGCCCACATGGACAACGCCACCATTGCCAACGTGGACGAAGGGCAATGTGGTGCTCATGGGAGATGCCGCTCACGCACTGCAGCCCAGCAGCGGACAGGGAGCCTGCCAGGCTTTGGAGGACGCCGAAACCCTCGCCAGATTTCTGGGGCACTTCTGCGCTCGCAAGGAAGGCGGTGGCAATGATGAGTACATACGGCGGGCGTTGACAAAGTACGAGCAGCTACGAATGCCACGGGTTGCCGAGATCTACATGCGGAGTCAGAGGATGGGAAAGATGAAGAAAGACATGGGCTTCGTCAGCGAGATGCTGACATACGCGGTCATCAAGGTGATGGGCATGATGCACAGTAGCGCGAACGAGAGGCTGGTGGCGTATGATCTGCCGGCTGAGGTGGACCAGGCATTGAACGGCCGCTAAGCAGGCACATATGAGCCCGCGGCTCAAGCAGGGAGGAAAGAGGGATAAAGTTGGCTTTCTGGACAGATTCTGTCCGGGATAGCTGATGGACAGGCGTGCTGCGGTGCTTGGACTCTTCGTATCGCGACCGCGTTTCTTCCACGAACGCCACTCAAATCTGTACCCTGAAACCGACAGCAGTCAGTCTCGCAACTCTCTTGCGGCTTGCAAAAGTCCGGTCAACGATCTCGCAGATGTAGCGTGATCGCACAGCCGTCAGTCCGGGGTTGCCCTTTGGAGGGGAAATCCCCTCCCGTGTGCAAGCCTGAATATTGTTTTACGGCATGACGTCAAAAACAGTTCGAGTCGTATTTGAAGGCGTCGACGATCGTGGATGATTCTCCCACCAATGCTTCCATATGGCTCGTATTCAATTCCGGATGCATATCCTGCGCTGCCCGGGCCATCCCTTTTGGAGCAATTGCCGGGGTCGGCACTCATACTTTCAAAACTTGATGCGCTCGGGTTGTTGTGTAGCGGTGATGAGGGAGCCAATTGTCATTACCGGAGCAAGGACTGCTCCCGCAGGTGTTCGTTTCGTGGCGCATCGATCTCGATCTACTATCGACTTCGACTGCAGGCATAGTCCAAAATTGCATGCCATGACATGGTCGACTTGGATCTGCGGGGAAGAATACCTTTTGATAAGCCTTGAGCTTTCGAGGCCGGCGTGAGGCAGCTGATGCGAGCGAGATACGTCAGATGTACGGCGACGGTACACACATAGCAAGATCGTGTAGGTGGCTAAAGTGCTTCTTGGATTGTCTGCGATAATCTCTGAGGAGCTATAGGATTGTATGCCAAGATGCAGCAGATGGCATCATCAGCATCTGCATCTGCATCATGCCTGCGGACGGGGTGAATTGTCTTGGAGATCCAGGCCGTCCTCTCAAGACATACATACAACTGAAGTCATGAAGTGATCAAGCGATGCTCCCTTCAATCCCAGGCCTCCAAATCCGCGTCCAAATCACCCGTCATCTTACTGGCCTCCTGGTACCCACCCATGGCATCGTTTTCACCATGGTTTTCGCTCGCTGATTGATCCAATAGAGCTTGTAGTTCCGAATTTTTGTGCGTACAACCGCCGTCGCCAGTGATGCCGTAATCGTTCCCGTCGCCGAAGTGAAGTTTGTTCCCCAGCCCATGTTCTTGTTCATCATTCATGCCATTCAACCAGGCGTCATTCATAGCGGCGTAGATCCCATTTTTGTCCTCCTGAAACATTTCCGGCTCATTTCCACCTTCCATATTGATGAGCGTGTCGAAATCATGAAGCGCCTGTTCTTCAAGGTGTCGTGCTTCCTGCTCCGCTTGGCTCTCGAGGCTCTCACTGTCGCCATCCTCAGATATCGGTAAGTCTGTAAGGGCAACTGCAGCTCCACCAGTCATCACTGAGTTCAGTGAAGAATCTGATTTGGGCGGTGTAAACTCCGTGAAGAGCTTGCGCTCCTCGGGAGAAATCGTAGAGGCAAACAATATCCTGTTTGCTGTCCAGGTCGCCTCTGGCGGCGGCGTCAGCATGGGTGGGCTTGGCTGAGAGGCTGCCATCTTCTCCTGCGGCTGCAGGCCAGGGTGTGCAGTTTTCGGGCCTCCTTGAGGCACGCTGACATCAGCTCGACGCACCGCGGCATCCAGGAACGAGAACGCAAAGTCCGCCGAGGCATACATCTCCCGCAATCGCTGCAGAGCCTGCATACAGAACTGGAATTTTCGAGCGCTGACTTGCTTGACGGCTTGATCAGGCGACTTGAGATCCAGCATATGGACGATGAGGGCGGGCAGGAGTACGCTCACGCCCGTGTTGGGCAGGTATCGGATCATATCGCTGGCGTACAAATCTTTATAGATCTCGGTGATGTCTTCCGCAGCAGAGCGCATCTTCTGGCGGGAGAGTTCCTGCAAGTCTGGGGCAACGAAAGTCGTCGGAATCGTTGGTAGAATCTGCGGACGATGAAGAGCCGAGGTCAAAGTCAGATACACACCAGTGAGTAAAGCGCGATGCAAGCTGATGACTTCGCCATCATTACTGTTGGTCCGATCCTGGGTCCCAGGGACAAAATAATGTAGGTCCTGTTCTTGTTCTTCGTACCACGTGGTGAGCATATCATCGAGACGTTTCACGTCCGTGGCGTCTGACGCTGCGGTATTGGGTCCTAGGCGGAGAGTAGTCTCTTGTGTGAGACCAAGCTTCGCTGCGCTCAGGGTGTACTGCAGATCGAATATAGGCGAGACGATCTGACAAAGCTGGCACAGCGAGATGCACATCTTTGCCAATGTGATTCGTTTCGACTCGTCCTTGACCACCGGACATCCCCCAAGCATTCTGCTCAATTCGAGGGGCATGGCCTCCGTCTCGAAGTCTTCCAATTCTAGCATAGGCAGGTCCGAGTCGCCATCGTGAATGCGCAATGGCCGTCGCATGCCCAGCGAGATCAGTCGATCGCGTGTAAAGCAGCACCACCATAGTCGTTTCCAAAGATGTCGAGTTTTTAGGTCCATGCCGGATTTGGAGGTGTCGCAGTTCATGCCAATGGTGCGGGCTAAAGAAATGGCGACACCCAGCCAATGCCAGATATCCTTAGGGTCGTCTGGAGCCTCGTACCAGTAGGTCATCAGTAGAACCGCCTGGACGAGAACGGCGCGGTCCAGCTCATAATCAAGATCGTACAGTGCCTTGCATTTGAGAAAGTACGCCCTACGGGCTGCTTTGCGAGTGTCGTAGCCTTGTGCGACTAGATACCGCATGTCGATGAAGCCTGTTCCAGCGAACATAACAGCTTGGAAAAGAAGCAAGCTGACGGTACCATTCGGGTCGTTGTTGTTGATCGCTGCAAGGAAGTCCTGCAGATTCAGGAGGGGCAAATTTGGATGCACGTACTGGACGTAGCAGCGGAGCAGTTCGTTGCGGAGACCTGGTTCCGGAAAGCTGAAAGCACCACGTCGTTCGAGGTAAGCCAGATCCTCGGTCATGATGTTTGGTCCTACCGGCCGAACGTAGGCAGGCAGATGGCTCTCGGGCCTCTGACTCTGTTGTGCGAAGTACTGTGCCATACCCGGCATTGAGGATGGTGAATTGAAGGGTGGCATGCGTGCAGTCATGCTTATGGCAGACATCCGACGATTGCGTTCGTCGTTCGTCATACGATGTCCATGAGTCTGGTCTGCAAATGTTGGTCAGTATTGATTCAAATATCAAAGCTTTGAAATTCTTACAGATCATGTGAGGACGGTGCTGGCTCAGCGTGTCATCAAGAGGGTTCATGCTGTTAGAAGCAGGCACGCCAGCATCTAAAGACATGGAAAGGTCGTTCAGACCATCCATGTCGTCGAAGATGGGGAACAATGGAACGTCTTTTTCATCGGCCACGGATGCAGCGGGAGAGTGATGAAGAATGTCGCCATCGACATAAGATTTCCTTCGCCGCTTGCCCTCGGTGACCAAGCATTCGACCTCGTCCAGTCGGCAGTTGGTGCATGGAATGCCGCTTTCGACTACATCGCAGCGAACTTTGCGAGAGCGGCAGCAGTGGCAAGCCTTTGACGCTCTTCGTTTGACATTTCTGCCACTAGTGGAGATGCCTGCAGCGGACTGCTTCCTCTTATTGCTGGCTGGCTGAGTGGGTGGTGTCATGCTAGCAACAGCCATATTGTTCAAATCACCCAAGTTGATATGTAAGGGCACGCACAATCAGGTCAGGCGTCGGCTTGTTATAGGATGGGCTCCAACAAAACAGTGCACACTGTCGTGGACTCAAACGTAGCACCGGAAGCGAAAGGAGAGCTCGGATTGCAACGACATGACAGCGAAGGCAAGCATGTTATGGGAAAAAGGCGTGGGCCCCAACTTACCCTGGCAGCATCGGCAGGAGCACCGCGGGGATAAGGAGGACCTATGAGCATTGTGTTGTACCCCAGACTCTCCACATTAGCGCCACGCACCACAGAGTTTTGCACGGTTCGACGACAACCTCCAGGCTAGGATTTGGTGCATGGAGTAGTGGAGCTAGAATGTTGGCGTCAGTTGGACCAGGGTGTAGGACGAGGTGAATTGGCGCCCCGGATGGCCCACCATGGCAGGGTGGCACACGTGGGGAAGCACAGACTAGCTGGTACAGAACGGAATTGGGGCGCCGATTGAGACACACCCAGAGATTGGGGTTCCAGTCCGCAACTGGACGAAAAGTCTCAGAGAATAGCTGGGAATGCACAGCTTAGTTCAAACGAAGCAAGCACCGATCGGCCATGATTTCCACCAGGTCGGAGATGTGCCCGGAAGTCTTGTGCTTTGTGCTGTGCGCTCGTGCTCGTGCTCGCTTGCTTGTTACTCTTGGTGATCAGCGCTCGATGCTCTTCATCTCAAGTTTGCGAAAGGGGTCCTCAACGAGCGTCCCGGTCTCGGAATCATTCAAGGAGGAGTTCGTAAGTTTGAGGTCAGCCCAGTATCTCAGCAGGTTGGCGACGAGAGCAACCAAGCAGATCGGGGATAATCACGAAGCAGGATTGGGGAAGGTCGGATGCACCTGTGCAAGAGTGGCATGGATCTGAGGGGTTTGGCTGTCTCGAAAACGCGACGTCTGACTCGGCGTCTCGAGAGAAGCGAGGACGAAAATTTCGAGGCACGCGCAAGCTGGCACTGACCAATCGCAACGGGGACTTGATGATGGCGTGCGGGTCCCCGCGAAGTTCGTCCCCGCAAAGAACCGGGCCATCTTTCCTAAGCACGGTTAAGCGGCACCTTTCAGGGCTATGCAGGCGGGGCAACAGGCGACAGGGGTGCTTTCGAGATTGGCAACCATTCTGAAGCCCAGCTCACGCCTCACGCCTCGTCCGGCATTTGACCTGCGTCATGACGCCCGCCCGGTCTGTGGTATGCGTTTGAGTAGGTAAGTAGCTTCAGCATCGACGAGGTGACGACACGATGACATTTCAGCCCATTTCCATCCTGTTCTCGCAGTACCTTTCTGGTGTGGGGTGCTGGTCAACTCGCCGCCAAGTTTGTGGAGGGGCGGTGCTTTGGAACTCGCAGCCTGCGAGTGAGGTGGGTAAATACCAGGAGCTGTATCCACTGAGTCCGCAGCTCGTTCCAGCCGACACTTCTTGACACAAGCCCTTTGGAGTTCATCCGCGTGAGCTGTGCTGCCCGCAGGATGTCTCCGGTGGTTCACCGCTGCAACGGCGTTCAACTCCGGTCTCCGACAGGTTTTCCCCACGGGCGCAAACACGCTAGCTTGGCTCCTGGGCTCGGTTCCGGGGCTCCCTGACTCAACACTCTCTGACTCTGAGTCGCAGCCACAGTTTGTCTTCTTTCAGCCATACAGGTTCGGTACCGAGCATCGTGTCCTGTGCACGTGCTGTGTACGCTTCATACTTCTACTTTCGAGGTGATATATGTCCGAGCCACCCCGGACTTCGAGGCTGGTGATGACTATACCACCACCACAAATGCTGTCCGCGTTCAATCGGCATATGGGCCTCGCGTTGGGTTCTCAAGATCATTCTGCTCGGAAGACGCCAGCACTCCCGCGCTGCCGAACCGCACAGTATCCTCATTCGTTTGTACTGGACAGTAGGTCTAGAGCTGGGCTTGGATTTCCGGGGAGATATGCAGGTCAGTAGACGCTAGCAAGAGTCTTCCCCGTGGGCAGGACTCGCGGGGCCAGGGTCCAGGCCACGAAGCTACTCGGCCGAACTGGTCTCATTCCGGCGCTGACAGTCCTCCTATTTCGATGATTTGCTGTATCGTCTGAACCACGGTTTCTTCAAACGATCGGTACGTCAATCCTAGCTCTTTGGCTGCCGTGTGTCCGTCAAGGCTGTGAGACCGATCAATTTCTTGCTTTGCGTGTGACTCCTTTGCCCAAGCGAACTGAGCCCTGATTATGTCGGCCACTATTTGGTACGAAAAGCGTTCCGGTGCGGCGACAGTATAGCGTTTATTGCCAGCTTCTGGTCGCAGTAATGCCTCAACATGGGCTCTAGCAAGGTCTCGACCGTCAATCCAGAATGGGACCCGAGCAACAGGCAGTTCACCCTTGGCCACTTGCCAGAGCGTTGCATTACTCTCATTGAGCTGGGAGACGTCGGTCATCGGGTGGACAGGGGGACCAAAGGTCATAGGTGGGCACAGAGTGACAATGTCGAAATGCGGCTTTTGTTCTTCAACAAATTCCCATGCTGCGAGCTCTGCAAACTTTTTGGATCCCCTGTATGCAACAACAGGTGTGCTCTTGTGGTCGATAGACTCCTCATATGTTTGGGGGTTCCAATCTCTCGAAGTATATTCGAACGCCGGCGGCGCTTTTCGCTCAATGTCCACGACGGCTGCAAAGGACGAAGTTATCACGATTCGCTTCACGCTGTCGATTTTGGCTGCTGATTGCAGGAGTGTCTTGATACCGTTGATTGCAGGCAGAACCAGATCGCGCTTGTTGTCCTGGATGTCGTAGGTGAAAGGACTAGCAACGTGAATAATACCATCGACACCTTCAACTGCGCGATCTAGAGACGCAGAGGCCTCCTTGAAATCTTCAATGAGGACAATGTCGATATCGGTGGCGCGTTGTGATCGAGCTTGGCGCAGTGCATCGCCCTTTGCCTGGCTGCGTACCGCTATACGGACTCTGATACCTTCTCTCGATAGGAGATCATCGAGAACGTGTGCTCCGATGAAACCTGTGGCTCCAGTAACGAGTACATAAGAATAGTTGTAGGACTTCATGCTAAGCCAACAAAGTATTAACGTTTGGTGGCGTACAGGACAGCATGGACTTGATGGGGAGTCGTCGGCTCTAGCCCAACCTTAGCAGGTAGCACCACGAGGAAGCTAGGTCTAACGTCACAAGTCAACGGGCAAGCTCAAAAAGGCACGAAACCACTTGCTTTATCAGTAGACCATACTTGAGATTTGTAGCGTGGGGCAGATTCAGGCAGTGAATGCATGGCGGGGTAAGGCTGATACTCCTTAACCAAGTCGTTCGTTCCAGGTGCTGGTGATAGGCGTCCGGAGGTACCCGCACCGCAGATGAGATCAGCCAAGCCCTGCCAAACTGAACGACAACTGCAGCCGGTACTGATCCGCTGCTTGCAGTAAATATGACCCCAGACGCCAGCAACAATGATGACGATGGTCTTCAACGATCTCACGGTGCGCCAAAGCCACTAGACACCGACGAGGAAAAGAGAGCAGCAGAACTCATTCAAGTGAGTACACTTCTTGCGCCTGTCCGGCAGAAGCTGACGACGCGCGGCGCACCTTCCGAGGCCACAGAACACGACGTGGTTTGAATGGATTTGGCCTCGATCCCGCGACGAAATGGTATGAAACGGTGAAGGATAAACAGTTCCAGGAGGAGATCGAGGGTCCCGTCTCGTCACAACCTCAAAGAGGTGGAAACACACCCCCTTCACGGGCGAATTGGACTCATGTAATCAATGTCGCAAAACGCGCAGCAAAAGATGACCACTCGTCCTCGGAAAGTAATGATGATGCCAACGATGGCCATTACGGCCAGGAGACTGACCCTAGCAACTTGTCGCCGGAACAACGCGTGGCTCTCAAGCGTCAGCGACAGGAGGCTCGAGAGCTTAGCAAGAAGAAGGCTAAGATGATGGAGCTACAGTACTGGTTGGAATTCGTCGACAAAAAGCATCGGCATGGCAGCAATCTACGCAAATACCACGTGCATTGGCAGTCTTCAGACACAAACGAAAACTTCTTTTACTGGCTTGACCAAGGTGGTGGTAAGCACCTCGATCTCCCAGAGTGTAGCCGCGAACGGCTCGACCACCAACAAGTCAGATATTTGTCACGTGAAGAACGACTCGACTACCTCGTGGAAGTAGGTACTGACGGACTGTTGCGGTGGGCGAAGAACGGCCAAAAGGTTTGGACCAAAGATGAATGTAAGTGTGGTGTTCGGCGTGATGGTTTTCATCATCCGATCCACTGACACACGTTGTCTTGCCGCGCGAGCCTACGCGACCCTCGGCCGTATCGCTTGGAAGTGACAGGCTGGCCCATCTGCCCTATTGCACGGCCTGGTTCCCCACGGGTGGCATCAGCTCATCTCTACGTACGTGAGCCTTTGCGTACCGAGCTAATTCGTTGTGTGCCAAAATAGTATTCAAAGACAGTATACATGGAATCGTGCCAGCGACCGACCCGACGCCCGCCTTTAAGCACAACGTTAAGCCTGAATCGTCGTCGTCGTCGTCGTCGTCGTCTTCGGAATCATCCTCGGACGATGAAGATTCCAGCGATGAATCGAGCCTGTCACACGCTACTAACGCCCCAGATGAAGGAGAAAACTATATCAACGAGGACTTCCACCGTGCCAGTGGCCCCGCCAAGCTAAAATACGTCTCCGCTGGTGTCGTGTTCAACCACATGATTCGCAAATCCCTCCAGAAAGGCCATAAGTGGATCTTTGTTTGCGACACCTCCTTGCGGCTGTACATCGGGTACAAGCAAACTGGCGCGTTCCAGCACTCTTCCTTCCTGCACGGTTCACGCATCCTCGCTGCGGGTCAGATCAAGGTGAAAGACGGCCAGCTCCGCCGGCTTTCTCCTCTGTCAGGACACTATCGACCACCCGCCGCCAATTTCCGTACCTTTGTCAAATCACTGAAGTCGAGCGGCGTGGACATGTCGCACGTGAGCGTCTCGCGCAGCTACGCCGTGCTGGTGGGTCTTGAAGGATACGTGCAGTCGCGCAGAAAGGTCAAGAAGGCGGAAAAGGAGGTCGCTCATCGGAAAGACCGGATCTTCAAACCGGAAAAAGCCAAGGAAGAGGAAGAGAAGCAGCTGGACAACAGCAAGAGCGCGGCCAAAGAACGCGAGTTTCTGGAGCAGCAACAGCTCGCAGAGGCCAAGGCGCAGCGGCAGGCGAAGCTAACGAAAAGATCGAGTCGGAAGCAGAGCTTGTCGACGTGGTTGCAGCGGCTGGGGTTGAGGTCACGCGGGAGCCAAAGTGATGTCGACGACGGTGCGGGAAGGGCCACACGGCGCGAGGATCAAACGGATCATAGGACGGGTCCGGAAGACGGCATTCCGCGGCCCGACGAGCCCGTGGTGAGGAAAAGTGGGAATCCGTGATGCTGCTCTGGTAACATTGTTAGACAGCTTCTGGAGCGACGCGAAGAGTGAACATGTTTGTGTAAATCCACTATGCAAGTAAAGTGGCTGCGCGAAGCCGAAAGGCCTAAGCCGCTGATGGGGGAAGAAGAGTGGTAAACATATTGTTATACATAGTATCACCCTGACCTCGAGCCAGAAATGCAGAACCCGGACTGAGCTGGGAATGTCTCGTTTTTGATGTACACATGACCAGCCGGAAAGAAGTCTTATCCTACGAGCGGACCTGAGCATATGGCTGCGCGCACACCTTGCGCTACTACTCAGCCTTGAGGTCACGCAGCCTCAGCTTCAAGCCGTCCGCCGGCTTGATGGTGATGAAGCCGCCGATCTCGACCTCCTGGTCTGGTTCAGCGACCTCCATGCTGAAGCGCAGCACCAGCGCCGCCAAAAGGCACTTGAGCTCGAGGCGTGCAAAGCTCTGGCCTATGCAGCTGCGTGGGCCGTGCAGGAAAGTGTTGAAGGCGTGGGGACTCGTGGCGCCGCCGTCGGCAGGCGCGCGGGGGCTACTGTCGGCGAGCCAGCGAGCAGGGTTGAAGATGTGGGCATCCGGACCCCAGAGCGCGTGGCTGTGGTTGATGGCCCAGGGGCTGATGGTGGCTTGGGTGCCTTTGGGAATGGTAACGCCCCCGAGGGTAGTGGTGACGGCGGCCTGGCGGGGAGTTACTGGGACCGGGCAGAAGAGGCGTAGAGTCTCTTCGCAGACGGCTGTCAGGAATGGGGTGGTTTCGGCGTCGAAGAGAGAGGCTGTGACTTCTTCGCTGGGGATGTGGGCTAGTTGGGCCTCGCACTCGGCTCGGAGCCTATCTTGGATCTGCGGGTGCTGCGAGAGGACTAAGAGAGCCCAGGACAGGGCGGAGGCGCCGGTATCGTGGCTGGGTCGGAGAGCATAGGTCAGCACTTCAATGGCCAGGGCAGCGTTTGCATATGAGAGAAGGGTCAACATACCCTGCAGCGAGGATGGTGAGCAACTGGCCCATCAAGTAATCATCCGAGAAATCCCCTGATCTCATAATGCCTGCCATGATGTCTTTGCGGGGCTGCGCCGATGCTCCTATGTTTTCCTGTGTCATCTTCTCCTGGAGCAGCCCACGGACCTTCGCGCGCAGCTCTGACTGTGCTTCGAAGATCCTCGCAAATCCTCGGCCCATCAGAGGCCTGGTGAGGAAACGTGGGAACAAGGTATCGATGGCTAGGAAATGCGCAGGCGGATGCATAACCTCATGATAGAGCTTGGCCAGAACTGAATCCTCGTGCTCGATCGTGTTGAAGTCCATCCCTACTCCCGCAGCACCAATAATGTCGAGGCTGATCCGAGATGTTAGCCGTGTTACCTCTAATACCCCATCATCCGTTTCTGTCAGAAGGCGGGCCATCGTGTCCGTCAGGGCGGACCCTTTGGTGAGAAAGAGAGGCGCCAGATCCCGTACTTGTCGGCCAGAGAAAGCAGGTGCCAGAACTCGTCGCATGGCTTTGTGCTTGGCCCCTTCAACATTCGTGAGACCCTCGCCGAGGATCGAGCTGATGAACTTCCTGGTCATCGGCGGCTTCTCCCAGTCGTAATTTCGGGAATTCATCATTTCCATGAGTGTGTCCGGCCGGGTTGGGATGACTTCGTTAAGGAGATATAGCGGTCCCCATATGACAAGGAGCCCGTCATTTGGCGAGTCGTTGATGAAATTCTCGAAGATCTTGGTTGGTGGTTTTGAAGACCACTTGAAATGGCCGGTCAGAAGCTTTTCACCCCGTGGCGATGGTACTCGAAGCAACGGTGAGGTAAAGAATGGTATGCTAATCCAGTTCACGATGAATAACCATACGAGAGAGTGAATGGTCAGGTTAGTGGTGCGCGTGGAGCTGAACGGTTCATAGCCCAGGAAATATCGCACAGCTAGATATACCGGCTGAGCCAGCAAGAAGCTCGTATGATAGAGGTGTGCTCGCCAGTAGTGCTGCATCCTTACGAGAGCAGTAGGTAGACGTGCGTCCGAAGCATTCAGAGTCTGCACGCCTTTCAGCTCATTTTAAGTACCAGATGACTAAGTCTCAGGGACTTGCCCAGCTTGATAGCTCTGGCAGTCGGATGACCTGCATATCTGTTTACTCACACTGTAGCTACGAACAGATCGGACGATGTCGGGAAAGTTGTACACAGCCTTGTTAGTAGCACTAGTGCTCCAACCTGATGAAGTTGGGACCGGGGAGAGGTGACTCAAAACGTCAGGCAGCCGGCCCCCAATACGCGCGATTTTGCGTCATCCCTTGGTATGCCAGGAGGCCCGAAGCACGGAGATGGCATATCTGGTTGACCAGACAGCTGCCGACGTCTGCTGGCGACCTGCGCTAAATGTGGAAATCTGTCAAGATAGAAAAGACAGGAAGATTGTCACACCTACTATTCGTTCGATGATATCGCTCTGCCGTTGAGCTCACTTGACCCCACTCGGCAGCACGTCGGCTCTGCTACGTATGTCTGGCGGGGTAGCTTCAACGTCGTGGTGCTTCGACAAATCTTGTTGCTTTTAGGGTAGCATGCTACCTTGCCCGCCGCAGATGGCTGAAAAGATAGTGAGGGGAAGTCTTTCGTTCCTGGCGCGAACCTGGAGCTTTCGGGAGCAGGTCCTCTCACCATTGGTCTACGGCGGCTGTGAGCCATCATGAGAACTGCATGAAAGCCGAATGACAACTCAGAATGGTCGTCTCCCCGGACAGGAAGGTGTGTATCTGCCTCTCAAGGACGATCAGTAGGTCGCAAAGGAGGCGCAGATCGGCCATGCTGTATTGCTCAAGAGGCCAGAGACATCTTCTCCCAGCCCAAATCAAGATCTTTGTGTCAGCCATTTATCCTGCAAGCGTGCAAACATAGCTCTTCTGGCTTTGACCTTTGTGTACCTACTCATCATGCTGTCACACAACGTCGCTATTGAGTTCCTCTGGCTCTCAAGCCTCATAGCACTGGCCTGGTCACAGACAGACTCGACGTCTGGTTCTTCGGCATCAACTGCCACCATTACTGGTACCGCCGCTGCCACCAACCTTGCCACCTCCTCCGATGCGAGCTCAAGCTCAAATACCGTCACGGGAGCTGCTCCAACTGGCTCAGAGACAGCTAGCACTACAAGCAGTAGTCCGTTCAGCACTAGCATTGGATTTTCGCTTGACGGTAATAGCCTGATCCCAGCCCCGGTTGCGTACTGACCCTACAAGATTTCTGGAATATATGGGTAGGCCCGGTGGAAGTATACTCTGTCAATACTACCGTTGAAGCAACCCCAGTTCCGTCGGCAGAGCTCATACCACCGCCACCCCTCAACTACCCCAGCTTTCCAACGGGGGCGGTCAATCCGGCTTTCAGCAAGAACGAGAGTTGGAGCTTTCCCAGTGACTTCTGGTGGGGCGTGGCGAGTGCAGCGTACCAAGTTGAAGGTCCTCGGGCCAGTCTTGCCTCAAAGAACGTCCCTAACTTTCTGTAGGAGCCGCCAAGGACGAGGGACGAGGCCCGACTATTTGGGATGTCTTCACACATCGAGTGAAAGGTAGGCTTCTGGTGTCCAAATGTGGGCGGTATTGACCTGAGCAGGGTATACATTGCTGAACCAAACCGGCGACATCGCCAACAATCAGTACTACTACTACAAACAGGACATCGCAAGAATCGCGGCTCTTGGTGTCAAGGTCTACTCGTTTTCCATCGCCTGGTCACGCATTTTTCCTTTTGGCCGCGGCGAGGTGAACGAGCAAGGTCTTGCTCACTACGATGATGTTATCAACACCTGTCTCGAATATGGGATCCAGCCCATGGTGACTCTATACCATTGGGATCTTCCACTTTACCTGCAGAACCTCTATGGCGGCTGGTTGAGCGAGGACATTGTGGAAGATTTCGCCGCTTACTCACAGGTTATTTTCGACCGCTACCACGACCGTGTGTCTCACTTTTTCACCTTCAACGAGCCCATTGTGTTCTGCAACACATATCCCCAGCCGGTACGTGTCAAAATTAAATTGGGACACGAATCACTGACCTGTTTCTTAGGTCGGGTACTTTCTCCCTACAGACATCCCGCCCAAGCAGCAACCTTTCTACTGCGGGCAGTCGGTGCTCCTTGCACATGCTCGCGCTTATGAAATCGCCAAGTCCATCAACGACTCTCTCGTGGTCGCAGTCAAGCACAACGGTGGTTACAAGATCCCATTGACGAACTCCTCTGAGGATGCCGTTGCCGTGCAGCGAGCATGGGACTTCAACGAAGGGTGGTTTTCCAATCCACTTTTCATTGACGGCGATTATCCACGCTATCTCAAGGAATACACGTCTACCTTCCTCCGACCCTTCAACGACAGCGAGAAAGCCCGCATTGTGAACAGCTCCGACATTTACGCACACGATGCCTACACCAGCCAGTTCTACATGGCGCCCGACAACGGCACCGACGCTTGTACCAGCAACGACAGCCACCCTCTCTTTCCCGCGTGCGTGAACTCAACCTACAGCTATCCCGCGGAAGACGGTGGCTGGAATATCGGGTAAGAAATTCTTTTGCCAGCTGTTCTATGATACTTTTCCCCCCATAACCCCCCTCCCCTCCCTCCCCACAAATTGTCCACACAACTCCACGCTAAAATCTCAATTCCCTATATCCAGCTACGCCGCCGACCCCCTGGCCCCCTGGCTACACAGCGCCGCCGACTGGCTCCCCGCCTTCCTGCGCTACATCCAAGACACGTGGCACCCCTCCGGCGGCATCGCCATCACCGAGTTCGGCTTCGCCGAGCCCTTTGAGGCGCAAAAGACCATCCTCGCCGACATCCGGACCGATCTGGGCCGCAGCCGGTACTACCGCGACTACCTGCAGGCAATCCTCGTTGCGATCAGTGAGGGCACCAACGTCGTGGGGTGTCTGGCCTGGAGCCTGGTCGACAATCTGGAGTGGGCGCAGGGGTATGCGGCGAAGTTTGGGATGCAGTATGTGAATTTCACGACGCAGGAAAGGTACTACAAGGCGAGTTTCTTTGAGTTTGTGGATGTCTTTGGGGTGTATCAGGGACAAGGTGGGGGGCAGGGGCCTGGGAACGCTACGGTGAGGATGTGAGTGTCACACTGAAAGGTAGTCTGAGGCTTCCCACAGCGATGCATAGTACTTGGGCGGCCCAGGGTAATGATAGTGAGCCATATACCGCTGATGAACTGACTTCTGACACTCATGCTGGTAGATGTTCTAGTACTCAGTCTTCCCCTGCCACTTTTCATACTCCCGCTCTACCTCGCGGTGTGTTTCTCTACTCCATCCGCACATTTAGACCAGCTCTTGCCCCTTGACATTCCAGTCAATCCTCGAGATACCCTTGTTGCCCACCAGCCAGAGCTGATCGAGATTCTCGCCGGTAAAGGCAAAATTGGCCACCGAATGGTTCGTCTGGATGCGCATCACCAGCTCGCCCGTCTCCGCCAGGACATCCAGGCCGTGGCCCGAAGCCGAGAGCACGAGGCCGTCGGCGCTCACATCCAAGCCATCGGGGATGTAGTCTTGGACGAGGTAGAAGGAGCGCTTGTCGTGGATCTTGGTGCCGTTGTTGTCGACGGAAAAAGCGTAGATGGCGCGTGGGCCGGTGGTGTTGTACGCCTTGGTTCCCGGGTATTCGGGGGAGACGGAGCCGCTGAGCGCACCGGACTCGGCGATGTACATGGTCCGGCCGTCGGGAGAGAAGGCCAGGCCGTTGGGTTGGGAGATGGTCATGTCGACAACCGTGACGGCGCCCGTGGCTGGGTTGAAGCGGTAGGTTGCGGTTGGTAGCTGGGGAGCCGTGTCGATGCGGCTGTTCAACCACGGGTACTGTGGGTCGGTGAAGAAGATATCTCCTGAGGTGGGGTGAATCGTCACGTCGTTCATGTTGTTGAAGTAGAAGCCAAAGTAGTTGTTCAGCAAGACAGTGGATTCGTTGGTTTGCGGGTCGATGCTGTGCAGGGCAACTCGCTGCTCACTGCCGTTCACGTTGTCAAACCCGCCGGATGATGTCCAGATCAACTTCCCACGGTAGTAGGCACCCCCGTTGGGCGAGAAGACGGGGGGGTTAGGGGTCCAGCGGTTCAGGGTCGGCGGCTCTTGGTTCAAGTCAATCACATACTGCTGGAGCCAGTCGCCAGGGTCGCCCATCTCCATTGGTGGGAGCTCGGAGAGATAGAGAAGGTTGGTTTCTGGGATATAGACCGGACATTCGTGGACAGAGTTGCCAACTTCGAACATGAATTCATAGCGTGGATTTTCACCGAGGGCTTGAGCCGCGCGTTCCTTGTCAAAGATCACAAACGGCGTGTCTTGGAGGAGTTCCCATGACGGGTCGCTGGGGACGTCGGTCATAGAAAAGTCGACCTCGTCACCGAGCGTGGTAATGGAGCGGTTGAAATGATATGGCAGTACAGCAGCCTGGTAGGAGTCAGAAAGGCCGCGATGATCATGAGCAATGGACTCACATATCTGTTCACGCATACGGCCTGGCCATCATAGCCACACTCCTCCACGATTGGAAGCGAAGCCCCCTGGGGTTCCACCTGCGCAATAGACCTCGAGGCCAGCAGAAGAACTGACAAGCTGCTTGTTACCTTCATGTTGTTCATGGTTTCACTCTTAACCCGGTCTTCAGCGAGTGTCAGCTCAGGACACGAGGGCGAGCTTCTTATTTCAATGATCCTATTGCCAAGGGTCGAAGGCCATCATGATGGTCATAAGCCATGACAAGCAAGCTTCCCCAGCTCCAATGTGGAGCTTGTACTTGCCATGAAGACCGGTTTCCATGGAGCGGAGTGGCTTATAGCTCTAGCTTGAGCGTCATGGCCACCGAAGTGTGCTGACGGACAGGCACTCTTTGGAGAAGCCTCCGAGAAAGTGACGCTCAATCGTCCCATGCGTTCCGATTCAACGCCGAAGTTTTCACTGCCATGTTGCGAGCAAAAAGCGAGCAAAAGCACTAGAGCACGCTCAGTATCGCCAACTTAGCCTGATGTGTAATTAGCATGGCAGAAGCGGGTGATTAATGGCAGCGATCGGCGGCTCGCCAAGGTGGTGGAGGTTCCCCAACCGCCGGTTCGCTGGCTGGGGAACTCTCCGCGGTTTCCCCAGCATCTGCACAGCTTCCATATCTTGGCAGCCAGCTGTTTCTCCAAGCTGCGCACCTCCGACGTGTTGGGGAAGTGCATGGCGTCGGAGCCAGCGCTACGAGATGGAAGCTGTTGCTGAGCAGAAATGGTGGGCTTGGCTGAGGACCTGTGCCCTGAATATAGAGTAGACATTAGGTAAGAGCCATTTGTGACAAAAGGGTAGCCTGGAATAAGCATGTTTATTGCACCCTGCTGGGCGGCAAGAAGATGCGACGCGACCTGGCACTGTCCTTCCAGGTCAGAGATCTATCCACGACTTCCTCGCCAATCTATCCGGGCTCTGTTAAGCGGCAGCGCCCCCTCTCTGATATATCTTCATCCAATATATTCCCTGAGGCTGAGTTAGCTTGTATGCGGACAACTGTAGGAGTAAGAAATCGCAGATAGCCTCGGAGGCACAGCTTGGTCTGAGGTGGAGCTAGCGTCTAGATCGGCGCCCCAGCTCCGACTCAGAAGGCTTCGAGACGGTACACTGTCTCCAAGTCTCAAGAGGCAGGGTGAATGAAGCTACTCACTGCTCGGCAGTCAGTACAAATTTCAAGCAGAGGCGGGCGGTTGGGGAGACTGGTGGGAAACGGGATATTGTCGGAAGGGAATGAAGCTCCGATTCTTCCAATACAAGTTTGCTCAGGGCGCTTACCCATCATCACGACCACAAGCTCGTCCACCAATGGCTGGTTCGACGCAAACTCGGGCAGTACTTCGATCCTGCCCATCTTCTTGCCAAAGCCCAAGACCGAGCTAGCAGGCTTCCACCGAGCCACTGGCATCTGATTATCCTGCGCCAGGCATGTCATTTCTTCCGTCCAACTCCCCCACGACTGTTTCCAGCAAAGCGGCCTCCCGCCCAAGGCGGCCGACATGTATTCGAAGTCCATAACGATCCAGCCGTTGGAGGGAATGTGGATGGTTTGCCCGTGGATGTGACAGTCGAGACTTTGCGCAATCTTGATGGTGACAGACGCGAAAGGAGCGCCATGTTGTGAGTTGAATCGGAGCATTGGGTTTCGACTGTGACTGCTGTAGGTGTAAAGTGCTTGTGAGTGTCGATCCTCTTCCGCGGTCAAGCGACCCCGACCGCCGCTTATACCATCAGATGATGCCCAGAGAACTCGCGGGCCGAGATTGAGCTGCCGTTGATATGGTTGAGGAGCTTGGAGGAATTGTTGTTGGTACATTTGTTGCGATGGATATTGTTGCTGCGGATGATGCGGCGGTTGCTGGTATTGCTGGTGATTGTAGACGTGTGGTGGTATTGGCGATGGAGGACCGCCAAAAGAGTCTGGATGCTCAGAGTAAGGGGGAGGCTGCGACGAGGATCGTCCATGTGTGATCCTCTCCAGTATACCCATTTTGGGGCAATTGTCAATGCGGTCCTTTCTCGATCAGTCCTTCTAGCAAGTAAGTGTTCTGCAGTGACGCAGTGACTGTTCCGGCTAGAGTATACCGGGGCTTTAGACCCGTCTGTAGAGACACTGGTCTTCTTATATCACCTGTCAAAGATAAAGGTGGATGCTCTATCGAGACAGTGTAGTTGCCTTGGCTGCCATCGTCATGTGGCTGAGCGGCCCCCACTTCTTGCCTAAAAAGGCGTCTTGTGCCGCTCGTTGATGAACCTGGAGGCGCAAATCAATGGCAAGCGTCGTTGCAAGGGCTTTTGCCGCCTTGTCCATGCTATTTCTGGCTATAAGAGCGCCTTCTCTGCTTATTCACCTGCTCGTACTTCTACCTGTAAGGCTCACTGAGCAAGCCTTGTCGGACGACTCGGCATGTATCACCGGATGTGTCTTGCTCCGCTCCACTTCCCACATGGCCACCGCCTTTGGAAGGGCAAAAATCATGTAGCATCGTGAACGGAAGATTAGGCAGCAAAAACGAAGTGGACGACCCCGGAGTCGAACCGGGCACCGCTCCCATGCTAAGGGAGAATCATACCGCTGACGATGTGAGTACGATGCATGGGATGTTAGAGGCAAATCACGACTTACATAGACCAGACGCCCTTGAATCTGTGTGCGAATTCGAACGCAATTTACGAGGCGGTGTATATTCAAACGCTTTGTCAAAGAGAATGAAACAAGCGGAGACGTGCGTGGGGCTTGGCGAACTCGCGCTCATTGCTGCCGAACATCCCTGCTCTCACCGTCTTTAGAGGGAGTCGACTGCTTGATAGAATCAGCAGAAAGATCTTTCTCGAGCCGATGGAGACACCATAAGGCGCCCGTGCTCTTTGACACATGAAACCAGGGTACTTACTTACCTTAGATCTTTGGCTGCCCTCAGATTCGACAAATCTTGGCATCAGTGCTGATTAAGTTGACGTCACCCTTGTATCGTCGCTGGCTGTCATGTCGTGATCCTTGCAATTGCGAACTTACAACAGGTGGCCCAGCTGGCGCAAACTTGGCTGATGAAGCCTGGGAACGGGCACGAAAAGCTAGGCGTGACAGATCGGATATGACAAAGGCCGGGCTCATGGTATCCATCTCGGATCTGAGTGCAGCAATAATGTCTGAGCGGGGCAATCACATCGGCACGTCATTGGAAGCAGCGTATTGCATAGGATCCCCGAGGCTGACGCGACACGCCATTTCGAACCCAACGAAGGTTTGTTGATAAGTCAGTGAAGACGCTGCAGAGTGAAATATATCAGTTGTAAGCACCGTCGCCTTAAGCAACGCCCCAGGTTGAGACTCCTCCCATTTTTACAATGGCTCCCTCCAATCCATACGGCAAACTTCCGCAAAATGCATCGTCGTCGATCAAGCCATTCACTGTCAACTTTCCGGAGGCAGACATCAAGCACATGCTCGATCTGCTCAAGCTCACCAGAGTAGCCGAACCCATATATGAGAATTCTCTGCCAAATGATGACCGATATCTTGGTCTTCGGCACGACTGGCTTGTCGAGGCTAAGCGCGTATGGGAGAATGAGTTCAATTGGTGCGTGACTCACGCCCTCGTGATACCAGGCCTGACTTACATGATATCAGGAGAAAGACAGAGGAGCATATAAACTCGTTTCCCAATTACAAGATCACGATCGACGACAAGGTGGGCAAATTGGACGTTCATTTCGCTGCCCTTTTCTCCACTGCTCCCGACGCCGTTCCCGTGGTACTGCTACATGGCTGGCCTGGTTCCTTCCTGGAGTTTCTGCCTATGCTTGGAGAACTACGCGACAAGTACTCGGCCGATGATTTGAAGTACCACTTCATCGTGCCGAGTCTGCCGGGTTACACGCTCTCGAGTGCTCAAGCCATCTCCGAGGACTTTAGCCAAATAGACGCCGCCCGGGTGATGGACAAGTTGATGCAAGAACTGGGCTTTAGCAAAGGTTACATTGCTCAAGGAGGCGACGTTGGCAGCCGCGTTGCCAGGGTCATGGCAGTCGAGTACGAGGCCTGCAAAGCCGTCCACCGTAAGTCCAGGCTTCTTCTTCTTATCATCCATCCATTTCCTCATTCTGACACCAACAGTGAACTTCTGTCTCGTCAACAAACCCCCCGCGAGTCTTAATGATGACAGCATAACCGAAATCGAGAAGGCCGGCCTCAAGCGGCTAGACGAGTGGAAAGCCACCGGAACGGCCTACGCCATGGAGCACGCCACCAAGCCTGCGACCATCGGCTTCGTGCTGAGCAGCAACCCACTAGCAACACTCGCTTGGATCGGCGAAAAGTTCCTAGACTGGACCGACGAGGACCCTTCCATCAACACCATCCTCGAGTCCGTCACGCTCTACTGGCTTACGCGCTGCCCATCCACCAATTTATGGTCATACCGCCACGTAAGTTTATTCCCACCTTCCTTCCTCTCCCCCGTCCGTGCAGGGCGTGCATCACCCCCTTCTCATCCGCATCCAACCAGACTCCCACGTTCAAGCCCCTCTCTAAAGACGCGTCACAGTCCTACAGCGCCACAGCCAAAGGCCACGACCACCCAGACTACCACATCAAGAAGCCATTCGGATACTCGTATTTCCCGCAGGAGCTGATTCCCATCCCCATCGAGTGGGTCAAGACGACGGGGAATCTCGTGTGGAGTCGCGTCCACGATAGGGGCGGGCATTTCGCCGCCCTCGAGCGCCCCAGGGAACTGCTGGAGGATGTCGAGAGCTTTGTGGGGGAGGTTTGGAAGCGATAAAGCGATGTGCAGAAGGGGAGGACTGCGGAGCGATAGAAGGTGTACATGATGTTCTGGTATAGGAACAATGGAAGCGGGCATCAGGGAGAACAGAAATCCAACCTTTCCGACCTCGGTGTAATATCTCTCGTTACCCCACGAATTTCGAGACGTCTAGACGATACAAGTGGTCGCGATTTCAGGGAAACTCGGGAAGCCACTAGCTGCCACCAGCGCGATTCATCGGTCCCCAGTTCGACCTGGGGTTGATCTGGTACCTGACCAATTTTTCCCTTGGCTTCTCCTTCCCCAGAGCCTCGTCAAACACGACTTTCAACCCCTTCTCGCCTCCTGCGGCGGGCCCCTCTTCCATTCTCGTCTTCGCCTCAGTCATCTGGCCCTCGTTCTCCACCTTCCACAGCGCCGCCCTCAACACTGTGCCCAACTCCTCCCGCCCCTCCACCTTCTCCAACCCCTTGACCAGTCCGTCTTTGATCTCCTCCGCTGCCCTTCTTTCTCCGCCCCACGCACGCCGCATAATCCTCCAGCCCGCAGTTCCAGGCTTTACTGCCCCTTCCTTGGCCGGTGACTTCTGGCGCTCCCACTCGCGCAGTATCTCCCAGATCACATCCCATGGCGCATCTGTCTTGAAACTGCCCGCCTTGCAGTGCGAGCGTGTGACCTTGTAGCCGAGTCCGCGGATCGCGCCGCGGATGGCATCCTCGCCAGGCGTCTGCGTATGCAGTACCTTGGCGAGGTAATTAGGGATGAAGAAAAATGGGGTCCTGTCGACGACGTCAGGGGGTAGGCGGGGAATGATCCTGGGATCGATGGCGACGTCCTTGCCATTGGGTGCGTTGGTGTTGTCCGGGGTGTTCGAGGCAGCGAGTGTGAGGTCCTCTTCCAGGGCAACGGTCAGCATCCCGCGAACGCGGTCGAGGGTGCCGTACACATTGCGATCTAGCGAGGGGATGCGGTCAAGGATGCGCTGGACGAAGTAGGGATTGTGTAGGGGGCCAGCCCACATGGGACCACCAAGATGCATTTTGAAGCCGCAGTGCTCGCAGTGTGGTGGGACTGATGGAGCTTGGGAGAAACTGTGCTTGTACATTCTAGTTCCCGTGCGGTCTTCCTTGGCAATGTTGCGCGCGATGGTTTGTGTGGTCCAGGCTCCGCAACCCTGGTCGCAGGAGTAGGTGACCATCGTAGTACCGGCGAGGAGCTTGACGTCGCTGGGACGTTTGTGTACCCTGATGAAGACTCGAGCATAGAAGTCGATTGAGAGTGACAGGAGTGGCTCGATAGCAATGCCATACTTGGCTGCCGTTGAAGCAATTGAGCTGACGATGAGGCGGAGACCAGCTTCATGCGAGTGGACACCTTTGATGGGTAGACCTCCGTACAGTGCGTAAGTCTTCTCGAGATAGCCGCTCGACGCAAAGACGCCTGCGTCGGTGCAGGTAACACAAAGTAGACCACCATCCGTCAGAGTTTGCAAGGCCGCATCAATGAATGGCTCGGCGGTACCGTAAGGATCCAAATCAACAACATCGAAGCGGTGGACATAGCCATCGGAAGACTGCTGACGCTCGTTGCCTATCTTGCTGTACATGTACGCACGCGCGTCGCCGACATTTGAGTAGACTCGATCGCTGACTTTATTGTGGTCGATGTTGACTTCGATCGACTGAACGGCATCCTTGGAAAGATCGTTGGCAATAATGTTGGTTGCGAAGGGAATTTCTTTCGCATAACGCAAGGCCCTGAGACCTGTAGCAGAAAGAGCATCGAGGATGGTAAATGGGGTTTGCATCTGCTCGTTCCCAGGCATAGGTTTTGGCGCGGTGGCCTCATCAGCATTGAGCTGCGCAACTTCTAGCTCGTCAACCTCCACGCCCACATCATCTGTCCTTGGGCGCTTGAGCGTACCATGTTCGGCTGGTAGATCGACCTCATCAACCTTGCGCTTCTTCGAGTCCGTGATATCCCCACCGCCGTCGCGTGGAGCTTGGCCATGCTTTCTCCTGTCGCTTTTCACTTTCCGGTTCTTAGACTTGCGCGACTGAACTAAGTCCTTAGCCACAAGCGCACCCTCGCCATAGATGAGGATCGCTAGGACTGTCAAGTCTCGGTTGAACTGCTGAATGGGGTTGTAGAAGACCGCCTGATTCCCTTCGTCATTGTTGTGCCCTTTTTGAGCAGTCCCATTACTCTGCTGGTACGGTGCAAGGATTGACGCGAGGCCTTCACGAACAGGCCGATATGATTGGCCGTTGATTGTCACTGGCTCGACAGCCGGTGATGCAGAACGCGACATCCTGAGATGACGGACGTGTGCTTGAATAAGTGGAGATGCAAATGATGGTGCAGAAGAAAATGGAGAGAACGTTGTTGCTTGCTGGAGCGACCTGCGCTTGAGACTCTTGCCCACAGCTTCACTAAGTGTCACAAATACGCTCATAGCAGTCTCAGCAACGCCATCCAAACTTTGCCATGATGATATAAACAGGCATACACGACCTGTGGATGGTTGAGAACTGCTCTAGGCAAAAATTATGCCAAGACTGAGGTGGAACCAAATTTCAGGCGACGCCACGCCGAGCCTCAGTCCATCCTCACTATATCTCTGTGCTAACCACCTCTCAGGTCTCGATCAGATTGATCGCGATGTCGACCCATCTTCGGTGTTGTAACGCCGATAGTGCAAGAGCGTACCTATGTTAGTGACATTGACTTGCACAGTGTTTACGAAAGCGGGCTGCGCAGAATTAGACAGCAGACAGAAAGACATCGCTTCACCAAAGAAATGCATAATATTTGGCCATCTCTTCATGTGCTCAAAGGTCGAGCAATAAACTGCGAGTGCGATAGAAACGACTCAAGTGAGTCAGGCCGGCAGTGCGCATACCAAGGGATCATCACCGACCATAATGTCAGACCAGGACGGCAAACTACAACTGACTCATCAGCGCATCGTACGCCGACTTTGCGTTGAAGTTTCTATCGAACAGTAGCGGGTTGTCAGAGGATCGCCAGGAGTTCTTCTCGAGTCAGTGTCGTCTTTTTAGCTACACAGATAACACTTACCGCATCGGACACGCCCCAAACGGTGACACCGACACATTTAGGCTCTTGGGTGCAGCCCTTCACGGCGTTCACGTAGTCGGTGGTACCAGCCTGGGCGATATCAAGCTCGGTGATGGCAACCTCCTTCACACCAGTCGCAGCAAGCGCCTTGATGGCAGCGGGAATGTTGGCGCCACCTCCCTGACCGAGATGAGCTTGCGATCCTGCAGCGAGTCAGTAAAGTCCATTGCACTAGGTCACAACCCTTACCAATGCCATCGATGGGAATACCAGCCGCAAGCCACTTCTTCACGTGAGCAACCATACCATTGGTGAGCTTGGCGTAGTTGGCATTGTCCAGGTTGTAGTCGTTGATGTATAGCTTCGCATTGGGATCAGCCTTTCTAGCCGCCTCGAAAGCGATGCGAACAAAGTCTTCACCAAGTACGCGTGAGAAGACCGAGTTGCGGAGAGAGCCGTCCTCGTTAAAGATCTCATTGACAACATCCCATTGGAGGATCTTGCCTTTGTAGCGGCCAGCAACAGTAGCGATATGGTTCTGAATGACCTGGGTGAGGGTGTTCTTGTCATTGATGTTCTGCACCCATTGAGGCAACTGAGAGTGCCAGAGCAGGGTATGACCACGGATCTTCTTCCCGTTCTGCGTGGCAAAGTTGACGACTTGATCCGCTCCGGAGAACGAGAACTGCCCACGGTTCGGTTCGGTAGCGTCCCATTTCATGCTGTTCTCTGCTGTGAGTTGGCCAAAGTCCGCCTTGATGATGGCGGTGTTCTTGGAGTTGGACAGGGTATTGGGATCGGCAATAGTACCGAAGTACTGCTTGCCAAGCGACTTGAATTTGGCATCGATACTGCCAGATGATGCCTGGCGGGCATCCAGAGGCGCCGCAAGGATGGCCGCTGGGGCCAGGAAAAGGCAAAGAGTAGAAAAAAGCATCGTGATCAACGAGTGTCAAGAACGGTAAATGATTGAGAGACTGCTAGAAGACTGGCTCAAGGAATGTAAGGCGGTACGACTGAACAACACAGTATCCTCAGGACTTCATCAAGCCTACCTTTATACATGTATACTCTGCGCGGGCGGATAAATAGATACTCGCAATCTAAGCACGTCCTCGTCGCGTGATCCAGCACCCAGGTAGCTCTGGCTTCGGACGAGGATGTGCTCCTCTGAGCAGACGTTTCAGGACCGGGAAACGTGCTGAGTCGCCTCGACTACTGTGTTTTGAGTCATTCGAAGAAGTCCAGATCACCTGAACCGATCTCCGGTGTGGTCGGATCCATGACTCGCCTCGGATGAAGCCAGGGGGACGTTTCAAGCTGCCCCACCATCAGGCAATTCTACCGGTCGCGGGGGAAATCTGGCCGGTGATCGAGCTGTTCAAAGCATCTTCCGTCGTTCTTACTGAGCCCTTGCAACAGGCAGGTACACAGGTATTTTGCAACGAATGCATCGCGGCTAAAAGCAAAGGAAGATTACTCCAGGCCTGGGGAAAGGCTGAACAGAAGCCTGAGCGGAAAGCCTTGGCATTCGGACTACTCGAGATTGAGGAAGGGCAGCTCGGGCCATTTTCCTTGTATTATGTCCAGGGTAGAGTTGAGATCAAGCAACACAGGCTAAATGACCTGCATCTAGGCTCAGAGCTTGCACAACTCTGCGGAACCAGAGGCGTACCACTGCTTGCTAGCTCGCGCCCTCTATTGACCTATCAGTGTCACACAACAGGCCGGATATTATTGTAGAGCTTAAGGACGCCTGCGTCGGTCCGCTCCGGGATCAAGCTCCTCTACTTTGAGCCAACAGGGAGAGTAGGGGTGCCCAGGGTCTGCTGATCAGGCATACAGGCTCATTCTTCGTAGCACCGTGGGTTCTCTCAGCGCGGGGCAGATCAATGAACATAATCATTCAGGCGGGTGAACGCTCCAGGATATCTCCCATAGCTTCGTCTAATTGCTTGCCCTCGCGCCATGGTAGCACATCATTCTTTCTCTTCAGGCCAATGTGATTGTTCCAGACTACCTTCATGCCCATCCCAGTAGCCCCAGGGATATCAGCCGAGCTGCCTGCCACAAAAGTCGCCTCCTGCGCGTTGACCCCTAGCTTCTCAAGCACCATACTATAGGGCTTCGGGTTGGGCTTGTAGAAGCCAGCCTCTTCGGCAGTCACCACCTTGTCAAATTCGAAGAACCATCCAGTCTCACTCTTGACAGCTGCCTCACAGTTTCGCACAGCCCTGATGCCTAGTTCGTTGCTGCAATTAGTCACAACAGCCAGCATGAAGCCTTGCTTCTTCAGCTGCACCAGGACCTTGGGGGCTTCTGACCAGGGCTGGATTTGATCCCAATTGCGGCACAAATTTCCGGCGCTCCTGTCACTGAGTCCAACGTCTCGTGCAGAACGGAGCACTAGAGTTTCATAGTCGATATAGGCTCCGCAGCCGTATGTCTATTCTAGGTAACCTGTAGACATTAGAAATTCGGAATTAGTGATCAAAACCATGACCGAGAGACGTGCGAGGCAATTCGAGATGCAAGCAGCGACTTTCGAGATCTGGATTCTAGAGCGAGGACTTGCTGCTGGTGCAGGGACAGAGCAAAGGGTCAAGTATCTGTGTAGATGTGATGAAGATTTGAAGGACTTACGCTTGCGCCAGGTGGTTCCGGCAGCGATATGTTTCTCGTTATCAGGAATCGAGAGGTCCCAGACCGTCCAGCTATCCAAGAGAGCCGTGAGCAAATCGAAGATGATGGCTTTCGGTGCAGCCATCAGAGCACAATTGATGTTTGTTGTACCAGAGTGACGCACTTAGCGGGATGTAGGCAACTTGACTCGCTTACGTTGTTGCTTGGAAGGCAAGCAATCAGTGAGCTGTGGCACTAGATGCCGAGAGTGGTTATATGGATGCCGACCATGAGGGCGAGTTTTGTCTTATACTTCAAGCAAGCCTTGAAGTTCAACAGCTCAAATGTTTTGCCGAACAATGGTTGATGTAGTCTCGCCGTTTCTTTTTCGTGGATGTAGATCTGCAATGGTCAGCTGCTCTCGATATCAGGATCAAGTCGGGAGGAGAATGCTTTCAAGGCCATCTTTGTGAGATTAAGGATCGAGGTGACATTTTAGGTTGAAGAGCAGGATGTGTCCTTGCATGTGCTTCAGGACCCAATCAGAAGACACATATCTCAGAGGGGTGGGGCGAACAGGACGAGAGCAGTAACCCAGACTGCATCTACCATTTGAGATACGACGTGGTGAAGTTCAGATGCGATGCGCACAAAGTTCGCGATATTCACGAAGGGGATCATGCCATATGCCATTCGAGCAGTTGCAGTGCGATGTTTCAATCGGCACGAAGTGCCTTTCATTGGGCTGTAATTTATCGTAGTGCTTTTCTCGTAGATGCACATAGCCTGTCATGCATCTCGGCTGAGCCTTCTTTCATCGATCCGCTCGGCACTTCGCTCGCAAATCTGGCCCAGAAACTCCATATGCAGGCGCATCTCAATCCATAGGTCCGCCAGAATCGCGACACTTTACCGGTTAGATTTGGCAACACGCTCCAGTTCGTCCTTCTTCTTGATGGCATACGAGTTGCTGCTACCCTTGGCAGCGTTGATCAACTCCTCGGCGAGGCACTCGGCAATGCTCTTGACGTTACGGAAAGCGGCTTCACGGGCACCGATGGTGAGCAGGGCAATGGCCTGGTTGACACGGCGGAGAGGAGAGACATCGACGGCTTGTCTTCGGACGGTACCAGCGGATCCGATGCGGGTGCTGTCTTCGCGGGGCCCGCAGTTGACAATAGCATCGACAGCGATCTGGATGGGGTTCTGGTCGGTCATGATGTGGATCTGGATACGTTAGACTTGCATGTTGGCATTCATGGTGTTTATACGTACGATCTCGAAAGAGTGCGCAACGATTCTGATAGCCATAAGCTTCTTGCCGTTGTTTCGGCCGTTCATCATCAGGGAGTTGGTGAGACGCTCGATGATCGGGCACTGCGCCTTGCGGAAACGCTTCGCAGCATATCGGCCGGCAGAGTGGGAGATGTAGACGGGAGTACGGATTTGAATGTAGTCACTGCGCGAGTCCGTTAGCGATGCTCTTGCTCTTGCCATGGTCGCAGTCGTACGTCAGGGAAATATCTCTGATTTCAACATCTTCGTAGCTCCACTTGTTGAACAGCTTCACGCTGCCAATCTCAGAGGTGACATCCTTGGGAAGGATGGTAGAGTTGGTGGAGGGAACCTCGACTTCGACCTCACCGTTGTCAGACATGTTGGCGGTATTGGGAGGATGTATGTCTGAGGAACGAGATTTGGTCGAGGTTGCGGGCGCTCAACGCAAAATCGCGACCGTGGGCTCCAAAATTCTTGGCGTTGGCCAAGACGCAGCTAACTCCGACAAAATCCGCAACAACGCCGAGAGGACCCTTAACATCTCGACACCGAGACGGACAAACAGTCCCAAACGTTCCTGCTATGTGCCTAGAATCCCGCTCGTCAATTTTGTCGACCACTTGCAGCTCTCGCAACATTCTTGCACTACAGACCAAGGCACTGGAAGCGCGGGTGCTCTGCTTTTGTGAATTTATGACGTGGACTCCCACGAGACGAACTCTGGACCGTTTTCTTACATCACCAGCCGCTATAGATTCTGGGGGCGCGCTATGTACCAATAGCCCGCCAGTCATTCGCTCTCAGGTGACGCGATCATATCAAGGTCTCTGAAATTGCGATTCAAGTCGCTAAACTATGCATGGTCGTATGTGTCTTGCTATGCGTGAGGCTCAGCAGTGGCTATTGCGGGTGGGCCCAGCAGCTACTGCAGACGGGGATCGCCGTGGAAGCTTGTACCTACTTGGTAGGTAGTTTTCATCCGTACTTCAGATCTTCAACTCTTCATTGTTACACCTTGGTTCAAACAGAGTCACGTAATAATGGCTGAGGGTCATTCATTTCTTGGTCTGGAAGGGCGTCATGTCTTCATTACAGGCGGAGCCGGAGGTATTGGGGTAGCTGCCACGAAGGAATTCCTTGGTACGCCAGGTCCCACGGTCAATGGATTATTCCCCCATCTAACCTCTTTCGCAAGCAAACGGCTGTTTCGTGACCGTGTTTGATCGTAAAGACCCGGTATTCGGCACGTGGATGCTTCCCAGCGAACAGCAAGCAAAGGTCTTCTTCGTAGAGGGTGATCAGACGTCGGAAGCATCTGTCGACAAGGCGTTCAAGACCTCCACCAGCCAGTTTGGCCCTCCGTGTATACTCATTGCCAACGCTGGCGTTACTGACGAGAGCACACATCCTCCAATATGGGACATTGATGCAGAGAAGTACGACAAGGTTCATGCTGTGAATGTGAGAGGGGCTTTCCTAATGGTGAAGCACTTTCTCCGAACTGTCAAGCAGCACCAGGAGCTAGCTGGCAGAGAGCTTGAGAACGTGTCGGTTGTTATCACTGGCTCCGAGACTGGCGTCTTTGGGCAAGAAGGGCACGTCGAATACGCAGGAGGAAAAGCTGGCCTGCAATACGGCTTCGTACGTACAGTGAAGAACGAAATAGTGCGTTTGAATTCTAGGGCCCGCATCAATGCTGTTGCTCCTGGTTGGGTCAATACTTCTCTAATCGGTGACAGGCTTGCCGATCCTAAAGAGATGTGGGCCGAATGTCAGGCAACGGTGGCTCTGAAGAAGATTGCAGAGCCAGAGGACGTTGCTCGAGCCATGGCATTCCTCGCCAGCCATAGAGCAGCAGGTCACATCTCTGGGGTTTGCCTGGAGGTCACCGGCGGTATGGAAGGCCGAGTGGTCTGGCGAGAGGCTCAGGTTCTGGATCGAGAGTCAGCCGATACAAAGGCGTTCACAGTTCCTCAGTCCCTCGCACCACCGAAACGCCGCAGACGACTTCGTATATGCCTATCTGTCGATTTCGATGCCATAAGCGGCTATCTCGGCACGGGACACGACCCAAGCAATACTCTGGCAGACTACTCGGCAGGCCTCTTCAGTGCGAATGTTGGAGTGGGACGGCTGCTGACTCTTTTCAAGAAGCACGGCATCTCAGATAAGCTGACCTGGTTCATCCCAGGTCACAGCCTAGAGACCTTCCCAGACCAAGCCCGTGCTATCGTTCAGAGCGGCTGTGAAGTTGGCCTGCACGGGTACAGCCACGAAGGAGCATACGCTATGACTGTAGAGCAAGAACGAGACGTGCTCGAAAAATGCATACAGCTCGTGACGAACCTGCAGGGCGGTAAGAGGCCTTTGGGATACCGAGCTCCTCTGTACCAGATTCGAGAAACCACGGTCCAGCTCCTGCAAGAATACGATTTCCTTTACGACACAAGTATGAATGCACACGATTCATTGCCATACTTCCTGCACAATCCATTCCCTGGAGATCCGCCTCACGTGCCTGACTACAAGGAGAAGGCCAGCACATGGATGAAGCCAACGCCCATCCTTGCCCAACCAGTGCGTGGTACCACTGAGGCACACAAAGCCTTGGTCGAGGTTCCCGGAAGCTGGTACACTGAAGACATGACTCCTTTGGGCTTCTACCCGTACCTGCCATCCACCCAGGGCTATGTCAGCGTTGACGTGGTCTCGAAGATCTGGTGGGACCGCTTCGACTGGCTGTGGGAGAACGAGAGTTGGCTCGATGATGGTCCTGGCAAAGGTTACGGAAGCATTTATGTGAGTGCTTAGCCTAATGGTTACTTCTAGCTTGAATCTACAACTAACGTTTGTTAGCCGATGATCTGGCATCCGGAGAGTGCTGGAAGAGCTCATATTGTGGGTATGATTGATTCGTTCATTGCAAAGCTAGTGAGCAGGATGGATGCTGCAGAACCTGGAGAGATCACTTTTGAGACGATGGAAGCGGTGGCGTCCAGCTGGAAACAGGCGCCAGATCCACAGATAGCATCAGCTTGAACATTGTACGTGGATCCAGTAGCTCGTCTCAGTCATCTCCCACCTACCTTTCCTGTGTTTGACTTGCATCCGGCCAGGGTCGTAGCGACAAACGTTGCCAGACTGCGTAGATAACATGACTGATGACGAGTCAGAGGAGTGAGAATGTCAATCGCACGCCTCTCAGCAGCGCCACTGTCCTCTCGCCAAAGATTTGACCCAGTGTATCTCACGTCCCATCGGCCGTACCGCGGTACATATGGACCGTCAGCGCGGTCAGCCACATGAGGCAGTTTTTGCTGACTTATTTCTGCTGATTCAGCCGAGGCATGGCGTTCACCAGGCCCACATGAACGACAGTTGCATCGGAAGCTGTGCCCAGGCTGCGACACAATAGGCGGGATTTTGTTTGGCTCTAGGGCCCATCGTTTAGGTTGCGAAGCGAGTCTGTTTAGGTCACTAGAATAGGCATCTAGCTGAGCCTAGGCCTGGAGCAAAGAATCGCCGTATCGTATCTCACCTAACAAATGCATGCTGCAAGATGACCACCGGTGCCATGCACGTCCAAATATGTCGCTGCCATGACACTAGTCTCTACCACTCGATTGCAGAACTGTCAAGCGAGCCGTACTTCGCAACCTTGTGAAAAAGCCGATCGTCCTGTTAGTGGCCCGGACCTCGAGCCCCAGATCACAGGAACTGTGCGTCATGCCTCACCAGTACAATACACAATGATCGTCATTTTCTAAACCTGTTTCCGCGTTTGCTCCAAGTGAGAAGTACCATTTCGACTTGCATTATTCCTAGCATACAGTGTCCCAGAGCAACTTTGTTCCTCCACATCTCGTGTCGCCATGGCAGGCGACGAGACCAAGCCAGAAGCGATACAACCTCCACAAATTGTGCTCGATCAAGCAAACGCAGCCGCCGAATCCCAGGCCCACGAAGACGCGCAACCACACCGTTCGGCCGATCACAGTGGCCATCATGGGCACCACCATCACCGCCACGGTAGCGAGTCGAACATAGAGAACGTCCCCGCCCCCGCATACAATAGTGCAGAGTACGGCCAGCTAGACATAAGTCAAAATGGCATGGATACCGATGCCAAAGTCGGCAAGGATGGCAGAATCAACATATGTATCAATGCGCGCAATCACAAGCTCTCGAACCTGCTGGTCCCCGCTCTGCGACGACAGCTTGAAATCCAGAAAGCAGAAGATGCGAAGGCCCCGGTCATCCCGGAAGGGCTGGGTGAAACCGCGGACGGCATACCACCACCACCCATGAACCTCGTCATCCAAATCGTCGGCAGTAGAGGTGATGTTCAGCCCTTCATTGCTCTTGGCCAGGTCTTGAAGAACAAGTACGGCCACCGCGTGCGAATAGCCACTCATCCCACATTTCGAGACTTTGTCACCGAAAATGGCCTGGAGTTCTTCAGTATTGGTGGTGATCCTGCCGAGCTTATGGCTTTTATGGTCAAGAACCCGGGTCTCATGCCTGGTATAGACTCGCTGAAGAGCGGTGATATTGGCAAACGCCGGAAAGGAATCTATGATATTGTTACAGGGTGTTGGAGATCCTGCATCGAATCGGGTGATGGCACAGGTATCCAGGCTTCCGATGACCTGCTCGATGGTCGCAGCTTCGACAGTGCCATGAGCCTAGGTGATCCGACTCAGAAACCCTTCGTGGCCGATGCTATTATTGCAAACCCACCAAGCTTTGCGCATGTCCATATCGCTGAGAAGTTGGGCATTCCATTACACCTCATGTTCACCATGCCTTGGTCGCCAACGCAATCATTCCCACATCCTCTCGCCAACCTTGTGTCTTCCAACACTGATGCGAATATGGCTAATTTCATGACCTATGCTTTGGTGGACATGCTGACCTGGCAAGGTTTGGGAGATGTGATAAACCGATTCCGTCAACGAAGCCTTGGGCTCGAACCTGTCAGTATCATGTGGGCTCCCGGAATGACCAGCCGACTTCGAATCCCATGGACATACTGTTGGTCACCCGCTCTGATCCCAAAGCCAGCGGATTGGGGCAACTACATTGACATTTCAGGGTTTTATTTCCTGAACTTGGCAACCAACTATGCGCCAGCACCAGATCTCGCAGCCTTTCTTGAATCTGGTCCACCACCAGTGTATATCGGCTTCGGCTCTATCGTGGTGGACGATCCCAATGCAATGACTAAGATGATCTTCGAGGCTGTCAAGAAGACAGGGCAGAGGGCGCTCATTTCAAAAGGCTGGGGTGGCCTGGGTGCTGACCAACTGGGAATTCCTGAAGGGTGCTTTATGCTTGGAAACTGCCCGCATGACTGGCTTTTCAAGCGTGTGTCCTGTGTGGTCCACCATGGTGGCGCTGGGACAACGGCTGCTGGTATTGCTGCAGGGCGCCCGACTGTTGTTGTGCCTTTCTTCGGTGATCAACCCTTCTGGGGCGCCATGTGTGCTCGTGCTGGAGCTGGTCCGATGCCTATTGCTTACAAAGATTTGACGGCAGACAAGTTGGCTAGTCAAATTACGAAGGCGCTCGAGCCGGCTTCGCTGGAGCGCGCGAAAGAGCTGAGCGATCGCATCAAGGCTGAGAATGGGTCTGAAGACGGAGCAGCCTCTTTCCATAGGCAGCTACATGTGGCTGATCTACGCTGCACATTGTGCCCCGATAGGATCGCGGTCTGGCGCGTGAAACGAACAGACATCCGTCTGTCAGCTCTTGCCGCTACCGTCCTTGGAAATGAGGGGCTGATTGATTTCAATGACCTGAAGCTTTATCGCGCTCGCGAATATGAGACGGAAGATGGGCCATGGGAGCCAATTACGGGAGGAGCAGCTGCCCTCATTGGGACGATCGGGAACTTCAGTATGGGAATTGCAGATCTGCCCGTTGAAATGCTCAGGTCTCTTAAGATCGCGTCAAACGATGTCAAGGAAGCCCACGAGAAACACCGTCGCAGCCAGTCTACAACTCCGGAAGCTGGGTCTCAGAACGTCTCCAGCACTGATCTTACAAAGGTTGGTTCGAATCGATCGACGGAGACGTTGCCAAAACCTACTCCAGCTTCGCCGCCTGAGGTGGCGTCGCCTCTGTCATCGCCACCAGGCACTCCTTCTTTGACCTCTGCTCGGACTATCGTTGATGACGAGACACGTGAAGGACGAAAACAAAGTGCTATGTCGAGTGTCTTGTCTTCGGAGGGCGAGCCCCGTCATCGCCGAAGATGGAGCAGGCATGGTTCGAGGTCGCAATCCCGAGATCCTCGAGTCGGCGAGGAGAATAAGCACGCAGACGATATGAGCTATATCACCGTCGAATCTGCCATTTCTGGAGCGAAAGGTATCGGGCGGATAGCAAGTGCTGGCATCAAATCGCCAATGGACTTCACGCTGTCAATCGCCAAAGGCTTCCACAATGCTCCCAAGCTTTATGGCGACGAAACTGTCCGTAAGTCCGAAAAGATCACCGACTTTCAGTCTGGCCTCAAAGCAGCCGGTAAGGAGTTCGGCTATGGTTTCTATGATGGCATTACGGGACTCGTGACCCAGCCTCTAGCAGGTGCGAAAAAAGAAGGCGCAGCAGGATTCGTGAAAGGCGCCGCCAAGGGTATCGGTGGTCTTATTCTGAAGCCCGGTGCTGGTATCTGGGGATTGCCGGGCTATACGGCCAAGGGAGTCTATGCAGAGATCGCCAAGCACTTCGGCAGCTCGGTGCAGAACTACATTATCGCAGCTCGAACAGCACAAGGGTACGAAGAATGGAAGAACAGCACTCCCGAAAGTCGCGCAGATATCGTAGCAGCTTGGAAGAGCAGTAAGCTTGAGCTGAGGAAGGGAGGCAGAAAATATGGTGAGGAGCGAAAAAACGAAATTGAGGAGCATATCCTGACACACACGCCGAGCAACAATGTGGCCTTGATGTCTGGTTTTAAGAATACTAGGCATCTGAGCTGGGATGAGCGAAAAGTCCTTGCGGCAAAGAAAGATGCAGTGAAAAAGCAGGAAAGAGAAGCCAAGCGGGCCGAAGAGGAACGACGACAACAGGAGAGGCGATCTGGTCGAGGAGGTAAGGTCAAGAGCAGGTGCAAATTCTGCCCATTCGACCATGACTCTGATCATCATCTACGCCAATCCTCGACTTTCCCCAGCGTCTCCCACCCATCAGGCGGCAGCAAGCATGCGTCAACTTCCGATGTTCAAGACGAATACGAACAAGCTATTCAGGCCTCTGTTGCGCAGACGAGTCGCGGCGATCCGCATGAAGACGCCATGATCGAACGAGCCTTGCGGGCCAGCGTGAACGAGCTTCGCAAAGTCCAGAGCCAAGGTTCTAACGAGCATGAAGACGAGGCCTACTCGAGGGCTGTCATGGCCAGTATCGATGAAGCCAAGAAGGCGAGGGCTGAGCAATACCAGGGGCAAGAGGCAGGCGTGACTTCGTCCGTTGAGCCAGATGAACATGAGGAGCAGTTGAAGAGAGTCCTAACGCAGAGTTTGGAAGATTATAAAAGCAGTCAAGCGACGATGTCAGGATCACAGGTTCACCAAGTCGGCGGTCACTGGGATGATAGCGACTCTGAGATTGGCACAGAGGACGATGAAGACTTCAAGAGGACCCTTGAGGAAAGTAAGCGCCTGCACACCGAGCAGGAGCAGCAGAGATTGGCAGGTATCTCCCACCAGCCTGCGCCACCGGTACCCCCGCGAAGCCCGCGAAGGGCGCCTGTACCACAATCTGAGCCGTCAGCGACTGCAGATGACGACGAAGAATTAAAGCGAGCCATTACGGCGAGTGAGCAAGACGGCAAAACGCGTGAAGAAGCGCTCGCCAAGCAGAAGACTGAGGAGGAAATTGTGCTCGAATATGTGAAAAAGCAGAGCTTATTGGAGGAGGAACTGAGGAAGAAACGAGAGCAGCAGAGCTCTTCTACCGGATGATACAGATGATAACGATAATGACTCAATGACGCAGTCCTCTAGATGCACATAGATATTCAATGCGTTCAACCCTTTCAAAAACGCAGTCTGGCATTCTTTCGCCGGGCTGCAATGGATATTTGTGGGTATAGTACGGACATTTCACGCAGAACTTGTATAGGTCCATGCTCCAAAGACGTTCAAGTTGCGCATAACCTCTAGGGGAGAAGCTGGCCGGCTCAACCTCGGCATCATGTCTCGGAAGATGCAAGGCAGCGACAGGACCAACATCTCGCTCGCCAACTTCGGTCCAATCCTGTCCCCAACCTACATCCATTGTTATACATCGCCTCACCTGTAAGGACTGAAAAACGAGTCGTGTGGTTCCTCGTGTTGAATTCCAATCTCCCCCAACCATACCACGCTCTCTCGCGCACACGCCCAGCGCCACAGCCCCGGCGGATCGGACTGGCCAACCCCAATTCCCGCTTACTCAGTTATCACCACCACTTCAAACCACCTGCCCGCTCCATCCTCACGCACCCAACCCACCAACCAGCCGCTCCGGCGATGGCGAACCCGTCGGCGCAACAAGAGGAGGCCACCATCTCCATCCCGTCTCTTCTCTTCGTCGGCGTGCTCCTCTTCTTCTCGTACCGGTACTTTTTCCCCTCGAGCCCCGGGTCCTCCGCCGCCTCCGGATCTTCCTCGTCGTCGACAGCCCGCGGCGCCAATGGCCTGCGCTTCACTGCCGCGCAGGTCGAGCAAATCACTGCCATGTTCCCACAGCTAAGCCGCCGCGACGTCATGTGGGATCTGCACCGCAACCGTGGTAGCGTCCAGGCCACGACTGAGCGTGTATTGATGGGGCGGGGGCTCGAGCCGGTACGTATACATCATGCCCAAAAATATCTGCGTAATCGGAGTGCAGTGGCTCCCGTCCGGTGAGGAAGCAAGAAGGCTTTGTGTGCTGACGAAGGGGACTATTCTAGGCCCCACCATCTTTTCAGCCACCGATCACGTTCGCGACCACGAGCTCAAGTCCCAGTGCAGCAAGCAGCGCGCCGAAGAAGGACGAGGTGGATTTGATAACTCGCTACAATCTACAGGGCCGTGTGGCCGGGAAAGGGAAGGAGCGGGAAGAGGAGGAACCCGCGGCGGGGTGGCAGCAGGATAAGTCAGAGCGGGCGCGGATATTGCAGCGGCGGCGGGACGAGATGATACTGGCCGCGAGGCGGAAGATGCAGGCGCGGGACGAGGCCGTGGGCGGACTGGCGCCGGCCGAAGCTGTGTCTGGAAGTTGATGCGGGATGGCATGGCGATGGTGAAAGCGATTGATTCTCTCATTCATGCAGGTTCTCGGGGTTGCACATATATTGCATAGGAGAACAAATGGCCAGTGATTTTTCCCCTGTCGATTTGTCCGTGTTCGTTTCATTGATTCGTCCACTCGTTACGCTACACATCACAGCATGTCCTCGTCATCGTCCTGTTCGTACCGTCTGTTCTCCCTCTCCTCCTCTTCCCGCTCCCTCCGCCCTTGCTCCCTGCTAGCGCCGATCTTGCGCAACCCGTCCATCACCCCCGTGATCAAGCCTCTGCTCTCCGAGATCTCCAGCGCGCCTACACCGTCAAGCCTCACCCCCGAATCACCAGTCAATTCTTCAATGCCCCTCCGCATCTTGGCCAACCGGACTTCTCGTAGGTCTCTCATCAAGTTCCGTACGTCGTCCACGCCGGGCACATCGTCGGCCGCGACATCGAGAAGCATTTCGGCCACTTCGAACCAATGGTAGGGTAGGGCGTTGGGGGCGGCGCCGGCAGTACATGATTCTAGAAACGGCGCAGACGCTATGAAAGGCTTCCCTGTCGCGTCGGGCTGTTTCACTTGCGGTTGATTCTGGGCGGGCGCAAATGATTCTTGAAAGTGCTGTGTTTCCAGCTCGAGTATCTCTGTGAGCGAGTCGGCGTAGAGCCATGGTGGAGGCATGATATTTGCGCGTTTCTGGCGCTTGAGGAGGATTGCAAGCCACAGAGGCAAGTTGGCGCGTTGTGGTGGTATCAGTGTCTTCGTTGGGCCCTGGAAAGATGTTATGTTAGCGGCAGTTGCGTTGGAAGAGCGCCGTCGCACCTCAGGTGTCGTGGCTGGAGTGGGCGGGACTCACCCCCAGTAAGTCGAGGCGCTCGATCCGTTGCCGAGCGATGACAGTGACCATTTCCATTTCGCAAAGGAAGGCCACTTCGGAGGGCAACAGGCCCATGGCATGCGGAAACGCCATTGCTCCTCCGGCGGCCAAACGAGTGCTTTTACTGCGCAGGTAAGTTCGTGTGCCTGTCTGCTAATCGCAATGGGACCCGCTTTCATCGTCGGCCACCGCCAAGCCATCTCCGACGCGCCAAGCAGATGCTTCACGCGTTTCAACTGTCTCCGAAAGACTTCCCGGAAGCTTCAAGACACCTCTTCTTTCCTTTCTACGTCCTCGCCCCGTCCCCGACATGCCCATCTCCGACTACGTCTCTCCAGAGGTCCGCCGTGCTGCGCTGCTGGCCCTCGTCGTCAGCTCCCACTACCTCTGGCGACAGCTGGTCAACTATCTCGTTCCCGACCCCTATCTGGACGAGGTATTCCACATACCACAGGCCCAAGCATACTGGGAAGGAAGGTGGACACAGTGGGACCCGAAGATCACAACGCCGCCGGCGTTATATATCTTCAGCTATGTCGTCAATCTGTTCAGATGGGGCTGGGACCCGTCAGAATACACACTTGACGCTGGGGAGCTTCGGCTTTCGAATCTGATCTTGCTGTATATGCTGCTGTTGGCTCTGTATGTGTGGACAGCGGTCACAAGGCGTGAGGTGAACGAGCAGAGCGTTCTGCAGCGGGAGTATTGCATCCTGTCCTTTCCGTTGCTCTTCTTCTTCTCAGGGTTGTATTACACGGATATTTTCTCGACCCTAGCCGTCGTGGTTGCCTATTCTTTTTGGCTTGCTGGTTCCCAGGCCGAAGGATGGTGGAGAGCCTTTTTCCAGGTCATGCACTTGCTGTTCGGCCTAGTGTCGCTTGCATCGAGGCAGACGAATATCTTCTGGGTCGCAATCTTTCTTGGCGGATTGCAGGTGGTTGAAACACTAAAGCAGGGAGTGGGCGACGACAAGATCCATGACCCGCCAATCTCAGAAACATACTTTGAGGGTAAGCTCGAAATATTATCATACAGCACGATGTCCTGACTCGTCCCTTCCAGACTTCTCGACGGTGATTATCTCGCTGGCTCAGCATGCCCTGCCTATTCTTCCTCGGTTGATACTGGACCTCTGGCCTCATCTTGCACTGCTTGGCTCCTTTGCAGCATTTGTTGTGTGGAATGGCGGGGTCGTCCTTGGTAAGTCGCCTGAGTCTGAATTTTGCACTGCTACTGATCGACCCTTCAGGTGACAAATCCAACCATGTTGCGTCTCTCCATGGCCCTCAGCTACTTTATCTCTTCCCATTCATCGTCTTCTTCTCGTGGCCAGCCCTGCTGCCTCAGGTTAGTGTGGTGCTAGGCAATCTTCGAGCAAATCTTCCTCGACCCGCCATGTTCCTTGGCTTTACCGTTGTTGCCATCGTTATGGTACACCTCAACACATTGGTCCACCCATTCACCCTCGCCGACAACCGCCACTACCCTTTCTACATATTCCGCTACTTCATTCTGCCACCATATCGGAAATACCTTGCTGCGCCAGTGTATGTTGCCTGCGGGTGGTTGTGCATTGTTGCGCTTGGCCCTGCCTCTACCGCCGCCACCGCTCGTATCTCTACGACCATGAGCAAGAGCAGCGCCGATGGTACACGAACAATAGAGTTCGCAAGAGCAGACACAGTTCATGTCTCTTTCGTGCTTATCTTCCTCATCTCGACAGCACTAAGTCTCGTGACGGCTCCGCTCGTCGAGCCAAGGTACTTTCTGATCCCGTGGCTCATCTGGCGTTTGCATGTTCCGGAGCTCCTAGAGTCGGATGCCGCAAAGGAGCACTGGGTCCAAAAGAGTAGCGGCAACAACACCAGCGAATATTCTTCAACATTCAGTCGCAAGGTGCTTGATACAGTGGCTAGCTATGCGCCTTCTATAGAGCTTCTGTGGTATATGGCCATTAACGTATTGACGGGGTACTTATTCCTGTACCGACCATTTATATGGACTCAGGAGCCTGGAAAGCTGCAGCGGTTCATGTGGTAGGGCTGTTGTATAATGGAGTCCAGCACTCGCTCATTGGTGTAGGGCTATGTGAAGTACTTAAGATCAGAAATCTTCGAGCAGCTACTTTCGGTAGTTACTCCCAAGGCGTCTCACAAGTGCCGATGAGGACTCATTTCAAGATACGGATAGCTCGACAAAGAAACACCAACACCCGACAGCCGACCATCCGCAGATCAACTATCAATCGCCATGCAAGATCGTCATGGAGGTACGCGTCGAGGCTGTCCTAGAGACGGATCCCTACCTCTGTGCTCCCCTGCGAATGCGGTCCGCGTTGGCTTCAAAAGGCTTGTGAAGCTTAGCCTCTGCCGCCACAGCCGCCCTGACGCACCGCCACACGATCGACCTGAAGCTTTTCCGCTTAGTTTCTTCACGAGCTTCAGTGCACGGTCGTCGTTGATGACAGAACCCCACACTGGACTGTGTTGCGCTGCTCCTCCCTCGCGTTGAGAACTAGCTACCATCAACGTTGACTCTGTGTCCTCTATCACCACTTTTCCGCTTTCCCACCGCAGTTTTCGTCGCGCGTCAAGCGTTGCGACATTGGTCGAACGACAGCCACAGCGACGTCACGGACGCCTCAAAACGTGCAAGGATTAAGTCACCAAACCCGATCCACACTGGCGATCCCTCGCGGGGTGAAAGTCTGTCGCCCATGGAAATGGTGGAAGTCGGCACACCGATAGAGCTAGGGTTTCGTTTTGGGTGAAAACAGGGAACAAGCTGGCAGAATGAGCCTTCTTTTGACGGCTTCGTGTCGCCGGCACACATTCTGGGCCCGCACTAGGCGTCATCGTAGAATCGAGTTGGTGAGTGACGACTAAACGTAGAGACGTGAATATTCTTGTTGATTTGTTTGATCTCTTTCTTAGTGCTCGGCTCAGCTCCCCTGCAACTCTCTCACTGCTGGTCGCTCGACGTGTCTTGAGTCGGGACTTGTCGCTGTCGTTTCTCGAGCATTCAAGTCTTTGATCAGACACGATGAATCTCTTCTCCCGTCGCCGTCGCGACTACGACTCGGACGAAGTCACGCCTCCGGGCACCCGTCACAATGTTGCCCGTGGCACGCATGGTGAACATGGCAACGGCACTGCCGCGCACCATAGCACCACTCACGGCGCATTCGACAATGACCGCAGCGGCTACCACATGGATGATCATCAAGGTGTACACACCAACGGCCGTAACCCCGTCTCCACCGGCGACCGCCACGCTACTCCCCTAAACGATAGCCATGGCATAAATACCAGTAATCACCATGGCCCTCTCTCGCACGATCGCCATGCCACACACACAAATGGCTACCACGGTGACTACACCAATGACCGCCACGACATACATGGCGACAATCGCTACGATAATCGCTACAACGATGGTCGCTATAATGACAACCACTACAATACTCAGCGAAATGACCGCCATACTACCCACAACCGGGGAGGCTTCTTCTCGCGCTTCAACAAGGCCACCAAACCACGAAAACAGCAAAAGCAGCGTAAGCAGCGCGCGTCACGGCCGCTCTTCGATATTGACAGCGGCAACTTCAATCGCCGGCCTTCTTTCGGACAATGGCTCAAGTTCACGTGGCTCGACCTCCTCACCATGGCAGCGATGGGTGCCGTTGGTCTCGGCGTCTACAACGCCGACCCAGCCCCGAGTCGCTCCTTTCCCATCACATTCAACGACGGTGAGGTCGTCTACCCACAGTTCGCCTACCCTCTCCGCAACGAGATCGTACCTATCTGGCTCGCGGCGCTGCTCGCCTCCCTGATCCCCATCTTCATCATCCTCTGCATGCAGATCCGCATCCGCAGCTTCTGGGACGTCAACAACGCCATCATCGGCCTGCTCTATTCCCTCATCTGCGCCGCCGTGTTCCAGGTCTTCGTCAAATGGCTCATTGGTGGCATGCGCCCGCACTTCCTGGTGGTATGCGACCCGGACCCCGCCATCGTCAGTGCCGCCCAGGGTTCCGGCAACGGTTTCCAGAACATCATGTTCGACCGAAGCATCTGTCGAGGCGATCGCAACCAGATCAACGATGCTCTAGAGTCGATGCCCTCGGGCCATAGTACGGCCGCGTTTGCGGGATTCATGTTTCTGTACTTTTACCTGAATGCGAAACTCAAGGTTTTTAGCAACTACCATCCCGCCATGTGGAAATTGCTCGCCGTCTACGCACCTGTACTGGGGGCGACGTTGATCGCAGGTGCCATGACAATCGACGAGTTCCACCACTGGTACGATGTGCTTATGGGCGCCGTCATTGGCACAGTCATGGCCGCCAGTGCCTATCGGTAAGTCTGCCTCCCATTTGAGTTCATTTTGTGTTGTTGTATCGGAGAATGCCTTCTCACACAACGTGGGACTGCCCCCATACCCAAGTTCAGCCTTTCGCATAGTCCAAGAACCTACTGACGTGTTCCCACAGCATGGTGTACGCCTCACTTTTTGACTTCCGCTTTAATCATGTACCTTTGACCCGCCACACGCCCTTCAGCTTTGGCGCTGGACCCGCGGGTGCCGGTGGCTTTGAATCAAGCGTCTTCAGCCGCAAGGCTGGCTGGGGCTACGAAGAAGCATACGGCGGCGCGCCCTTCGATGCGGCCTACCACTTGCGCGACCAGGTCGCCGGTTTCAACACAACTGTCCACCCGGGAGCGGGAAAGGAAGGTAGTGGCTTGTCCAACGGTCACGGAAACGATCACGGATTCGGAAGCGGACGCGACCACAAGCCGGGAGACGTCGAGCATAACGCTGCCACTGCCACTGCCGCACGAGGCGGCACCGGGATACTGAATGGCAACAGAAGCAACGTGACGGACAGCACGCACCACCACCACAGCGGGACAGGCCCGCTCACCGGAAACAGGCACAACGTCAGCGACAGCACAAATCATCGCACCAGCCCCGGCATGATGACTGAAGGAAGAGCGAACGCCACCGATGGACCACTTCATCATGGCAGCGGCCCAGAAACGACGACGACGAACCGTGGCGGCGCCGACTGGGGATACCCCGAGGGCGCCGGAGAGCCCGACAGATACCGCCAGCACCGCAAAAGTATCGAGCGAAAGGCGCTGCCGACGGTGCCGACGTAGCGGTAGACGGACGGGCCTCGCTGTTTACGGTTGAGTGATGATCAGGGGGCGCTCCGGCCAGCGCGCGCTATTTTCCTGGTGAGATTGAACTTGTACACCAAAGCAGCTGTCGGCGACGGCGTTCTGGATGTCGATAGCTATCATATCTTTGCATGGAGCTTCGCAGTGCTTTAGCTTCACTGCTCACAGATACTCGCTACCCTCAGCTTTTAATGCTCGCAAATATTCTGCACATTATCGTGTCTTTCACCTACTGTGTTTCATGCATATCGTCTTCCTTCACGCAACCCTTCGACAAGCAAAATGGCCTTCAATTTGAATGACACGAGGTTTCCTTCCGTAGTGCCAGGTCCATGAACTGTAGCGCACCGATCGCCCAGAATAATTCAGAAAGCCTGGTAGGTCATAGCCAGACCTCGGTAAGACAGTCTCCAAGCCGCTGAGTTGACAGTGGGCGTGACTCCAGACCTCACATCGCCCTCTGCACGGCATCACCATCTGAGCGAGCAACCATTGTTCCGATTCCGAGAGAAACGAAAGCGTGCTGGGAGGTAAAGGTTGTACGGTATACAAAGCATTCCAGGCGCCCAGCCGAGCTTTTGTTTGAAGCCCGAACCCCGTCTTACGGTCCGCTCAGCTTGGCTCCACACCAATCAGATCTCTCACACAAGGCTTCCACCTCCTAGGGGGCCCGCGGCCGAGTAAGCGGCCTCGGTTCTTTGGACGAACGTGGCAGGTAGCTTTTATGATTTCACACATTGTGTCTTTGGTCGCCATGTAGTTGTTGATGACCTCCAGCTAGCCATATAGGCAGCTGTTGCTCTCTCCCTCCAGTTCTCTCCCGGTCTAGATTTTCAGCAACCAGCATGGCCGATGCGAAAGCTTGGGGCAGGCCACAGCCACGCCAGGCACCGGACGTGCCCTACCACAATCCGACGGCGTCGAACCCGATACTGCGAGGATGGTCGTTGGCAGTGGTGACTACAGTGTGAGGCGAACTTGCTGGAAGCTCGCCTGCACAGCCCGCTTACATTCTGCAGTCTCTCATCCTCACCGATGTTGCAAGGGGTGCTTTGGCGCATGAACAGCTTCGACAAGCTGAAGGAGCTGCCCGCTCTGCAGGGCATCGAACCTCGATTCGATCCAACCGTGGTCCCCAAAGACGCCGATGGCGACGTGCTTGCGTCCGTGAGAGAGCTCTCCGCCCCACAGAAAAGAAAGACGCCCACCTCGTTCTATACCTCTGCCGACTTTGTCGAGCTGTACAAGGCTGGTACCTTGACTCCGGTAGACGTTGTGGAGCATCTTCTGCCGCTCATTCGTCGAGACACAAAGCCTCCGGGCAAGTACTCTGTTGGCTGGATCTCGGTGCGCGCGGATCTGATCCTGGAAGAGGCTAAAGCCTCCACGGAGAGATATAAGGCCGGAAATCCCTTAGGTCCTCTGGACGGCGTGCCGATCGCTGTGAAGGACTCTTGCGATATTACAGGATACAAGCAGACCCAGGGTTGCCCCGTGGATTTTACTGGTCCTGGAGATAAGACTGCTTGGGCCGTCGCCAAATGGCAGGAGGCCGGCGCCGTCATTCTGGGTAAAACCAACATGCATCCGTACGGTCTCGATACAACCAATGTCAACGCTACCTTCGGTACCCCTCGGAATCCCCATAACCCGGCCTACTTCCCCGGCGGCAGCTCCGGAGGATCGGCCTATGCGCTTGCTTCGGGTATCGTGCCTATCGCGCTCGGCTTTGATGGTGGAGGCAGCAACCGAATACCAGCGAGCTTCTGTGGCATGTATGGGTTGAAGCCCACCCATGGCCGCGTCTCCTCTCGTGCAGGTGATGAACCTCAGCAGTCCGTCACCGTTTGCGGCCCTCTCGCCTCGTCCATAGATGATCTCGCCCTCGCCTACCGCGTAATGGCGCAACCAGACTCGCTCTCTACGACCAGTGTTGCGTTTCCCTCGTCCCTCGTAGCCCCTCGCTCCAGTCCAACAGGTCCGAAACGCCTCGGCATCATGCGCTCGTGGATCGAAAGGTCTGACCCCGACGTCGTCGCCGCCTTCGATCACGCCGTAGCCCACCTGACCAAAACCCAGGGTTACGAGGTCATAGACATCACTATCCCACTCCTGCCGGAAGGGCAGAAGGCGCATGCCATGACTATCGTCAACGAAGCTCGCGCTTACCTGTCTCCTAAGCAATACGCTGCGATGAACTACCACACCCAGCTGCTCCTAGCCACGATGACAGGCCGCGCCACTGGGCAGGACTTCTTGTTCGCGCAGCGCTTGAGGTCACTGTTGATGGGTCACCTCGCATGGCTGTGGGATAAATACCCAGGACTTCTGGTACTGACGCCCACGTGCACGTTCGCTGGCTGGAAGATCGCACAGGAGAGCGACCTGAAAACCCCGGGCTTCATGGACGGCGATCGGAGTCTGAGGTGTATGGAATATGTGTATCTTGCCAACTTCGTGGGCGCACCTGCGATATCGGTGCCCATGGGCTACAACGACGAAGGGATGCCGATGGGACTGATGGTATGTTCGATCTTCTCTTTCTGACTTTTGGCTTGTTGAAATGTGCTAATATCTTTCAGGCTATGGCAGAGTGGGCAAACGAAGAGCAGCTGCTCGGATTCGGTCGGCAAGCCGAAGGGTGCCTGGGCGAAGAGGGCGTTCGCAGGCCAAAAGGCGACGGGCGCTGGGTGGACGCGCTTGAGATCAGCCAACGCACTTGACGCTCAGCCGTACTTCTCGAAAGCTGTCCTTTAGGGGGTTCTGAGGGAAGGAGTTGTGGTGCTACTGCAGGCCGCGGGTCGGGGGAAGAGTCGACAGTGGTGGTGGATTCGGAGGGCAGCCACGACCGCACTCGCAGAAGGGCTCCTGCCCCTTCCTGGTGCCCTCCAGACCTTCAGGGCGGTCATATCAAGCAGCGCGCCCATCCTCAGACGTTGCCAGACCCATATTGGCCTGCTAGCAACGCTGGAAGCGAAGTTGGCAGTGTCGAAAGGCCCGCAAATGGCGGTTTTGAAACCTCCTTGCTAGCGATTGACGTTGGTATCTATGGAATCGTTGAGACGCTCCGATCACAATGCTATCATTTTCGTCCCATCATACGCTACCGTTCATGTTTAAACTCGTACTGAAATCGAACGACTTCATCGTCAACTTCACAGCCTTGCTCAGCCTCGCGACTTTCGGCGAGGCTGACAGACAGCCTATTCATCTAGGCCAATGAGAGCCCGTACATTATGCCAAGTCTTGAGACTGCTCGTTCAACTATATAAGCGACTGAACTTCTTCCACATGGTGTGTTCTTCGCTCGCCCGTACAATTTTCCTCCTCCAATTCGACCATCAATTCCAGTCTTCTCACCCTGCCACACGATGGCTTTGCCTCCGCCGAATTCCTCCTTCGCTTAAACCTCCCACCTCCCAAGCCTCCCTCCTGGGCCTTCTCCCTCGCCGACCTGGGCCATGTCCTTAAACTCATCCTAGACTCCTGGGCATTGACGACCAAACTGCCCCCTCCTGGCAAGAGGCCTAACTCGTCCTATACTCCTGAGCACCGATGACCAAACTGCTCCCTCCTGGCATGAGGCGAACTCGTCCTATACTCCTGGGCATCGATGACCAAACTGCCTCGTGTCAGGACGACGACACGATCCGTCACGCTGCACAACAAAGGTAGGTGCCCTCAGTGGCCACCGTAAGCTAAGCATCCTGGTGACGACGGTAAAAGGCACCTGATTCTTCTTGTCGACCTTAGCAAGTCGTCAAACTGCTCGCTGACAAGGTGAGTTTATTCTTATCACATAGACGTAGACCTCCTGGACATGAGGAATAGGGCTCGGCATAAACTGTCCTGATGCTTCTCTTCGTTCTCCGAGCAAAGGTGGGCGACTCTTGTCGTAGATCTCTCGTCGTGTTTGTCGTCGTCGCGATTGTAAACGCTGCCGTTGTAGATGTGTCTCTTTCCCTTTCCTTCCCCCTCATCCATCCCCTATCCTTGTCATCTCTCTTCCTCGATTTCCCCCTCACCGTTGCATGGTCTCCGTGACGCATTTGTAAACGTAGACAGTGTTGTTGGCTGTCAGACTGCCCACTGCCCTGCCACATACCCGTCTTCATTTTCTCCGTATGGTTGCCGTTAATGTTTGCAGGCTGACATTATGCCCCTATTCCTCCGTTTCCTGTCATCTCGTACTGGTAGACACCACCGGCTTGCCGATGACGATGGGCTCATCATAGCGACGCCCGTCGCAAAACCGGCCATGTTGTTTTCTTTCACTTGGTCCTGCACTCCTTCAGCGGCCCTCCTCTCGCCATCTCGTCCCCAGGCCCCTGTACTGCCCACTCTCGTTACTGATGTTCACGTATTCTCCCCTTCGTTCCTTTTTCGCTCTCTTTTGACGCCCCTCTACCAGGCCCGCTTTTGGTGTTCTCACGACGCGCCTCGCCTTTATTAATTTTCAATGTTCCTTGCGCCCGCCCCACCCCGCTCCCACATCACATCACCCTTCCACATTGGGTGCTCATGCATATCGTGCCCGTTCCCATCCCTATACAAACCATATACATGATGTTTTGCGCATCAAGATTCCTGCGCCACCTTTTGACATATGCGTACCAACATACTGCCCCACGGTCACCTGCATCAGCGACTTCATGCACCGATGCGGCCTTACCTTTGGTTATGCTTGGTGGTCTTGATGCATGCTTGCATGGAATAATTGTATTGATTTGAGCTCATTCGTGGCTGCGGTGTGCGCGGCTCATACTGATGGATCTCGCAGACATTGGATTGAAGCCTGAAATATCATGCCAGTCTTCTCGCGAGACTGTCAACACCGTCACTCACCCAATGCACTTTTTGCAGACAAAGCCATGTGCTACAGCGGCAGCTCAAGCCACCACTCCCGATAAGGCAGAGGTTGCGCTACGATGCAGGGGCCCTTGCGCCAGGCTCGGTGTACTCGTCACAATGGGCCTCTGTTAGGACTGACCGTAGGCTCAACCAGACACGGGTGCAGGGAACTCGAGAGGACTACCGGAGTAAGTGTGAAAGCCCATTTCTGCTAGCCGGTCCAAAAAGGTGAAAACCAGTATCGTGGTCCATGGGGAGCTCTATAGCACTGATAAGCTGATCAATCAGGATGAACTGCCAATCCTCGCCAGAGCCAATGATGACGACAATCCATCCGTGGCAGCGGCAAACATATGAGGTCAGTGCAGCTGTCACTGTTCATTACTGCGGGAATGATACACCTCCAGCCCACGAGGAGCAAAGACTGATGCACTGGTGGTAATATTGCATCTGGAATGCCAGTTGTGATGGTAGGGGGCACCGCACCAGCCAGACCGCCCGTGGGCGGGTGGAGGCAATGATCCGACGCTGCGATCGATCCCCAAGGCCACCTTCTCACAAGAAGGAAGTCAAGCAGGTAGAAGAAATGTTGACTGTTGTTGTATAGCACGAAGATCAGCTGAACTGATGAAACCATGACCCTGGCTCTGATACTAGTTGGCGAAACTGTGTGCTCTCGGTGCGGTCGAACTATAGTCCGAACTCTCAGCCAGGCAGGAGCAATGCGTACAAAGTCGAGCGTAGATACAGATACGACAAAGATCCGCTGCAGCAATCACCATGAGGCCGAATAGAAAAGTACGGAATCATTCAACTAGTCGTAACAGCATGCCAGAAGGACACCGTAAAGTCATACAATGGCGAGGCTCGTTTGCTCTCGCTCGGGCTTTCAAATCCAAATGCTCTCTCCACAATCCGTGACATCGAACACAACTCCCAAGCCAGCATCGGCCGACTGCGCCCTGAGCTGCTCCAGGATCACAGTCCCCGGCGCGGGCCCGTCCATCATAGATTCTTTGACATGAATAATGTGAACACTCAAGCCCTTCAAGGGCTCATCCAACTTCTGCGATGGGATTGATGGTACACCTGATGTAGATAGGTTTGGTGGATGGCCAACCCCAAGGCCAGCAGCGCCGGCTGGCACGTTCATTGACGGGCCCGAGCCCGAGGACTGCACCGACCGTCCGCGCTGCGGCGTGTCTGTCCGGTCACCTGTAGCTGATTTGGTTTCTGGCATGGACACGTGCGACGTCTTGCGCCGGGTGCCAGATCCCGCTCGGGTGCCAACATACCCGCTTTGCAAAGGTCGCGGTGATAGTGGCATCGCAAATTCTGCTGATGCCGTTTCTGGGGTGGCCGAGAGATCCCCGTTGACCCCGCGCTTCCTCTTCCGCTTTGCATCTGCACTAGGGAGATGGAGTTCTGGAGCAGGGGAAACAAATGACGTCTCACCGTCCTCCTTGAGAGTAGAACCAACGTGCTTTTTGGCGCTGATGACGAGATTCGCTAGCCATCTCAGCTCTGCAATGAGATGTCTTGGGCACAGGTGGCCATACAGGTCCGAGTCCCGGACACTGTCGTCGTACGAACACTCAATGAAAATAGCTTTCAGGTTACCCGAAACAATTTTCGCTGCTGCGTCTTCCCACACAATGTGGTTCCGAGGTGACAGACTTACCGAGTCTGGTTCGGTGTCGCCGAATATTAACAATTCGTCTCCCGTATCATCGTTTCTGATGAAGAAAGCAGAACTAGATACGGGCTCAAACATATGCCCTCCATCTATCGCACTACTCGGTTGACCGGCGTGCGCCCCGGGTGTAGGTGGGCCTGGTTGTGTACTACCGGCAATCGGTGTGTAGGCTCCAGCATTGTGCACTTGTTGGTGCGCAACTGCCGCAAAATAACCATGGTCATGGTCCGAGATACGTGACATTCGTCTTGCGGGGAAGCTGTAGTCATTAGCGGCCCAGCCGAAGGAGTCGCCCCTCTGGTGCGCCAGGCTATGACTCCTACGGTGACATTTGCCATGGGAAACGCTCCAGCACTTGGTCGCGAGGCCATCGCAAACATTGACGTAGCCACGAGCCTGTCCAGCACCTAGTCTGGGATTGCCACCCTCGATCAGCCGCCTGTAAGTGACAAAGCCCACACCATGACCTTCGTCCGACAGATTCGGCCAGATCCAGTCGTTGAAAATGTGATTTTTGATGGCATCGATTGTTGAGGGAAGGGCGACAATGGCCTTGGCCTCCCGTCCATATTCAAGCGCAGGAGTGTTTATGGCGATCCCCGCAAGGTGGTCAAGATGTGGATGCGTGATGAGCACGGAATGGAGGAGTTCGCGAAAGATATAAAGCGCATTTGCCTTTGCTGATATATTCGGGAACTTGATCCCGGCAAAAGGTCCATGCTTAAGTACTGTCTTGTGGTCTGCAGCGGGCAGCTTCTCGGAGGAACGGGGCATGTCACGTTCGAGTATGCGGGTAATGCTAGCCAGGTGCGCGCCAGCATCGACCGCTATCACCGAACCTTTTCGCCATTCTGACTGTGGTGATCGCACAAGAAGGCCGGAGATATTATCTTCGCGAGGTCCACCATTTGAGCCCTGCAAATTGAGAGGTAAGAGACTGTTCTGGTATAGGTGACACAGGTCCCGGGCTCGCGCAGGACAATGGCATTGACACATAGATAAGGACTTACCAGCACTATCACCTGGAAAGACGCGTTTTCTGGCTTGCCATGGACACGCAGCTCAGGGCTCGTCGTGTCCTTTTTGGTACCATGTTCTCGCATTGAGGTTCGGACGTGAAGTTAGGAGGACTGTTCGTCAACTTCAGGGACTGTCGCTTCGTGCCCTTGTATACGGCGCATTGACAATGCGCGACCTTTTCAGCTTGTGCAGTCGTTACGGAGTAGAGGATGTTCACGCATGAGCTCCAAGCACCAAGTGCTTCTGCCGCAAGGAGCTGTAGCGATAATTGGCTGCCCCAAGTTTCTCTAACTGCGTTGGAGTTGCGGAGGCTGGAAATCCACCAAGATTATAGAGCTGGAATGTGGCTTCGTAGCGAGAAGCAAGGAGAGCCTGTCACATTCATACAGAACCAGATGTCGCGGTGTCAGTGCATCGCCGTTTGGACCTTGTTGAAGTTGCTTGAGGCACGGGCTTAGCTAGAAAGCTTCGGTAGACTTGGTCTGGATTTCTGCCGCAGGATGCTGATGCAGCTGCGCTACCCTTCCTGACTAAGCACATCAAGAACTACATGTTTCGCTTATTCGACTACAACACATTGAGTATCGCTGTGGCCTACTGCATGAACATTGAACCTGGGACTCGAGTAACATTTATTCGGCCGGCACACATTTTGTAGCAACCTGGTCGCAACATCTGGGACTAGTTTATCCGGGATGCAATGGTGGATAGGAGAGCTACTAGACTTCAAGATATCACAGGCATTGCGGATAATACCATTGCAGCTGAGATGTTATCGTTCGACCTGACCGTCTCTGGCCTTTGACGCCAAACATATCGGTAATCTACACAAGTTCACACCACTCCGAGCCCTGTTGTTCATAAAGCTTCATTCATAAAGGTAGGGTATCAAAAACTTCATGAGCGGAGAGATCCTCCCGGCTCGCCCAGTGCAGCTTCGTACGTAGGTATAGGTGGGCCACGCCTGTTTCGATGTCGCTTGTGAGGCTCGTCATCGTCATCATCGTCTTCTTCGTCATCGGATTGACTGCTCCGCTGGCTGCTTGTAGGACTCGAATACTCCGGGGGTGGTATAATCTGTTGTCCTGCTGGCGTGTTCTCAACTGGCTGATGCTGGACATCCCCCACGTCGATTACGCTCGTACTTGCGGCAGGGCTGAACTCGTTGGAAGGAATGTGTGAAAGTTGCGCCAGGGAAATGTCAGTAGGAGATCGCAGTGGCCCTGGGTTGCCAGAAGGAAGGCCAAGTCTTGCCAGACCGCTCCTTGTCCTCGAGTGGCCCGGCTGATATTCTGGCTGACGCACGCCTTCCCGGCCAGTTTCTAGCAGAATGCTACCTTGCTCGCTACCGTAGGGTGGAGGCGGAGCAAGACTGCCTGTCATGGGTGCCAGCCCCCACTTCTTGACGTTGGCCTCAATGTACACGAATCCCATTTGGCCGAAGTTGACGTGCACCGTGCAAGGCCCATTCGCGCCTACTGTCGGAAAGAAGTTTTGACTCTTCAAGTTGTGCGCGAACTCGTCCAGGCGTTTGCCGTTTCGAGTGAAGAAGATCGAGCCTGTACGTGGCTTGTAACCCACTCCAATCACATCACCCTGAACATAGGCTGGTCCATATGGAGTTGGATTGAAGGGCTGGTTGAATCGCCTGTGGCCTGATGACACGTACGCCACAGAAGTTCTGTGAAAGCCTGATAGTATTAGTATCTTGCTGAGCATACAGCCTCGGCAACTCACCTGGAAGGCGGAAGAGCGGATATGGTTTAGTAGTCATGCCGATACTAATCAGGCTGTTATCTGGCTTGTCGTAGATTTTTGCTTCCCAGTAGTAAACCTCATTCTGTTTCGGCACAGGGAGGTTGCTTTGAACGCTGCACTCGGAGTCAAAGAACTCAATTTCGGTTCGACCTTCAACAAAACAATTTGCGATTTCCAGCTCGGGCTCAAATTCCCATGCAGATACGCCCTTTTCTTGGATCGCTAAGAACTGCGAGAGCGATATGTCTGTTTGTACGGTCTCGGGAGGATTGGCTTGTATGAACGCTAGCAAATGTTAGTTGGATAGCGGCAATGTAGCAATAGCCTTACCTTTAGCCCTCAGATACTCGGCCCGTTGCAAGTCGTCCATTGACTCGAGGGCTTCCGCCTCTTCTCGGGCAAATGCTTGTTCATCATCAAACTCTCCAGGTCTACCTATCCTATCGAGAAGGATGCGACCCCGATTGGTATAGCGAAAGAAGAAAAAGACCGCTAAAACAAGGACAGCGATGCCCGCTGAGCCAAACGCCGATAAAATACCAATAAGAATACCCCTCCCCGTCGAACCGCCATCGTTGATATTGATCACAATGTTTGTTGACGGGTTGGGATTTGAGGAGGAGCTCGAATGCCACCCATCTTGAATGGCGGTAGTGGTAAAGATAGAATCGGATGTTTGGGCGATCGGGGATAAGGTCGAGGTGGAAAAGGTGGATGCGATATGTATAGGATGCATTTGCCCCAAGGGCGCCCGCATGGTTTGCTGACCTCGAATACGCCCAATCAAGGTGTCGAGGGTCGCGTGATCGAGGAGAAGAGTGCGAAGCTCAGGTTGCGATACTTGGATACTTGCTGTGACGGCGAAGTGGGCGGGGTTTCCAGGGAGGCGGGCGCGGAATGCAATGTTCCAGGTTAAATAAATCAAGTCTCAAATCGAGCCAGCCGGAGACGCAAGAGCAGACAAGGCCACCATGTTGTGTACAGGAGAAGCTGTGAAGCCCTGTGATGATGGATTGATAAGAGGTCAGAGGTGAAGACAGCGCAGGTCAGTTGTGGGAGGTCTGGATCGGATGGGGAAGGCGAGGCGTAGGCGGAAACGGCGATGAAACCCTACCTGCGCGGCGCTGTGCTGTTCCCAGAGGACCCGGGACCACGGGCTCTCGAAATGGCTGGGCCGGTGGCGCTGGTGGGCACTGGTCACATGACTTTGGATATGTAGGGTTAGGGCTAGATATCTAGTCGAACATTTAGGGCCCACCAGTTCACGTTTGCCACCTGCCAGCTTGAAAGGACCCTCAGCATTGATGCCGACAGCAAGGGCCCGATCCAAGGCAGCGCTCATGCTTCATCGCTTCACACCTTGGGCATCTATGGGTCACATCTTTGACTCTGGCCGTCTCCCGTGGCACCTGGCCCAGTCACGCGACCAGTGCAGCCGCTCGTGTCATTCGAGCCCTACTCAATGAGTCATTAGCAGCCTATTCACGCCACACCTCACTCCACGCCCTGCTCGTTGCCTACTCCGTTCTCGGATCTAGAGGAGTATTTGTATATATGATGCCTGAGGGTGGGTGAGTGACTTTGATGATATGTGACTCGTATATGTGACTCCAGCAGGACGCGCTCGACTTGGTCTATAAGTACGAGTACCGCCCTCGCCTTGCATCACCTCTACAAAATCATTTTGCTATGACCATTTCAGAATTCGCTGGCACTCATTAAAAACTCCCGACAGCAGGAATACAAACAAAAACCAAGAAAAAAATACCATGGCCCACAAGCACAACCGACGCCGAACCCGCCCTCGTTCGCGGCAAACCAAGCTGGCGCCTGATTTCGATTCTCTCACGACGCCAAATCCATATTCCCTTGATACATCTTCAGGACTGTCCGCAATCTACATACCGCGACCCAGAACTATAAAGCCACCCAAGGCGGACTTATCCAACAGTGTCAACGCTCGTCACTGGCACAACCGATACATCGCTTGGCAGAACCGTGAGTCTGCGCAACGGCGTGATGCGGCTCGCATCGAAGCCGAACAACTCAAGCTCTTCGGCGGTGAACCTGGCGACGATACTGGTCTCTGCTATAAGATGATGGAGGCTTTCGAGGGTATGGATTGGGTCGACAGTCTTGAATGATGTAACGATTGGTGATGATACCACACGGGAAACCGCTGGCGTTCTGGTAGGAGATTGTCATTACTTGAGAATGAATCGGTACTGGATGCTCGTCACACACTCACACCTCGCTCGTTGGGACGGAATCACCCCTCAAGTCGCGACTTGTAGCAATGAAGGCATTTACCCTCGAATGACTTGGAGCGGTCTTTCTGAATGATCTGCTGGATTGGTCCCATCTGCTTGAGCCGTCACATCAAGTAGGCTGTGCGAGCTGGATATGGGTCATGAAGGGGGATTGGTGCTCGCGGTAGCACGCTTGAGCTCGCCCCCAGATGGACGGCAAATAGACGCATAGCCGTAGAGGTGTATACTAGGTAGTGATGCCACCGCCAAATCATTATATTTTACTCCACTTGTCTGTGCGTTCTTCCGCACTTCATGTCTCATGCATGGCCTGCTTGCGCAATCGTCGTGAATGGTTGCTGCCTATTGACTCAAATTCACTGCCTGAGGCTGTGAATGTACGAAGCTTGGCCTGCGATGTACGACGACTGCCATTACGGCTCGACTTTTCCTTTTTTACGCCCAGTGACTCCTCCATTTTTTCTCCGCGATCTCGCTCGCACCTAGCCGATGGACGTCCGCCCATCTCCTTGGCCGGGCTTTTGTCATGGAGAACGCTTGCCTGCAGGGGAAATGCGTACATAATAGCCATCGGACATGCGCGGGACCATTCCTCTGACGGCTTGAACAATGCATGTCGAAGTGCGCGAGAATCGGTCATGATTGCATGCTGCACAGAGTCAGAATTTTCTTGCTCCAGGTCGACTTAAATATAACAGCTCAACCGCCTTCGTAAGCTCGCCAAAAGCTCATTCACAGTAAACAGTCGACACACATCAACATACGTCCTTGCGTACACAACTACACGCTAACTAGACCTGCGACCGTTCACCGAAAAGTCTCAAGCGTTTTTGGCATGACCAGCTTCCACACCCCCAGCAATCAGCAAACTTGGACCAGCGAGCAAAACAACCAAGATCATAATCAGCATCAGGAAACGCCACCAGAACAGCAGTGGCCCAACGATCATAGGCTCAGCATTGATGAAAGCGACGCGACAGAGAAAAGCTTCGGCGTGCGTCGCACAGAAAACGTGGATGGCGTGTCCCGGCCTCAGGTGTTGACCCGGGAGCAGACGACTACGTCGCTGGCAGCAGCACCATATACTAGTCCTGACGACTTTGGGTTACCGAGTCCACATCACATCGATGCATCACAGGGAGAAAAGGAGCTAAGGCGATCTTCGACCGCGTCGACCCTTCAGCCAGAGAGCGGTGCGGGTGCCACAGCCTCGCGTGTCTCTACCGATGCGCACGGCAACACCTATCCCGAGGGTGGCTTCGCTGCTTGGTTCTGCGTGTTTGGATCCTTCTGTGGGCTCATGTCTGCCCTGGGTATGATGAACACCATAGGAACGTTCCAAGCGTATCTATCCGAAAACCAGCTCTCAGACCAAAGCGAGAGCGCCGTGGGCTGGATTTTTGGCATCTACGCGTGGCTTGCTTTTTTCTGCGGCATTCAGATTGGGCCATGGTTCGATGCAAAAGGTCCACGCATTCCGGTGGCTCTTGGTAGTGCGATGATCCTTGCGACTTACTTGCTACTAGGAGTGTGTACGGCTTACTGGCACTTTCTGATCGTTTTCGGAATTGTCGGTGGGATAGGCACGAGTCTGGTCTTCACCCCGGCGGTAGCAGCCGTCGGGCATTGGTTCCTTCGGAAGAGGGGTCAGTGCACCGGTCTTGCAGCTGCTGGTGGCAGTCTTGGTGGTATTGTTTACCCGCTCACACTGAAGGCACTCTTTCCCAAGGTTGGGTTCGCTTGGAGCTGTCGGGTGGTGGCTTTGATAAACTTGGTCCTCCTGATCATTGCCAACTTCGGTGTTCGGTCTCGACTCCCACCGAAGAAGGCATCAAAAGAATCGCTACTCCCAGATCTCACGATATTCCGCCAAAGGACGTTCGCTTTGACCACGGCCGCAGTCTTCTGCATGGAGTGGGGCCTGTTCGTCCCGATTTCCTACCTCGTCTCCTACTCCCTCGCGCAGGGAATTGGCTCGGACTTTTCTTACAACTTGATCGTTATCTTCAACGCTGCGTCGACCCTAGGACGGTACCTACCAGGCCTATTCGCGGACAAATTCGGGCGTTTCAACTGCATGCTTGCCATGATTGGCATGGGTTTTGTTTCTACCTTCTCTCTTTGGATGCCTGCTCGTGACAGCAAGGCACTGCTGATCCTGTTCGCCCTTGCATTCGGTTTCGCGTCAGGAAGCGGCATTTCGCTTACGCCAGTTTGCGTAGGTCAGTTGTGTCGAGTCGAGCATTACGGCAGGTACTACGCCACATGCTTCACGGTTGTGAGCTTTGCGAGCCTCACAGGAATTCCAATTGCAGGACAGCTGGTCACAACCTTGAATGGTCGATACGAGGGTTTGGTTGCATTCACGGGTGCCGCATATGCTGCAAGTTTCGTCTTTTATGCAGCCGCAAAAGTCAGCGGCGTTGGATGGTCATGGAAAGCAATTTATTGAGAGGGCAAAAGTACCTCCGGTATACAGAGAAGTAAAAGGCATGATGGCGTTCAATTTGGCGAGGTGTCTTCGGAGTTCTACATATTAGTCGCACGAGGCGGCCCCCAATCTACATTTATATCCCAACTGTAAACCAAGCCCGGCCTCCGATTTGTCAGTATTCTTCCCTTATTGCTCGCGGCATATGGATAGAGCTCAAATCATTCAATGTACAATTGCTTTCGTAGAAGCACGCCTGAGAACCATTGCGGACCAGCCGAGCCCGTGTCCTCAGATGGGCAGAAGTCGTGCAGCCAAATTACCCCAGAATTGCCCCGCGCCTTCGGAAGGGGAAAGAGGTGACTGTCTACCTCGCTAAGCCACACACCATTGCTCGCCACGTTCTCGCTTTCGACTCGAAAAGCCACCCGCTGTGCTCCGTGTCACAGCTATGCAAGCCGGAGCTTTCGCTCATTTTACCGCAATGGCTAGGAGATAGGGAATGATGGAGGCAGCAAGCACGAGCCACTACCACACATTTTCGGCGATTCCGCCTGGTCTCACTCGTTCGGAGCTCAAGAACGGACAAGGTAGTGTGCCAAAGAAGAAGCCCTCGAGAAGGCGTCCCAATACCGGTCGCCGATTTCAGTGTAATCATGATGGCTGCGGTAAGACGTATTCTAGAGCCGAGCATCTCCAGCGACACCAATTGAACCACAGTCCAAAGGGGCTCTTCTCCTGCGACTATGCTGGATGCGATCTCACCTTTGTCCGAAAAGATCTCAGAGATCGCCATAGAAAGCGCCACAGACATCCCTCGCCATCAGGTTCGTTCGGCCAACCTACTGTCCAGGAGACACCCTCGAAACTTTCTACCGGCGGATCAGACAACGAGCGGACGCCCGGCGCAGTAGGCCTGCGTACGCTGAGCAGCGACTCCGGTCGCAGGCCATCTCTAACCGCTGCCACATCGTCAGTCAGCTTCCCAGCTCGAAGTACTGCTGGCTTCGATGGCTTTAATGCGAATCCGTACTCGGGTGCAAACCCCTTGAACAGTTCAAATGGCGAGCTTGGCTTTCCTAACCTCGAGAGAAAGACATCCATCACCCCGGGCGAAACGATCAACCATCATGCTACAAGCTCTGTTGGAAGACCTTCGATGAGATTCAGTCATTCACACGGCAGCATACCTGCAGTCAACCCCGGCCCAAAGCAACTCAGTCCTCAATCGGAATGCGATAGCCATCGTCCCGGCGTATTAGCTGGCTTCAAGCTGTCCGAGTCGATGTCTATGACTGCAGACAGCTCACAGAAAGCTATGGATCTGACACAAACACGTAGCTCTAAATTTGGACCTTCTCAACAACAGAACTACATCCAAGGCGTCGGGACTCCAGGACAGGGGACCGGCCAGCAACAACGATCAAGTACAGCCACCGCGGCATCTACTTTCAACGCTCCGTTCGTTACTCCCGACTTGGCCATGAGCTACGAAACTCCAATCATTGACGATCCTTCGCTGGGCATATCGCCCTCAGGCCGGACCGATGAGTTCACATCATGGCTCTTTGACCAGAACGGGGGAGCCTCGCACCCATCACATGCAAGTTCGAACATATACCATTACCAGCCGAATGTTTTCGGCCAAATATACTCCGACGAGATGCCATCGACTTTGTTTGATCAGTTCGCAGATGTTCCTGATGAGCCCGATCCGATGACATCCACCGATTTCCTTCTGCCTGCCAAAGAACCCGGTTTGTCCGACTGGAAGCGGAGACACCTAGTCTCGATCATTCAGGGGAGGTTCTTTGCAAGTGGCAATAGTGGATTGGCGACGAAACAGCAGATTTTTGGCGGCAACGATGATGATGCCGGCCATCTGTTGAATATGAACTCTTTCCAGATCTACCTAGCTTCGTACTGGACGAGATTTCACGACCAGTTTCCCTTGCTCCATAGGGCGACCTTCATACCTGACCAGATTCATGATTGTCTACTTCTCACAGTTATTGTGGTGGGGGCGTCTCTCCTTGATGATACTCAACACGGATCCACGTTCTGCGATGCTGCAGCTCGGCTTGCAAGCGTTGTAGCTTGGAGCCTGAGATGGCAGATCTTGACAGATGCTGACTCAGGACCTCCAGCAAAACTGTGGGTGCTTCAAAGTCTGGCGATTCTAGAATTTTACGAGAAGATGAACGCAACCCGGGCGCTTCACGAGCGAGCTCATGTACATTTCGCCGCTACGCTTACGCTGATGCGTCGCGGTAGCGCACTAATTGGAGACCATAGTATCCCACCATCCCGCGACGAGGTCGCCACCCAAGTCGATGACAACGATGCATTTGCGAGTGACAAGTGGTGGAACCACTGGGTTGCCCAAGAAGCGACCCGCCGCGCAGCGTTCGGAGCATTCTTCCTGGATGCGTTGCATGCGACCATGTTTGGCCATGCTGCGACCATGGTCATTCATGAGATTCACTTGCCTCTTCCCTGCGATGACACACTTTGGTCTGCTGGCACGGCCTCAGAAGTGGGGAGAATCGAATTCAGCCTGTACACCAACGGCATCAAGCCTACCATGTTCTTGACAGGGGTGAAGCGCACTCTATCCTGCCAAAAGGTACGGACTAATCCCTTTGGACGCATTATACTCATGGCCGGGCTCCTCTCCATCGCCTGGCATATGCATCAAAAGGAACTCTACAGGAGCACATTGGAAGAACGGAGCGTTGGGATGCCCGAGGGTTGGAAAGCTCAATTGCTGAAAGCTTTTGACTGGTGGAAGCAAGATTTTGACGACAGCTTCAGCCATATGCGCAAGAGTGGCATTGATGCAGGCAAGACGGGCTTCAGCCAAGAACGGGCTCTCACATCCCAACATCTGGCGACTGGCCTCTACCATATGGGCCATATCGCAATCCAAGTGGACATGCCTGACCTGTGTATCTTGGCTGGAGCAAAGGTCCTGCTCGGTCGAGTTATTACCAAATCAGACTATGAGCGAGTGCATTTGAAGTTGAAGCAATGGGTAAGCACGGCAAGTGCGCGACATGCCGTCCACTACTCGATCCAATACCTCAAACTGACCCTCCTTGATCCCGAGTCCGGCCAGCTTTCCGACTCAGGGCGACGCTCATCCAGCCAAGTCTGGGACGCTGCGTTCAGGGGCGGTCCCAACTCGCCGGATATCGTGCTCATTCGGCCCTGGACCATGTATTATTCGGCGCTCGTGCTATGGACTTATGGATACCTTCTCGACGGTCCCCTCCGGCCATTTCCAGAGTCCTCAGCGAAGCCTCGAGCTCTCGACTCGGATATCGCACAACAGACCCCTGAGCAGATCCAACAGATGGAACATGACGCCAAGACTTATCTACATGCCATGGGCAGGTTTACCCATCCGAATGGATTGCAGAATGTAACAAACAGTCGGAACAAGGTTGTTGGCTTGATGGGCGTGGTTCTGACAGCCCTAGAAAGCTCACGATGGGAGCTCCTACATGAGGCGAGACAGCGGTTGCATAGTTGCGTGGACCAGCTAAGATGATCTCAAGACCAGGAGTCATGGCTGTAGGTTCGCTATAGTCATCGAAAGGGAATTAGTCTACCTGATCTACTCGCCCGGGTCAACACAGGCCAGGAAGCACTTGCTGAGGCCTGAAGGATTTCTTCACACGGCTCCTATCATAGCACGCGCAGTATAAATTGTACCCCGAGCAGTCGGGGGTCGCAGCCTTGCCCATCCTCAGGTACCCCCGCACACCGGATGCGACCCTGATGCCTACCTGGGGTAATGTATATCTACCATACCCACCGACACTGCTTTCTTTCCATGCACAGCTCCACAGACCTCTACAGCCCACCTCGGCTTCCCACTCCGCCTCTCGAACCCATCATCACTGCCTTCTTCAGAAATGTCCGACGCCGACTCCCAAACCATCACCGTCCCCGTCATCCTCAACGGCGTGACCGGCCGCATGGGCACGAACCAGCACCTCATCCGCTCCATCCTGGCCATCATCTCCGCGGGCGGCGTGCCGTTCCTCGCGCCCGCCACCAACACCACCGCCACCAGCAGCGACCCCAGTCCCCACAGCACAACCATCATGCCTCGACCCATCCTCGTCGGCCGCTCCGAAGGCAAGCTCGCCGCGCTGGCCGCCGCGCACGGCCTGACCGAGTACACGACGGAGCTGCGTCCGCTGCTCGAGCAGCTCGCGAGCGATGCGCACGCACACGCGCACGCGGTCTACTTTGACGCGTCGTCCACGGCGGCGCGGTTCGAGGCGGTCAAGATGGCGCTGCAGGTCGGGAGCGGGGGGATGCACGTGTACGCGGAGAAGCCGCTGGCGGGGAGTGTGGCGGAGTGTGTGGAGCTGGGACGGCTGGCGGCGGAGCGGGGCAGGCGGAACGGGGTGGTGCAGGATAAGTTGTTCTTGCCGGGGTTGAGGAAGTTGAGGGGGTTGTTGGAGGAGGGGGTGTTGGGGAGGGTGATGAGTGTGAGGGGGGAGTTTGGGTATACGGTCTTCTCGGGCTTGGAGGGGGAAGGAGAGGGAGAGGGGGAGGAGGGAAGGGTGCCGCAGCGGCCGAGCTGGAATTATAAGAGGGAGGAAGGGGGTGGGATTATTAGGGATATGTTGTGCCATTGGCAGTATTTGATTGAGGGACTGTTTGGGCGGATCAAGGCGGTGAGTTGTTTGGGGGCCACGCATGTTAAGCAGAGGGTGGATGAGGAGGGGCGGACATATGAGGCTACAGCTGATGATGCGGCTTATGCAACGTTTGAGCTCGAGGATGGGGTTGTGGTGCATTTCAACAGTAGTTGGTGCGTTAGGGTGCGTCGCGATGATCTGTTAAGTATTCAGGTGGATGGCACGAAGGGCAGTGCGGTCGTGGGTCTCCGGGAATGTTGGGTACAGAGCGCGAAAGAGACGCCTAGAATCGTTTGGAACCCTGATGTTCCTCCGGTAGAGGATTACTGGAAGGGCTGGCAGCAGGTGGAATCCAAGGATGATGAAGAAGTAAATGCATTTCGAGCACAGTGGGAACAGTTCCTGAGGCACGTAGTTGCGGGAACGGAGTGGCAACATGGCTTCGACCAGGGTGCGAGGGGTGTGCTGGTCACCGAGACGGCGGAGAGGAGTTGGAGGGAGAGGAGATGGGTTGACGTACCTGAGTTGTGAGCAGATATAGGACTGCAAAACATCAACAAAGCGCCGTAAGAGTAAATTCTGCTGCTCGGCTGGCTCGAAACCATCGTCATCCCAGTGATGGGATGAACTTCTTCGGATTTTTCTTGCAGTCAGACCCTGAGGATCTCGAGGTCAATTCGCAGGGGCGTGTAGATACCGAAGAATAGGGAAGTCCTGGCTTCTGGAATTCGAGCCAAGTCTTCCTGGTCATACCTGAGCCTCCACCAAGGGCCTCACGCCCGAGATCCTTGTGTAACTTGAGCCCTGCTGCCGTGGCTGCCGCCACCGACTGCCGGAATGCCCTCAAGCCTGACCGTGCAACTCTGATAAGCCCCTGATGACACATTAAATCATGGCGTGCTCACGCAAATATAGAAGTCGCTCGTACGTTGAAAGGCCATTACTTCAGACCCTCTTCTAGTGCCCGAAAGACTTACATACTAGTGACCGCCTTCAGGTATTGCAGAAAGTGTAGCTGCCATGCGGCATCACCGCCGAGCGGGTCATCGGGGAGTCCGCTTGATGGCTGCATAGACGGCGATCAGCCATCAAAGGCGTGGCGTAGAAACTTTGACAGTGGGCGGCGACCGTGCGCCTCAGGAACGTCTGTGACGGGCTGATTACTTGCATCCTGACCATCTTCACAGCATGGCGCACTGATTCCTAGGAACCAAAGGGCAATAGAGGGCTCTCGAGCACCATCCAAGTTTGGTACTTCGTAAGGCTAGTTCAGGTTATGGAGTGTATGTCAAGCTTGCCCCTTAGGTGAATACGAGTCAAGCCACGAGGGGTGGGGGGCACAAAGGACGCTGCTCCGTATGGCTGGAGATTTGAGGGTGACATGTTCCAGATGCCCGTCGGTTATACACACTTGTCTTCTCGATATCATTCTGTTTTGGCAAGGATTCACCCTGGCAATTCAGTCGATGAGCGATCATAACAAGAACAGAATCGCGTGACGAAGCTACGAACGCGCTGCACCTAAGGTCGGCCGATGCAGAAGCGCGTGTGCAACGGCATCGTACGATTGCAAGCATGTCGCAACGCGTCGCAGTATCATGAACATGTAAGCAAGGAGTACATCTCGGCACTGCCATCGAGATGGCGGGCGTTATCGACAGCATCGGTAGATTCGGCGACTCACAAAGGGATGATTTTCTCGAAAACGCCAGTCAACGGTCCCCCTTGCTGGCGTGGGTTCTGAAAGCCGGAGTACATTCCGGACACAGGTCTGTGTGTTTCGGGCGCACATGGTCAGGAGGGATGAAGCATGCCTGGCTCGAGCGGCGCGGGCTGGTGGTCGACACAAGATATAGATTGGTCGGTATGCGTAAGAGCAGGCATAAGAAGGCGGCGGCTGCGAAGGATCGACCTGTTGCACGTAAAAAAACCATGGAGTTCAATTTTGATTTCTTGTCACCAGGGGAAAGCGACTCAAGCTACTTTGATAGCTATTTTGGGGCCAGCACGCCGCTCAGCAGCCATTCTCCCAAATCTAGCCTGGATTCGACGGCCAGCCACACCAACAGCATCCATGGCGTGGTGCAGTATCCGTACAGTCGCGCCCCCAGCAATTTCAACCTAAGCAGCGCCGCCAGGCGCGGTGGCCGGGGATCGACGTCATACGCCCCGGGCGCGGGCACCGACACGGACGCAACCAAGTCGACGATGACGGAAGGCTACGTCAATCCGACCGACATCCACCACTGGCTGCAGACGACAATCTCTTCCAACCTGGACAAGGCCTGTCATTTACCCTTAACTGGCGGGGAAGTCTACCAGAATGCCCCAGTAAGCAACTTTCTCTCTGTGCATCATATACCATCATTCCTTGTGGCTTGAACCCTGGTGCTCTCTGTGTCCCCACTGCTAGCCCACCTGTCACCTCGAGCCGACGACATCTTGCATTAATCATCCTCTGTTACCTTCTTTGGTTGCCTCATCACCACTCCCACTCCTGCTCGCACCCTCGCACACCCGCCTGCATTTCGAGCTCCCGGACACACTATCGGATTAAAGCGTTGCAGCGGTCTTGCCTAAGCTGCAGCAATCCTGCTTATTCAACCTGCATATTTCGGGGCCTGGATTCAGCCGTTGGCCACTAGCCTTTCCGCATCTTCCCTCATCAGTCAATTTACCTCACACCCGCTCTCTACCTCAACCGCACTCCCTCACCGTGCTTGTCTGCGCCTTACACTGTCAATCTTTATTCCATCAGCCGTCAGGCTCAAGACTAAATCATGAGTACCATACAGAACATCAAGAACCTCATCAGGCATGGACGAAATGGCCAGAAGCAACCCGATATTCCTCGTGACCAGCCTACGACCAATGTCTCGCCTGTTCACGCCCAGCAGCAAAAATACAACCACGCCATTAGTGAACCTCAAGTCGGCCACCAGAAGCAGCAGAACTACCAAGCCGGCGTGAACGACCCTGGACAATACTCTGTTGCTGGCGGCGATCATCGAAACGTCGCTGCCCAAGCCGGCCATGCTGCCGCTAACGCACAAGGCAAGCATCAAAAGCTGCAAGGCAACACTCGCGCAGAGATCGAAGCTCTTGTGGCCGAGGAGCGAGAAAAGTCCACTAAGATGCCTCGATACCCGGGCCTGGAACGATTCATCTTGGTCGAGAAAATGGGCGATGGCGCTTTCAGCAATGTCTATCGAGCAAGAGATACCCAAACTGGACAGGAGTGCGCCATCAAAGTCGTCCGGAAGTTCGAAATGAACTCGAATCAGGTATGCCCGATTCGGGACCAACCGCTTTCCTTCTCTCCCTTTCACCTTGTACACACCTTCCACTCTTGATCAGCAAACCAACGTTGTTTGCTAACCTAGGGCGACGCACATCTTCATCCGGATTTCAAGAAGCAGCCGAAGACTGTGGAGGTTAGCGAATCCTACTCCTTTATGTCCAGTGTTGTAACTGGTCACCCGCATCGTTATCATTACCACTGCACTCATTCGTATGTTCCTATAGCACACGCTGACTCCTAGCTAGCGAGCCAACATCCTCAAAGAAGTCCAGATTATGCGGCAACTCGACCACCCCAACATCGTTAAGCTCATCGACTTCTCCGAATCTCGGCAGTACTACTACATTGTCCTCGAGTTATGCCCAGGCGGCGAACTTTTCCATCAAATCGTACGGTTGACCTATTTCAGCGAAGATCTGAGCAGGCACGTCATTGTACAGGTCGCCAAAGCGCTGCGATATCTTCACGAGGAGAGAGGCGTTGTACATCGGTATGTACGTCCTATTATTTTTCGCATCAACTACTAATTTTCCTCTAGTGATATTAAGCCTGAGAATCTACTCTTCTATCCTGTTCCCTTCATCCCCACCAAGAATCCTAAGCCCCGTCAGCCCGACGATGAAGACAAAGCTGATGAAGGCGAATTTGTCCCCGGCGTGGGTGCAGGTGGGATTGGCGAGATCAAGATCGCCGATTTCGGGCTCTCCAAGGTGGTCTGGGACTCGCAAACGATGACGCCATGTGGTACAGTCGGCTACACTGCCCCCGAAATTGTCAAGGATGAGCGATACAGCAAGTCTGTGGACATGTGGGCCCTGGGTTGTGTGCTGTATACTCTCCTCTGCGGCTTTCCTCCATTCTACGACGAGTCTATCCAAGTCCTCACCGAGAAGGTTGCCCGTGGTCAGTACACCTTCCTGTCGCCCTGGTGGGACGATATCTCCAAGTCAGCACAAGATCTGGTCTCTCATCTACTCACCGTCAATCCCGACAAACGGTATACCATTGACGAGTTCTTGAACCATCCATGGATCCGCAATGTTCAAGAACCTACCTATGCCGCCGCCGACGCGCCGCCTCTTGCCACCCCTCTAGTCATGCGACAGAAGGAATGGGCCATGAACAATAAAGTCGTCGACCAGGCTCCCCATGATCTGGGCCTGCTAGAAGGTGTTACCCCAGGTGGTAGGAGAATGGATTTCCGATCACCGGCTGCTGTCAACTTACGAGAAGTCTTTGACGTTGGCTATGCTGTACACCGACAAGAGGAAGAAGCTAAGCGACGGAAAAACTTCAAGCAAGGATACCGAGGAGGTGCTGCCCCTGGTCAACTTAATCCGTTGAACGAGGATGATGATTTCGATGAAGATGACGAATACGATGATGATATCTCGAGCAAAGTGCCTCGGTCGCAAGCACCCAGTGATGTTTCTGGTATGGAGTCTAAGATGCGCCAGACCAATCTTTCTGGTACGCAACCTTCGGCAGCAGCTCAAGCTCGCTCAGCTGCAGCACCTGCTCGCAGCCAACATCACCAACAAGAGCAGCGCGGATATGGCCAACATAGCCCGGCCGTCGCCGCCGCCGCGAAGAAAAGTGTTGGCAAACGCAACCAGCAGCCTTTCGAATTGAGTTTGGACAACAGTACGTTGCTTGGTCGGAGAAACAAGCACGGTGGTATGCCAATGCAGATGCAGATGCCGGGCGACAAGGGTACGAGCAAGCTCCGCGAGGAGCTCAGTGTGCGATGATAGATCAAGAATTGTGGTCAAAATATTCATCTTTGGGAACATCCATGGCTACGGAGCAAGTGTAAGAGAACAGCAGCGACAGCCAGCAGCAGGATGTTCTCTCTCACAGCCTGTGCATAGTAACGGACGGAAACTGTCTTCACTCACGGGATACGGGTCACGATACGAGCGTGGGTTCGGAGTTCATAGAGCAATCAAAGGATGACGGTATGATTTAACAAACCGAGCACACGTCATCAGATTGTGAAATGTGGCATTGTCTTATTTCCTAAGCTGTACTTTAGAAGCTGCCGTGGACTGGATGACGCTTTACAGCCGTGCCTGTCTGTGAGAGCAGTAATAGTCAGCCTCAGTCACCCCACTCATCGGCACGGCTCAAGCACCACCAAATTCCCCAGACTGACGACTTGCTCACCTGGGAATGATCTCCTCGCAAACCCGCCCTGTTCCTGTGCTCTTGCAGAGACGGGACAGCCATGACAAGACAAGACACACACACGCCTACGACTGCACATACTTCTCACCAATGCCCTTCTGCACGGCCTCCCTCGCCGCGATCCTGTCAATCCACTTGAGCACATGAGGAAACTTGTCCATGTCCTCCTTCGCGAAGCCCGAGCGCTCCCACCCTTTGACCCACGGCCAGGTCTTGATGTCGGCGACGCTGTACTTGCCCTTGCCGGCGCCCGCGAGGTAGTCGCGCGGCTGCCCGCCCGTGTAGATGCCCGACAGGCGGATCTCGAGCACGCCGTAGACGCGCAGCGTCTCGTTCTTGTAGCGCGTGATGGCGTAGGGGATCTTTTCGGGGGCGGCGCGCGTGAAGTGGTTGACTTGGCCTTGGTAGGGGGCGCCGCCGCCGTCTGGCCGGGGGAGTGGGTTAGTGGGATTTGGGTTGGGTTGGGTTGGGTTGCTGGGGGGATGGAAAAGGGATTGAGGGAGGGGTGGATATTGGGATAGATAAAAACAGAAACGGGCGGGGTTTATGGGGATATAAGAGAGAGAGGGCGCAGGGTGCGTACGCCAGAAGAACATCCACTGCAACGCCTCGTTACGTTCGAGCTCGTCTTTGAAGCCGAATGTGTCCTCTGCGTCGTATTCTTTTAGGAGGTAGAGCAGCTGAGCAGAGGTTTCGATGACAGGGTAGGGAGGGTTTTTGCTGTTGTCGACGAGAGTGGGAATGCGGCCGTTGGCGTTGAGGCGGAGAAACCCTGCTTGTGGTCAGTACTGGGGATTGTCACCTCCACGGGCTTGTGGGATCATGGGCTCTGAGAAAGCCGGCAGAGCGGTTACATACACTCCTCCTTCTGGACATTGGTGGAAATATTGATCAGGGTGGTCGTCCACTTCGTGCCATACTTCACGGCAAGCTCCTCGAGCAGGATCTGTGTGGCTTGGCCATTGGGCGTGTTCTGGGTGAGCAAGTGGAGGCCCGGAGCGTTCTTGACCTCGTCTGGGGTAGACGAGATGTAGAGGTTCTCTTTAGAAGTCATGTTGCGTATTTGGTGTTGATGTCTTGGTGATCGGGCCGCGAGCCTGAGGGTTCTACAGAGGGGGGCAGTAGCACTTGTCAACAAAGAGAAGTGGCAGCGGAGGGGCAGTGGAAAAGGTCTACAAGTCATATATGCGTGGGATGCGTTTCACTGGTGGCCGAAGTTGGATTCGTCATTGGTAAGCGATTCAAACGCAAGAGCTGCGAGGGGCAGCACTACAGCGGTACTCTACATGACGCGATCTGTGCCCCACCCGTCTTTTCTCCAACTATACAGATAGACGAAATGAATAGGTGGAGGCGATTTTGGGGTTCAAGCGCCCAGAGGCAGTGAATGGTAACGGACTCTGTACCGAGCGTCGTGGTATTGAACAAGAATTGTGTTGTCCATTATGGGTTAAACATAAATTTATCTGCTCGCTATGTATGCAGAGCTCGACTGTACGTCAAGTGTCTCGTCCGCCGTGTCACCACCGTGTCCACGACTTTTGTAAACCCCGTGTGGCCGCAGCCTGGTATCGTCATGTCCAAAAATGCAACAAGAAATAGTACTCCCATGCTATGCCGTCCGCCCAATGCATCCATCAACGCTTCCCATAAAGGTATACTCACAAGCCGGAGTCAATTTGATTAATTGGGCCCTCACCAGTAAATTGGTCCCAGGCCGTCTGTAGGTTGAGGACATCCTGAGGAATGTTCAGGGTGGGGATGTCCGCTGGACGCTCAAGGAGGTTGACGTATAGACCACCGCTGACATGCCATGCGATATGACAATGGAACGGCCATACACCTGGGTTGTCGGAATCAATCTGAATCACAATATGACTGGGCGTCCCGGCCTTCGGGTCTGCGGGCCTCAACATCTGGGTATCTCGCCTTTGAGGGTTCTCGGGCCGGATTATGCTCGACTCGTCCCAGTAGCCCTTTCCTTCGTGCAGGACGTACATGTTGTGACCGTGCAAGTGCATGGGGTGGCCAATGGGACTGTGGTTAATGACAACCAGTCGCACCGACTCGGAAGACTCGAGGTTGTACAGATTCCACTCTGGTGGGTATACGAAACCAGGATCGTTGGCATGGGCACGGTAGAGTGCAGGGTCGTTATAGTTCACTCGGAAGCTGGACTCGTTCATGGTCCACACCAGATTGCCAGTAGCGTTGATGGTAGAATTGACTTCGATGGTGATAGTCTTATCGGGCGTGGCCGGAACTGGGATGGGGTAGTATGGCACGGTCAGGGATAGGTCATCATTGGCGCACAGGTCCGGGCGTGGAGGCCATGCGGGACTGGTGGGCTCGATGGTTGTATCACAGTCGTCGTAGTAGATGACTGCGAGGCCATTGGGCTGCTTCGCAAGCGAGCAGGCGGTGATATTAGACCGCATCCATACCGCCCCCAGTTGCGAGTTGGCCGTGACTACAACGTCTGTCCGTTGACCGATCCCGAGCACGACGACGTCAGTGTCGTAGGGAACAACAGGAACCATGTCGTTGGCAATCACAGTCAACGTGTGGTCGTCGATGCTGAAGTGCTGAATGGTGTCGGCGCCCGAGTTGATCAGACGGAGTCTGTACGATTTGCCGCTGTCAAAGTGGAACTTGGCGTAGCCCCCGTTCCTGTAGCAAGGTAGGGTGGTCAAGCTGCAGTCGTATGTACCCTTGCCTTGGATCAAGTTATTGCTGGAGAAGAGGGCTTCCTTGGTCTTGTTCAGGTCGTTGCCCATAATATCCTCCAGAAGGTCAAAGTAGTCGCGGTGATAAGTATCCGAAAGGAGAACAGGGCCAAGGTCCTCGTCGTAGTCAACGTGGCTGGGACCGTGGATGATCATGGCACCGAAGACGCCGTCGGCATACTGGGCGCTGTAATGGCTGTGGTACCATGTCGTACCATAGAGATCGGCAATAAAGGAGTAAGTGAACGTCTCGCCGGTGGCAATGGGATGTTGAGTAATGCCTGGAACGCCGTCTTCCCATGGGCTACCCCGGTGGAGAATGCCATGCCAGTGAAGAGCCAAACCCTCTTCAGGGTCGGAAATGCGGTTCTCAACAGTGACATTGATGCGGTCACCCCAGTCGGCAACGATGGTAGGCCCTGGAAACTCTCCATTGATAAGCATGACATGTCGCTGGACGCCGTCGGGGCTTTTGATGCCTCGCTCGATCACGAAATGGTATGAGCGCGTCTGGTTGGTTACCGGCAGGTCATGGTAGGGATCATTGAGCTTTGCTGTTCTGCCACCCCAGGGGTACGCGACCGCTGCTTTGGAGCCAGACTTGCTCTTCGACTTGGCTAAGGCTGAGCCATAAGATTCCGCATCCATGTAGGGACGATACTTGGGCGCATCAAGAGTGCCAAGCAACGAAGCCCCATTCGTGTCTTCTTGTGACAGCCAGTCTTTGGTCCAGTCGATATTGCCAGGGTTGATGGGATTGGACTGGAAGTCAGGAGGGAAGAGCACGTCTTCGACCGACGGCCAGTCATGCTCTGCTGGAGCATTGTTGTATGTGTTTTCCCAATCATCCGTGGCGGAAACGATTGAGGTAAGTGAAAGAATGGCCAAGACGAGCTGTGCTGTAACACCGACCATCTTGCCAAATGCCTAGCGAGGCAGCGAGTGAAACCGACCGTGGTCCTGCAAGCGAGTGGGTTACGGAGGGGCCTAACAGTCTTGGGGCAGGTTGGAAAAGAATGTATTAAACGGTTAGTAAGGAAATACTTGTCTTAACGAAAGAAAGTGGAACGGATGAAGAGATGGAAGGCTGGGAGGTGATTCCCGCCCTGAAATATTATACTCTCATCGATGTCAGATCAGAGGCAAGGCAGTGTCATCTTTGCTGGCTGCGTAGGCGTGCCAGCTACACCGTACGGTACTCCGTGTGAACCGTGCCCTCTCGAGTCCGGCATCCTTTGTGGAGTGGCTGGGTAAGGTGTAAAGCCGGATAGCCAGTGGCAGCACCAGAGACAGTTCACCCACGTCGGCTTAGCGTGGTCTGCTAATGGCCAGATACGGGGTTCCAGACCTCTGCACATGTGTTGAGGCTGGGCGCAAAGTATTATTGTATTTTTGTGCCCTCTTCCTGCGGGCGTCGTTCGTGAATAGGACTGGGAACCTCGCCAGGCTGGTGGGTGGCTGGGGGGCGCAATGGTTTCTAAGTTTGGGCGCCGCTAGTCAGTAAGCTCTGCCCAGCCAACCAATTGTTATTCAGGGCTGCCACCAGGTACATTCCAAGCAGCAGCCGTGAGTGGCCAATAGTCTGACAGTCTCGTGTATGCCATTGGCACAGCCGCATCCTGGGGTGTCAGCAGGTTTGGCCCAAGTTCGGCCCTGATGCATGTTGCAGCCACTGCACTTCGGTTGGTCAGGCAATGGTGGTCCTTGGCAACGTGCTGGCCTCGCTGCATGCAACTTTGGGTGTTCCCTGCTCCCTGTTTCCACACTCCGCCAGACAGGTTTGGCCGCTTGCAACGCCTGTGAACCTGATGTGGACTGATAAAGAAGACGACTCTTCACTCTCGGAGGAATAAGCATGTTTCTCGCAACAAATTGCTGCAGCGTGTTCCGCTGCCCAACATGGCCTTTCACCACGCTGCCGTGATTCTTGGGCTGAGCCTCGTCAATCGTTTCTCCGTCATTTGGTGGTATCATTCTATCTACTCGTACATGCCTCGTGTCATCTTGCGTCGACCGTTTCTTTCACGGGGCTGCCACCCTCCTCCGCCTTTCCAGACGATGGGAAGGGGCTAAAGTCTCGCGAGCTAGTCGAGAACGTCGACTGCACCGGCGGATGTTTCTCCCCGCTTGGCCTCGAGTTGTGCTGACTGGTTGAGGGGAACTCGTGTTGAGCTGGTGTTGGGGTCTGTGCTGATCCACCGTCGTTGGAAATAGGACTCAGCAAGTCTCCATTATCGTCCAGCGTTACCGAGTTCAGGCCGTGCAAGCCACCTTCGATGTCCCGAATCAGCCTTACAAACTCTTCAGGCACGAGACCACTTTCACCCGTGCGAGGGTCTTCGGCCACCAACCAGCCTTGGCCATGCCTGTATGATACCAATATTATCTGGCCCTCCTTGAGAGCCAACTCGTTCTCGTGTTCACTCTCAAAGTCGAAGAGCGCCACAGCCTTGCCGTGCATCTCCTCGTCAGGGCTTGCTATTGTAAATGAATAGTCTTTGGAGAACCTCCCGTCGCCTTCGTCTACGTCTGAGGCTTCTTCCGACAGCTGATCGACGCCATCGTAAGGAGACCTTTGCCGCTGCAGTGGCTTGGCAAAATTGGAATCCCGGTGTCGGGGCTGCAAACGCCGCTCCAAGGACGCTTGAATGGCCGCCCCAGGCTCGCCACTGTCGCCATCTGGCCCTATTATCATGCCCCTGCCGGGACCTGCATCTCCCGGTGACCGCCCTCGCTCGTAGCCCTGTGATTTGCTCTTTTTATGCCGTGATGATGTGACAATTGGTGAATGGAGGTCTTCGTCCTCGCTGTAGGGCGGTCCACCATCTGAGAAAGACATGGCCGGTAGCTGGACGGGTAGCCGTTCTTGACGTTCTGGGTCTTGCTGTATCTCTGACATCCATGGTGGCGTGGCTGACCAAGTGTATCTCGAATCTTCCCATTGCGCCAGCACAGGATCTGACACTCGCCGAGCCTCGCTGACTGGTGTCGATATTCCAGATGGTATCGGCGGAGGGCCATAGTGCATCGGGTGAGCTGGTGGGTAAGCGAAGTCTCTCACAAAAGTGTATGTTAGACTCGAGTGGAATGCGGGGAAGACATAAGACACAGGCCGCGATTGTATTTGGTGTGAGGTCTTCGAGGTCGAAGAGTACGACGATACTCGACGGTTGACCCAAGATGTTGGCCGCTGCTGCGACGGCGTTCTTCGGGGTGTAGATGTAACGAGTGAGGGCAGAGGAGGAGGGCTCGTAATGGAGGCGTCTAGAGGGGGAGACATGGCCGGTGGTGAGGCGGTCAAGGTAGCCATATCGCTAGAAGACTCCGGTTGCAAATTCCACCTTCACCTAGTCTCTGGCGTTTAGAGACGACACAATGGCGACTTGGAGCGGTCGTGGATCTCAAGCGCGTTAGACGGAGTGAGCACGCCTAACGTGGCTCGCCGCTCTGTTGCGCCCGAGTAAACACCTGCTTGGTGGTTCGGGAGGCGTAGGATCGAGTCGGTGGACGAGGATCGTTCGCGCCGATGTACTTGATGAAGTTGACAAGGAGGCGTCGTCGGTCGATCGCGACTTCTGTGTCTTGTTGAACAAAGTAGTGAGGAGGTTCGACGATCCTATTAATAGCAACAAAGGCGTGCGGATTCTAGAAGGACAGAATCGGAAAGCTGCCGCTAATGCAACAACAACGCTGATAAGGATGGCAAAATGCAGGATAAAGTGACAGCGACAAGTAGTGCAGTCGATAGAAGGTAGAAGTGAAGTACAAATGCGCTCACCGCAGCAAGAGGTGCAGTCAAGTTGGAAAAGGGAACCTCGCAAGACGAACAGTGAACGCCTCCGGGCCTCTGGGCGCTCATCCTGTGGTTTAGGCACCTTTCGGGGGCGCGTGGGTCGTTCTATGCGCCAAAGGACACCGCTAATAGGCTGTTCAGGACGAGTGGCTGTTTCAGATTCAACAGGCCTCCAGGATCTTGACTTTCGTCTAGCTTTAGCCGCTTTCACCCTTTGCCTGGGCCAACAGTCGCAAGTCTCTGCGCACAACACCATTACCAGCATAATATTTTCTGCACGAGCAACAATACTACGCGCCGTGCCGCCCTAGTAGACAGCTGTAGCGGGTAAGTCATGATCCCCTATCTGCGCCTGTCCGCCGTTTCCCCTCGAAGATGAACCCAAACATATTGGAGCTGTCTGAGATCCTTCAAAGATCTTTGCGGACAAACCTCAAATTACGCTAAACATATCTGAAAACCTGCCTCGAGCCTCGCTGCACCTGCTATACTTTGTCACCTAAAGACTGACATCCATTGCTATAGCCATGCCGGTGTAGTCCTCCTCGTTCCCTCTCATGTCTGTTGACCCCCGCCTGGCGCGCCGCCAGGCTGCAGCAGCAAACCGTACCTCGACACCACAACCACCCCAACCTGCTGCACCTACACCCCCGGCGCCTGTGCAGGCAAGTGAGACTACACCCACCACCACCAGCGACAGCGACGTCAAAGCCTCATCAGCCCCAGCCGATTCGTACAAGCTCAAATTCTGCACCGTCTGCGCCTCGAATAATAACCGCTCCATGGAAGCCCACCTCCGCCTATCCACATCCACTGCATCGTACCCGGTCATATCTTTCGGCACAGGCCATTATGTCCGCCTTCCTGGTCCCTCAATCTCCCAGCCTCAGGTCTACACCTTCAACAACACCTCCTATAACAAGATCTACGAGGAGCTGCAAGCACAGGACGAGCGACTGTACCGCAACAATGGTATTCTCAACATGTTGGATCGCAACCGTGGCATCAAATGGGGTCCCGAGCGGTTCCACGACTGGATTGTTGGTGCGAGTAGGCTCGAGCCACTGAATCGTGGCGACAAGGGCGCAGATGGGACAGAGGGAGGCGTTGTGGATGTGGTATTCACGTGTGAGGAGCGGTGTTGGGATGCTGTGGTCGAGAATCTTCTTGAGCGTGGCGCACCGCTCAACAGGCCGGTGCACGTTTTTAACATTGATATTCGCGACAACCACGAGGAAGCGCTTGTCGGTGGGCGCGCCATTCTGGAGTTGGCGGATAGCCTGAACGATGCTGCCAGTCAGGAAAGGCAAGCACATGGCCCTTCAGGATGGCAAAATGGCTCCGGTCCTGCGCGGATGAGCTTCGACGAACGCGTACCGGAGATTTTGGGGACTTGGCAGGAGAAGTGGCCAAATCTACCAGCGTTATGGACTCTGTCTTGGTTCTGATTGAGCAGGGATGAAAAGGGACCAGAAAGGCGATCCTGGATCCCGAACGAGTCCATGTACTGGTATTTAGCGATGGCGCTGGAGGCGTTTTCCCAAGCAAGGCGGATCGAGCAAGGGTCTGGGCTTACTGAATCATGAAGACTTCAACTTTCTCTGGAATCTCATGCTGATTGATCTAACCACGACTATAACTTCTCTGGCTTTGCCTTCCTCCCTTCCTCAGCCACCTCGCTCTTCCGCCTCACCTCCAACTGCCGGGGTCCCTCCTTCTGAAATTTCACCATGACTACATACTCCTCGTCTCCCGATAACCCACTGTCCTTGAGCTCGGGACCGGGCTTTCCCAACGCCAGCGCCTGCCTCCCATCGTGCTGCACCCCTTTGCCAATGGGGCTGATAAATTTCTCGCTCCAGGCCGGCCCTCCGTTCTGTCCGGGCTTCGTCACGAACTCGTACAGCGCCCGCCGTCGCTTCACGATGTCCATGGCTGTGGTCTTCGCGCCGTAGATCTCCTTGCTACCTTCTAGCTGATCCACGCGGTCGAGGAATTGCGATGCGAGGTACAGCAGGATGAATTGTGGTGGGAATAGGATCACATCGCCTGCCTGCGCAGCGCGGAGCCAGTCGGCCGCAGGGCGGTACTCGGGAGCCATGGTCTCGATCTGGTCGGCCGTGGCATGGATGGAGGGATTAGAGGTCTCTTTCAGGTGGACGAAGTACAGGTACATCTGAGTGGTGAAGCGCTTGGGAACGTTCCTGAGGAATGAGGCTATTAGTTGGAGCGATCCTGAATGTGGTAGCGAGGGCCGGATCAGGAGGGAACTTACGGCGGAGTGACCCAATGTGTGAAAGGGATGAGGCCCTCAGTGTGCAGCACTGCGTCCTTCGATTGCGAGGAGAGCCAATCTTTGAAGCTGATCTTTCCAGAGTGGACTGCTTTGCGGCCTGCGAGTCTGGCCTCTGGGGACACGGGAAGGAGGGAAGTGGCAGAGGTGGATTCCTTAGCAAGGAGGATGCCTGTCTCTTCGAACAGCTCGCGGATCGCGCCTGTGCGGTATGCTGACGAGTCTTTATGTCGGGCCGGGTCCGTGGGCTCGGAAGGCAGCTCGCCGTCTTGAGGGTCAAGGTTGCCGCCCGGAAAGACATGGGCGGAGGGGAAGGCGGAAGAGGACTTGACGCGGTGGAGAAGGAGGATCTCGTTGGTAGGAGATACAAGGATGATGGAGGCGGAAGGAGATGCAGGTGCTGGGTTTTTGTGTGTGGTGTACTCACGGACTTCGAACTTGGGCTTGGGATTTGAGGAAGCCATGACTCGAGATGTGAGGCCCGAAGCCTCTGACTCAAGGCGTAAACGCGTACCTATCGACACTGAACGAGTAAGAGAGGTTCGGTACACGAGTTTCTGGGCAGGGCTTGAGCTTGTTAGGCAAGGCCTGCGTCCGGCGCAGATATAGTAGTTGGCCCGCAGAGTCTTTGTGTGGGATCTGACGCTGTGACGAGGCGGACTCATCGCCTACCTTAAGATACGCTTGATCGCGGCCACAATTAGAGAGAGCGAATGCGTTGCGCATGCTCGGCTGACGCTGGCAGCGTCTCCAAGCTTGGCTGCAGATGCCTCGGCACCGCTTTTCTCCACCCATGTAGCCACGTTCCATTGATGATGGGGGCTCGTACAAGGCATTCGCCCGGTGAGAGAGAGCTTGAGCGGAATAATTTGCCATTCCAGAGTGACACATGAATCATGAGTAGTTAGAGGTCTATTTTGGTTGGCTTTAGAAGTGCATGTTCAGCGGTAGGAACCACGACTGCACTCATCATCTCGTCAGGCAGTGAAAACTTGGCAATCAATGAACGGGAAAAAGCAGAACACGTTGCGTGAGCAGCCATTGTATTCAACAAGCGCAGTCGAAAGCCATGACTTAAGAGTCATTCGAAGCTGTAACTCCAGGTATCTTAACATCATCAATCATCAAAAACTCCCGGTTTACAACATTGTAATGGCGTTCAGGAATACAGCTTCTTGTCGTAGCTGTGAAGACCGTGGACGTTGCCCTCCGCCTGAGCGCTGACAGTCCGTAGCTCGAACCGAACAGTGCCGTCATTTACACCCTCGCGAAGAGCGACGAGGCTCTTGACGCCGATGTCTTGCATGGAGTGCTGAACACCAGCGATTAGATAGGGCACAAATTTGGTAACTGAGCCACGGTCAAGGACTGAGCCAGATACACCCTGAGCGACCAACAATCTGTCACCTTCGGAGAAGTAGCGGGCGGTACCGGCGTTGCTGGCCTTCGAGTTGGCTGCACCGGCTCCGGCCTTTTTGTCTTCCATGGCATCAATACTGCCCATGCCGCGGTAAGCCTTCACAAGCTTTCCATCGCGAACGAAGGAGAGACCTGGAGACTCCGTAGTGCCAGCCAAGAGACCCCCCATCATGACGGTAGAAGCACCCATGGCAAGGCCCTTGACAATGTGGCCCACGTTCTGAATGCCACCATCAGCAATACAGGGAACGCCGAACCGAGCAGCGAATGATGCTACAGCACGGACAGCAGTAGCTTGAGGACGGCCAACAGCCATGACTTCCTGCGTAATGCAAGCGCTGCCGCTGCCCATGCCAATTCTCAGGCCATCGGCACCAGCAGCAATCAGGGTAGCGGCTTGCTCTCGAGTCACAACATTTCCAGCAATGACATCAAGCCCAGGGTACGTCTCTTTGATGTATTTGACCATCCCAACCTGGTAGAGGCTGTTGCCCTGAGAGCTGTCGAGGATAACAACATCGAGCCCTGCATCAACCAGTTTCTGAAGCCTGGTCTTATCATCGGGTCTGGTGCCAATAGCGGCCGCAGCAATCAGCTGCTTAGAATGAGGCAGCTTCGAGGCGAGAGGATAATTGTGATTCTTCATCAGATCGGTTCGAGAAAGGAGAGACACCAAGTTACCATTGCTGTCAACAATTGGTAGCTTGCCTTTCTTGGACTGGCGGAGGACATCGTTGGCTTCGGCCAAGGTCGTACCGGCGGGGGCAGTGACGAGATCCTTCGACATGACTTCCGATACAGGTTCCTCCAGGTTGTCATGGAACTGAATATCACGGTTCGTGACAATGCCAATCAGCTTGGATCTAAGCTGGCCGTCCTCTGTGCCATATTTGTCAGCACCAGTCTTCGAGTCGAAAATTGCAAACGACATAGATCTTAGGTTTCCCTCAGACAGAAATCTCCATGAGTTCCCCATTGCAAGCTAATGCTGCGGATGAACGAAAGTTTAAAAGGGTAAATGAATTTGGACATCATTGGAAAGGTGGGGTTCAAGGGGACCAAGAAAGGCTCACCTGTAACGGGAAAGCCGCCAAAGCCGAGCTGATCTCGCAGAGCAACAGCTTCGGCGACAGTGGTCTTGGGAGAGAGACAGACGGGGTCGGAGATGAAACCGTTCTCGTATCTCTTGACTTTCCTGACCATATCCGCTTGGTCGTCTGCCGAACAGTTATGATGAATAACACCTAGACCGCCGAGCAAGGCCAAGTGAATGGCCATGTTGTCTTCGGTAACGGTGTCCATAGGGGAGGACAAAAGGGGCGTCTTCAGCGAGATTCGTTTGGTGACGGGGGAGTCGAGTGTCACATCGGAGGCGGCAAAGCCTAAAGTGGTGCGTTAGAGACGCGTCTCCCACAGAGTCCGTAGGCATTACCAATGTAGCCAGGAAGGACCAGAAAATCGTTGTAGGTGAGCGCTCCATTCTTGTTCGAGTCAAGCAGCTGGTCAATGTTCAAGCCATCACGAGACTCGTACTCCTTGAGGACTTCGATGGCCTTCTGGTGAGGGAGAATCTGTTGCTTAGAGAGCAGGGGAGCGCCGCCAAACATGGCGTCACCGTTGGTAATCGGCATTATAGCAAATCAATATGGTGTTCTGGTACACTTGATCTGAGCAGCGAACGTAATGTACAAAATGTTCGCCGGGGTCAAGAGCGAGGCTTGCCAAAGGAAAGAAAGGTTTCTTTGAATTTGTCGACCGCTCAGAGAAATTTTGTCTCGAACGCACGCGAGCGCCCCACCTAGGTTTTAAGGTGCATCTAACTCCTAGCGCGACAGGTCGGCGCTAAACGCTGCAGCCGCTTGGCTGCGGCAACGCCACGCCTTACCCCAATCGTGAGATTGTAAACACTGAACTCTGCCCCTCCGACCATGATGTCCTGCTGGTCAAATTTCATCAGGGCTCGCGCTTAGACCTCGCTTGGCTTGCAAGACATCAGTAGTCGATCATCTTCGAGTATCACACGCAAGTCTTCCACATCAGCGTGTCTACCTTGACGTTACTCCAATTATCCACTGAAGCCGCAACACCCACGTCCATTGTCGAAAGTCAACCTGCGGCCGCTTTCTGACCGTCAATGCACTCCTAGCCACTTGACTCCGACTATGCGACGCCTGCGACGCCGTTGCATTGCTGCTGACACCATCATTGCTCTCGACAACGGAAACGCGCTACCGTGATGTCGCAATACTCTCTCCGCAGAGGACAATCAGACCAGCCTCAGGCAATACCGTATCGTCAGTCCTCAGTGGCGTCCACTGCTTCCACTTTCTCGGCTGCATCGAGCATGTTCGGGCCAAGTCGTATGAGCACCGTGACCTCGACAACGTCTAGCGCATACTCGACCGGCAGCATTGGGCATAAGAGAGGGCAGAGTGAAGCAGCCATGGGCCCAATTAAGGATTATGGCGGTCACAGCAGTATCGAAAACAGCCCAGATCACTTCTACCGAAACGCTCGCCATTCACTCCGGCCATTACCACAAGCTCCAAATACCCCGTCTCCGCCCAACACGAAGCGAAAGAGCTCCTACCATGCCCGCGCCAACACTCTCGACCGGTTCCCGCAAACTCAATCAGAAGATCCCTTTCTGTCGCATATACATCTGAATAGTGTCTCCTCTCCACAATCACCACGACCTCGTCCTCAACATGCTATGAGTAGTCCACAGCAGCCCGCCTTCAAAGCGCCGGACTTTGAAGAGCTTCAGAAGTCGTCAACAAGCCATCTCCGAGCACTGTCAAAGTTTACTCGCGATGCGGACTCGGAAGAATATGGCATAACTAGGCCAGCTCCATCTGTCGTTGGCCTCACCAACAGAAGACAGCTCAAAAGGGTCGACTCAACCGTAGGTCACGCGCGGGCGAACAAGTTTGGCTTCGAGAGGAATTGGATGGATAAGCAACGACAATTCCTTCAGGCTTACGAGTATCTGTGCCACATCGGTGAGGCGAAAGAATGGATTGAGGACATCATCCACAAGTCTATACCTCCAATTGTTGAGCTGGAAGAGGCGCTTCGAAATGGCATTACCCTCGCCGAACTGGTACAGGTTTTCTACCCCGACCAACAGCTTAAAATTGTGCGGGACCCGAAGCTCAAGTTCAAGTACACCGACAATATCGTGCTCTTCTTCCGCTTCTGTGAGGAGATTGGCCTTCCCGAGCTCTTCCGATTTGAGCTCATCGATCTCTACGAGAAAAAGAACATTCCCAAAGTTATTTACTGTATCCACGCCCTCTCCTGGCTACTGTACAGAAAGGGAATGGTCGACTTCAGAATAGGTAATCTCGTTGGACAACTTGAGTTTGAGCACCATGAGCTTGAGCAGACTCAGCGAGGGCTTGACAGAGCTGGCGTGAGCATGCCCAGCTTTGCTGGTATGGGCGCCAGCTTTGGAGCAGAGCCTGAACCGGAGCCGGTTGAAACAGAGCAAGAACGAATCGACCGCGAATTGCATGAAGAAGAGGGAGCTGTTCTGGAGCTTCAGTCCCAGATTCGTGGAGCCTTGGTTCGCCTCCGTCTGGGCGATACGATGCAGTCTCTGTGGGACAATGAAGATGCCTTGATCCGTCTGCAGTCGCTGATTCGGGGCGACTGGGCGCGTCAGGTCACTGAGTACAGGCTGAATATGCAACGCTTCGCGACCGATCTACAGGCCGCCACTAGAGGCTTCCTTGCAAGGTCCAATCAACAGCGTAAAGAGCAGCTATGGAAGGCTCGGGAAAAGGATGTCGTCAGAATCCAGAATCTCATCCGGGGCCATCGGGCCCGAGTTGAGACCCAAAATATCAAGACGCAGGCACAGCAACATGTCCAGGGCGTCAAAGCTTTCCAGGCCGCTGTACGCGGCGCACTGGCTCGGAGGGACGCTCTCGATCAACAAGATGCGGTAAAGGAGTCGGAGGCAGATGTGCAGGCCCTGCAAGGAGTCGCTCGAGGTATGCTGCAGCGGCGCAGTTTGCAGAAGGACCAGGATCTTTTACGCCAGCAAGAGTCCAGAATTGGACGAGCGCAAGGATTGATCAGGGGCCTTCTCACGAGACAGTACCTGTCCAAGGAGCGGCAGTCTCTCCAGAAGTTCACTGCGCAATGGTCCAGCCTCCAGTCTGCTGTTCGTGGGCGTGCTGTTCGGCAGGAGATCTCAGAAGTCAAACGCGAGCTAGGGAGTCATCAGCCAGTGATCTCTCAAGTGCAAGCAGCCATCCGAGGTGCCAATACACGCGAGGATTACAATGCTTTGCGTCTCGATCTCTTGAGGCAGTCAAGCGCCGCGATCCCCTTCCAAGCAAAGATTCGTGGGTTTGTCCTTCGACACCGCATCAGGGAACAACGCAAGGCGCTGGATGAACATACCGGCACCATCGAGAAACTCCAAGCATTCTCACGAGCTTGCATTCTAAGGGCTCGAGTAGCTGATACACTGGCTGACCTTGAACTGAACGTTGACGAGGTCATAGAGCTTCAGTCTTTAACACGGGCTATGCTTTGCCGCCAGCACGTGGGTGACTTGCTCTCAGAGCTTGATGAGCACGACGAAGCTGTAGTCGAGTTACAGGCCTTGATCAGAGCAGGGGCCGTCAGGAAGCAATTTGCAGAGAAACAGAAATATTTCAAGGAAAACATGCAGAAAGTCATCAAGATTCAGAGCGTCGTCCGGGCCAAAATTCAAGGTCAAGCCTATAAGAGTCTGACCGCAGGAAAGAATCCGCCCGTGAACACTCTCAAGGGATTTGTTCATCTTCTCAATGACAGTGACTTTGATTTCGACGAGGAAATCGAGTTCGAGCGATTACGGAAGCTGGTCGTCCAACATGTGCGTCAAAACGAGCATGCCGATCAATATATCCAACAGCTCGACATCAAGATCGCGTTGCTAGTCAAAAACAAGATCACGTTGGACGAAGTCATCAAACACCAGAGGCATTTTGGTGGTCATGTCGGGACTCTCCTGCCAAATTCTGAAATGGCGTCGAAGGATCCTTCCGACCTCAAAGCACTTAACAAGACCTCGAGGCGCAAGCTGGAGCACTATCAAGATCTTTTCTTCCTGCTCCAGACACAACCTCAGTATCTCGCCCGTCTCTTCCGACGCATTCGTGAGCAGAACACATCTGAAAAGGAAGGTGAAAAGATCAAGCATGTGGTGATGGGCCTATTTGGGTATGCACAGAAGCGTCGTGAGGAGTACTACCTGACGAAGCTCATCGCACGGTCCGTCAAGGAGGAAGTTGACTCGTCAATGTCCCTACAGGATTACATCCGCACCAATGCATTCTGCTCGAAGCTCTTTGCTGCTTATGTCAAGTCGCCACGAGACCGAAAATACCTTCGCGATGCTATGGGTGCATTGGTCAAGGAGCATTTTCTGGACAATCCCCACCTAGACCTGGAAAGCGATCCCATGCAAATTTACCTCTCAGCTATCAACAACGAAGAACTTCGGACAGGTCATCGCAGTCAGCGAAATCCGAATGTCCCTAGAGAGGTTGCGCTGCGCGATGAGGAGACCCGGAAGACCTTCATCGCTCACATGGAGACTCTACGCGATATCACCGATCATTTCTTGCTCTGCTTGGAAGAGACTTTGCATCGAATGCCTTTCGGTGTTCGTCACATAGCACAACAGACCCACAACCACCTCATGGCTCGCTTTCCTGGCGAGGACCCTGGTCTAGTCCTCCAGCTAGTTGGACAATGGCTCTGGCGTAACTACCTTCAGCCTGCCCTACTTGAACCCGAAAAGTTTGGCGTTGCCGACCGTGCCATGACCCAGGAGCAGAAGCGAAATCTGAGTGAAGTATCCAAGGTCCTAAATCAAGCGGTACTAGGAAGGGAGTTTGGTGTGGACAACGTGTACATGCAGCCACTCAACAACCACGTTCGCGAGTACATCCAGCGATTCGGCGACCTCTGGAACCATGGTGAGTACATCTGAAGAAGTCGACGAACAATAGCTAATCTTCTATAGTGATCTCGATTCCCCCAGCTGAAGAGCATTACGACATCGACGAATTCAACGACCTGTACGCGAAGATAAAGCCGACACTGTACATCAAAATGTCTGACATTTTCTCCATTCACAAGCTGCTCACGTCCGAGATCAGTAGTGTCTCACCGAACCAAGACGATGTGCTACGCGAAATCATGCGGGAACTGGGTAGTGTCCAGAGCAGCGAGAGCGAGCTCAAAGTTGTAAGCACGGGTGAGATCAGTCTCACCTTGACGCCAAAGCTGCTCAACGCTGAAGATCCCGACGCTGAAGTGAAGGCACTTTGGACAGAGACAAAGAGATGCGTCTTGCACATAATCCGCATCCAGTCTGGTACAAGCTTGCTGGAGATTCTCGTCAAGCCAATCAATCCGGAAGACGAAGACAAATGGGAGGATCTTGTTCGGGATGAGCTCTCATCAAACAACAGCAGGGGCGCTTACGCAGACGCGCACAACATCCTCGATATCGCATCACTTAGCTACCCCGACCTCAAACGGATCGCACTCGAGAACGTTCTTGAACTGCAGCGCATCGGTCGTCTTTCCCAGCACAACAACTACCAAGACCTTCTCAACGCCATCGCAGTTGATATCCGGACCAAGCATCGCCGACGGGTGCAACGCCAACGCGAATTAGAAAATGTGAAGACCACCCTGGAGCGACTGAACGAACAAGCAGTGTATCTCGAAGGCCAGCTCAAGACGTACAACGACTACATTGAGCAGGCCATGGTGACACTGCAGAACAAGAAAGGAAAGAAGCGTTTCTTGTTGCCTTTCACCAAGCAGTGGGATCACGAGCGTGAGCTGCAGCGCTCCGGGCGTTCCTTCAAATTCGGCTCGTACAAGTACTCGGCTCGCAATCTTGCAGACAAGGGTGTCCTCGTACACTGGCGCGGTTACCAGGAGAGTCAGTGGGTCCGTGTCGACCTGACGATCTCCAGTAATGAAGTTGGCGTCTTCACCATCGATGGGAGTTCAGGCAACATGATGATTCCCGGAGCGAATGCGCAGGTACCGCTGGACGACCTGTTGCAAGCTCAGTTCAACAACACGCAATTCATGGAATTCTTCGAAGGTGGCGTGCTCAAGGTGAACGTCAACCTGTTCTTGCACTTGATAATGAAGAAGTTTTATAATGAATGAGAAACGAAAGACTCCCGCTTCTGGAGGGCTTGGGCAGTAGGGGAAAGTGTTGGGCGGGATATTTGGTAAGGCACGACGCTTTCCGGGTTTGCATAGCATCGGGGGCTGAGGCAGCCCTTCCAGGACATGAAGCATGAATTCTTTAACGCATGTACATACACACATCTGTTAGGCAATGGTTACTGTGTAGAAAAGCACAATTGATATTCCATCAAGCCAAGAATCGCGGCCACCTCCGACGAGTCCTGGTCTCACTTCCACAACTATATCGCCAATGACTGGGCTACTACCACGCAATTGGTCGCCACTCAGAGCATCATCGCAGAAGACAAAGATCGTTGGCAATTGCATACTCTGATCCTCTAGCCTCATGAAATCCTAGATCTGTCGATACTGCTTTCGCCATATCCGTCTGCACAGCAACTTGTTCCTGTCTTGTGCAGCGAAGGTTCAAGACGACAGCAAAAACCGGCCACCACGAACGGTCTTCACCCGCCTTGACCTTCTAGTCGTGCATTTCACTGTGTCACAGACCTCGAAAATAGGGCTTCTAGATTCAAAGTCTTCTTGTACAGCGCCTGCCCGGTCCTGCAGACTAGCACGTTGGTCTACAATTCGCCACAGGCGCTTCACTTCAGCACCCGGGCCACCTCCGCCCTCGGATTCCTGCACGTTGAGGGTCTCTATGCCATATCCACTCTGATAAGCGACATCCCGACGACATTGTAGTCTTCATTTACAGACTAGCTTCAGGCTCACTATCGCACAACCAACATGACCAGCTCGGCACCAACGCCGCCACGAGTCGGCGTCGGCCTCTTCCTCTTCCCACCTCCCACCCACTCCAACGCCAACCACTTTCTCCTCGGCGAACGCCTCGGCTCCCTCGGCGCCAACACGTTTGCTCTGCCCGGCGGACATCTCGAGTTCGGTGAGTCGTTCGAGGAGTGCGCGGCGCGGGAGGCGGAGGAGGAGACGGGCCTCAAGGTGCGGGACCTACGATTCTTGACCGCCACCAATAGTGTTATGGATGGTGGAAAGCATTATGTCACGGTGTTCATGGTCGGGGTCGTGGACGAGGAGGGGGGAAGAAAAGCGGAACCAGAAACGAGGGAGAGGGACAAGTGTGCGGGGTGGGAGTGGGTGAGGTGGGAGGATGTCGTGGGATGGGCGAGCAAGGGGGCCGGCGGTGAGGACGGTGGAAGACGACTGTTTCAGCCCATGAGGGATTTGGTGGAGCAGAGAAGTGAGACCACGCCGCGACCGTCAGTTGTGGTGAGCGGTTAGAAGCCAAGAGAACGTAAGCCGGCGGCGGCGAGATAAGTGGCAAGTCCAACTCGAAGGCGACACGATCCGTGCAGCGTGGAGCGGCGAGATCAGTTCCTCTTCCGCGAGTGCTGCGGCATCAAATCGTCAGGGATTCATTGCTTTAGCAAACGGCGCATTGGTGGTGAGTATAACCACGCGGCTGTCGCCGAGTTGACACGGTCCAGATCGTGCGAAAAGCCCAAAACTGTGGACACCGGTTTGAAGCCGGCGGAGTCTTCTCACGGCGATGTTAGCAGTGTAATTCTTTTGGAGGTAGGCGGACCGCCGGACAAATAAAGGTAGAGCCTCGGCCTAGATCTAATTAGCATATTGCTCTTTACGCGATTGCTGCACGTTGGACAGTCTCGACCGTCATGTGAGGGAAACATATAACAGAAACGATTCCATAGCAGGTACACAAGGAGGGGCGCAGCATTGATGTGGTCGTGTGAGCACCTGTCTTGCTTCAAAGGCCGCTGGCGCAAGCTACGGGGTGGACCGTGTCCGCTCGTCCAGCCTCTAGTCTGGGTGGGCACGTATGGAGTGATGCGCAAATAGTTCACCTCACGCACTCGCAGCAGAGATGCGTAGGTACAGGGTTGGCTGTGATGCTCACGTCGTGCGTCCATGCATTCAAGACGCCTTTGGCTTCTGATTGGGCGTCAGCATCCACTGCCTGAGTGGCGGCGTGTCCTCATGGCAGCGAGGAAAAAAGGGTTGCAGTATATACTAGTGGCCGACCTTTGAACGGCTACCGGTGGAGGCAACGTCCCCAACGAGCGCCGAGAGGCGAACCCGCGCAAAGGAAGTCCTGCCGTTCTAAGCTTTGTAGGGCTTGGGAACCGGGTGCCCGGACCGGCTTCTTTGCCCACGGTGCAGCTGCCAACACGACTTGATGCAGTAGCTACGAACTATCATGAACAACGAGCAGCGTCTGGCGTAGGTTGGCACATGGATCGTGATGAGCTGCTGGTATCGATCAAGTCCCATCTCCAAGGAAGTATGTACCGACAGCCGCCTGACGTCGCGAGCCATCATCCACGAGGGATTCTACCGAGTAGCCGTGCCTGAGGCTGATGAGATCCACTGCCAATTTGCGGCTCCAGCGCGATGACACGGGCTTGATCCACTGATCGCTTGAACTGGGTGAAGTCAATTCTCGGGCAAGTCTGAAAATGTTATGGGTGTGTCGCACGCTCGCATGCTGCAGTCGCACACAGCCGAGAACTAATCGAACGTCTATCAAGCGATTATTCAGCGACCATGACAGATATGCAGCCGGGCTGTCAAATGTTCTACGTTCAGCCCGCAAAGGTATTGCTGCGCATGAATTCCATCGTGGCAGCTGTGCTTGGAACCAGCGTACTGCCACTACGCGCATTTCGGATCCTAGCGGGGGCGAATCAGCCCCCGAGCCTTGCACGGAGTCAGGTTGGGATCTCGCCACCTAAAGGAGCCTTAGTGCCCTTGGCCGGCTTAAGAAGGGTCTTTAGCGATGCTCTGGTTGGCCACACATTTCCTTATCAGCAACCCTTGACTGGCGCTGCTCCGGGACCCTAGTCTGGGCCAGTGGCTTCTCTGGCACATGTGTGTCGCCGCTTCGACACTACCGTCGCAGTGTCGCATGCTCAGCGCTCACAGACTAAACCCTCGTCAACGGCCTTCATATCTCAACCCCCCGCCCTCCATATCCCGCCCTGATCTTTTTGCTCACACCCCACGGATCTTTATCATCTCCTCTCTTCTCTATAAGCCTCAATTTTAGCTTATCTCACCAGCCTATTAGCTTGTCATTGTGAGCCACTGGCGCTCGTCTGGCTGACCGGTACAAGCAAACGCATGTGCTTAATCCCGCGTCTTCCACACCGCAGCCTCGCCCCTCCCTAGCACAGGACCATACAGTATATGACTACGCGAACGCCATGACGACAATGGCATCCAACTATCCGGCGCAGTCCTATCCTATCCCAGACAATGTGCAGACTCAGTATGCCTACCAGCAACCGTCGCCGGCCAACTCTGCTTCTCCTACTTCTCCACGTATGAACGAGTATATGCAGCCACAACCTCCGAACCCGTTCAAGCAGCTGCGACCGCTGAAGTCACCCCTGTACGTGCCCGCCGTACTCAGACCGACCGAGCACTTTTCTACACCTTCGACTCCGCCCAAGAGTCAGCATGGATCCCTCGACAGCCTACCGGAGGCCGAGGTCGGTGCTGCAGTCAGAGCCGCTCAAATGAAGCTGGATCTAGAGGCTATGGATCACCAGTGGGCCAACGATGAAGAGCTGGGAGAAGTGACCGGTCCCCCTACACGAGAGCACTGGAAGCCGGATGTGGCATCCCCAACCTGCGACTCTGCGCAATGCCGCTCCAATTTCAACCTCTTTGTCCGCAAGCACCACTGCCGACACTGCGGGCATATCTTCTGCTCTTCGCATGTGCCACACACTATTCCCCTGGATCAGGAAGCCAAGTTCCACCCAGATGGTATTGAGTCCAAGGCTTGCGATACATGCTACCGCCAGTACCAGAAATGGGACACTGCGCGCTCACTCAGACGCAAGAACAGTGATGGCAGCAGAGACGATGACAACCAGAGTGGGCCACCCACGCCACTTGCGGGCAGCCATCGCCGCATGGTCTCTGGTGCACGTCGGGCAGAGCACTCAGAGCAACCGGCCAACAGTGTACCACGAGACTGGAACTGGAGCACATTCTGATCGCCCATCGGCGGGCTAATGTGCCGTAGATCTGATTGTGAGGCAATGTGGCCCATGTTTGGCAGCTATGAGTCAGCAGGAATATGTGGCAATCTGAGCCCGGGTATCGACGGGTGTAACAAATGCATGCCGGAAACCCGAAACAGATGGACATCACACGTCTCGGACAGATGAATAAGGCAAATATCACCGCCATCCTGGCAGGAGGCGGCCCGCCAAGCGGCAATGTCTATCAGCCTAGGATCAACGCCCACTCTTCTCACGAAGTGAGCTAGGGCTCGGGCTCGATGAATGACTTGGGAAGGGAGATATCACTGCACTTAGCACGTGCCGTGCTACTGGACTCAAAGTGGTATTCACGAGAAGATGAGCAAAGATCATGGGCCAGGTCCAGAGGCTGGGGTATATGACATTGGGGTTGCGACCGGTTTGCGAGAGATCCTCGCAGGAGCGATGTTGAATTTCCACCGCCGCATGACTACGGCAGGTGGCAAGGCGTTTGATTTGCATGGTGTTATGGTTGGTCTTACGATATCCCAGGACGAGGCAGTCGTGCTTTTAGACGCGTTTTAGATGCCCGTGTACGAATACCCTAGAAGCATAGATGTAGAAAGGAACTCAGGTTGAACTTTATGATCAGCTCATTTCTGCGCCTGTTTCTGCAGCCGTGCATATGTGACCGAGTCCAAGAATGGCTCTGATGCTGAACTCGAGTCAAAGATGGTCACTGTCGCTCGTCAGTCACAGCTCAACGCTGCTGATCACAAGGCGTGGGAGCGGCCGAGCTATTACCTCGTTCTTCTTGAGTTGAGGCATTTCCAAACTTGAGTCGCGCATTGACGGGCCTGGAGTCAGGCTCCTTGCATTTGAACGGCACTTTCAATAGAGATCTGGATTCTTTTTCAGTCATAGTGCTGCATTCCAACATCTGAGCTGAGCCTGTAGGCAGGTAATGATGAGGCTCCCAGCCCCTCAGTCAAGGCAGTGAGTGACTCGGCAAGCCCCGCTCCCCGCAGGCTCCCTTAAGGAAGCAGGTTTGCCGACGCAACCTCGACCTGCCCGCTCGACTCTTTCCAAGTGTCAGGCTGAGCATTGGCCGTACTCCAGACCTCCGACTATCGGCGTTACAGCACCCCATTAATACTTCGGGCTCATTGGCAAGCTGGCTGCTACACAAAGACCTGACGAGGCCGTACCTGGTCTCCCCCAGGTTCTGGGAAGCCCAACTGGGAGTCGCAAGCGCAATGCCTCCATTGCCGGCTTCGATGAGAGTTCTCCCAGTATTGAGTCACCCGACCCCCAGCTCGGCGAAGATGCACAGGGAAGGAAGAGGCCCATAAAGCGGGCTTGCAACGAATGCAGGCAGCAAAAGGTACGCCCGATACCCAGCTTGTTATCGTACGGCGACAATGACTCATTGCACTCAATCGAACGCTTCCATGCAGACCATGGCCGAACCGTTGCTAATAGGTCCTGTAGCTTCGTTGCGATGTCGTCCAGGACCCTTTCCAGACATGCTCGCGCTGCCGGCGGCTGAACCTCGAATGCAAGATCGAAGACAACTTCAAGCGCATAGGCAAGCGCTCTCGCAATGCGGAGATGGAGCGTGAGATCGTGGAATTAAGGAACAAGGTTGAAGAACAAAACAAGCTTCTAGCACAGACCAACGGTGTACACCAGCTCAATGGCACTCTCAATGCGCAGAGCAATGCCTACGCTGCCGACGCTGCCGCTGGCCTACTGGATCTGAGAAGCGGACTAGACAAGAGTCCGGGTCGAGGGCAGGGATACAAGAGGCTCGAAGATGTCACCCTCGCTCCCGAACGGATACGAGACTTGCATCAACGCTTCTTCAGCTTCTACCACCCCTTTTTGCCTTTCCTGAACCCCGAAAGGACCCCAGACGAGTACTTTCATCGATCACCGTTACTGTTCTGGACCATCATGGCCGTTGGCGCGCGACACTATAACCCCGACCAGGGTCTGTTCCAGACACTCAGTGGACCTTTGATGCGATTAGTATGGCAGACTGTCGGCGAGGTGCCACAGAATTATCATGTGGTGAAAGCACTGATTTTGTTGTGTGCTTGGCCAATGCCCACTAGCAGCACATCCACGGATCCCACATGGATGCTCTGTGGCCTGATGATGCAGATTGCTGTTCAGATTGGACTGCATCGCCCGAGCCACGCCCAAGACTTTTCCAAGTTCCGAATCGAGCTTCGAGAGGTCGAGTTACAAGACCGAGTTGTGGTATGGAGCGTGTGTAATATCGTGGCACAGCGCATCTGCACCGTATATGGTCATCCCCCTCTCACCATCTACGACTGGACCCTCGGACCAAAGCCCATCGAGAGCAATCCAAATTACGAGCTACCAGCTCCAGTGCTCAACCGGCTATTGATCGAGAAGTTTGTAGACAAGGTCTCGAAGCACCTGTATATGAACGCCAATGATCCAGTCGGGTTAGCTCCCGACAAAGACCGACACACCTATGTGTCGTTGCTTTCGGACCAGCTGGCACACCTCGAGGACGACTTGCGAAAGGACAGCAGCCCGATCACCAAGATCTATCTCAAGGCAGCCGTTCTGCACATGAGGTTGAGCGCTTTCTTCTCACCCCCTTCGCTGCCGTCATATCGCGCGGATTTACTGCAGCTGTACAATGCCACCACCGAATTTTTGGACGCGTGTCTGAGCCTCGAAAATGAGAGCAGTGTGAGTCTGCCTTCGACCTACACCCATGGGCTCTCCTTGTCCTATGGAACAAACTATATTTTCCACATGATGCTTGCCGCAGGGTTTTCGTTACTCAAACTGATGCACAACTTCTTGAGCGAGCATGAGATGGACACTCAGGGTGCCTCGACTCTATTGCGACGAACTATCTGGGCTCTGAGGAGTATGAGCGCGATAGACAACGACTTGGCGGAGAGATTGGCCGAGGTGCTTCACCAAGTGTGGAAGAGCGGCCGTGTTCGCGCAGAGCCTAGCCATAACATTGGCGATCAAAGTTACGACGATAGTCTGCAGTTGAAAGTCAAGTGCCGAATGTCAATGTCGCTGGTGTTTGATTCAGTCTGGCGCTGGCGCAAAAACTTCCATTTCCAGGGTGGAAAGCCATCTGAAGGTAGGTTCTGTGGAAAATACCTCACGCTTCTTCGTTTACTGACCCTCACTGTAGTCCGACGCCAGGATCCAGCACTTCAAGTCGAGACCAGACCCGCTTCGCGAGTCGAGATGCGTGAAGCTAAGTCTGATATGCAAGCACACGACCCGGCTATATCTGCGCCCATGGTTCCAGGAATGGCAGGAATGTCAACCGGCATGCTTGACGACTTCAGCACAGACTATGGCGCAGCGGCCAACTACGAGGTGTTTGATCCTTTGAACTGGATGCTGGATGGGATCGTGGACTTTCCGTACAATTTCAACAATGGTGGTCAGGGTTTGGATTTGGGCCCGGGAATGTAGAACTATCCGGCCGCAGATTCGCTTGAGGAGTGGTCCGAATGATCCATGGGTCATTCGATTACGGATAAGGACAGCTGGGACTTACCTGGGTAGTCGTGTGCCATTATTCCATTTATTGAATGGAATTGCAGCGAGTCATACGGATGAAGTGGCGCATAGATGCATACCTCGCGAGGCTGGAGTAGAAGGGTGGTTTCGGGAATTGGGGAATTGATGAGCGATGAGCAGCAACCATTAGGCACGTACGGAATGATATATACACCCCTTTGATCATCCTGGTCCGGACATTCCATCCTGCATCCGAGCGCGGACTTGAGGTGCATTGGAGCGCCTTGGCGTTTGGGTCCGGTGAGGCGAGGACTGAGAATCCCAGCCATCCGGATCTCATTCGCCAACGTTGCTCTCCTCCGCTACCTCTTCATAGCGCTTCACATCAGCATCGCAAGCTGTTTGCAGACGACTAGTAGTATTCCTGTTGTATGTTCTTAGCGACTTCTCGACCTTCTGGAGCGACACGCGACAGCTGTTGGCACTCTACGTCTCAGCCCCTTCGTTGCGACAGCCTGGGCCCCAGGTGTACAACCCACCAACATCCGGAAGTCTCCCTTCACCACCCCTGCTCGTCTCCTTGTCCCATTCCACGCCCCTTCGTCCTGTCGCTATCGGTCAAAGGTCCTGTCGATATATTCGAACTGCTACCCTGACTTTGTAACGTTGGAACCGATTTGCTCGACTCTAATATCTCTTAAGCCACCCGTTACGCTCTTCCTCTCCCTCGCCTACGCGGCCGATAGTGTCACAGTTGTGTCGCCGAGCATCAGCAGAACGATGAATTAGTGCGAAAATATTGCTTGAAGCGCTGTCTTCTTCCAGAAGGTCCATACTATGGCAAGAACAGCAGAATACATTATTCACGGCCCATCCGTGATGGACAGTTTCGAAGCGCATCCTGTTAATAAATCTCCACCAATCCGTCGCGAGTCCAAGCGAGTTCCCTCAGACCTGAGGGAACTGTACCGAACGTCGGCTGATGGTTATGATGAGCCTACACTCGTATATCTGAAGTCATTGTCGAACGGTCTGCCAACGACACCCAATCTGCCACCCACGCCACCTACGGCAAACGGCGAGTCTGCCGAGACTGTGCCTCTCGAGCCGTCCCCTGATGCTGGGCTGTGTCGATCGAAGCCAGTGACCCCTATCAATCAGAACAGTCCTCCCACGCCGGACATCACACCTCCTGCGGAGCTCAAGCGGCCCGTACCGAGACCGTTCCTTGGAACCCAACCTTCTTTGACTTCAACTCGTGCCGAGTCGTTCAAAACCGCAAGAGAGGACATAGTCTCCGACGATGATTCGACTACTCATGTTGCGGATTATCCGACGCCCCGAACTCGAAGGTTGCCGGCACTGGACCTCGGTGGATTATACCCAAGCCCTGAGAAGATAGCAGTAGCTGCATCACCAATACCAAGCCGCCTCAGGCTAGCGCTGCCGATGGGCAAGGACGAAGAACAGGCCGAAGTGTTTGTGGACAACCCATCGACAGCTCATGCAACAGCAATTCCCCAGGAGGCAGGCATTCGACACGAAACAAAGGGCGAAACTGTAAGAAAGCCAAGAGATCATACACCGAGTCCTTCCCGCGACACTGCCCCGAAGCATTCGTTGCTCAAGGACGAAAAGCGGTCGCCGGCGCCGGACGAAAGTCGAATTAAAGTCGAGAAAGTGCGCAGAGGCCCTAGTCTGAGGGATCGGCTGAAGGCTGTGGATAAGGAGTCTCCTTCTGCTTCAACAGAGAAGTTCGCGAGCATTATTGGTTGGAGCAGCGCAGTCGCCCACGAGCAGCCTACAGAGAAGCGAAATTCTGCAGCATCAACAACTTCTACGATTGGTGCCCTGGTGCTCGAAACGACACCATCACCCAAGAAACGAGGAACGCTTCGCAAGATAACAAAACAGGACTCTCTGCGATCCGCCAGCTCACCCTTACCTGCTTCTCAGACGCTGAGTGTTGACTCGGCACATCGACTGATTCACAAGAAAGCCAGACTGAGCAACGAGAATCGTTGGAGCTTTGGCTCAGAGGTTGCTAGATCACATAGCCTGTCGTCTAGCATCGTCCAGCCAAAGGTCGAGATCATCAAGGTCGCTGTCATCCCTGAACGTACTTCATCCCTGCGCAGTTCTTCTAACCCAAGCAGTAAGAGACACTCGCTCTCTGGCAGCTCGGGCAGAACACATTCAAAGAAAGCGCCGGACAACAAGCCTCCTACTTCATGGCAACGCAAGAGAACGCTCTCAGAATCGCAGTCCGATCGTGGAAGAGGCGAGCAGCCTAAGGTGGTAGTACCACCCAGGAGCTCGTCGCTGTCAGCGCCTACGTCTCGTACTACGTCTCGTGCCAATTCGATAACCTCTGAGAAGTTCAGAAGACAGCGAAAAGAGGCCGAAACTGAATTGCGACGGACACTGGATCGCATGGAATCAGATCGTCTGATCTCGTCACTCCGAAGCCTGTCAAATGAACGAGGCCCAGATGAGACGCCCTCAAAGCCTCCCCGACGATCGGCTTCATCCTCTCAGCCGGATCCAAGTCTGCTCCAGCCGACGCCAGGAACGTCTGAGTGGGCGGCCCTTCGTCCACCGTCGATTTTAGAGACCCCTTTTTCTCAGCCATCTTACAAGTCTGCCTCGCCCGAACTGCGTGACGCCACGGCAGTTAACTTCTTCCCTCACAACAATCACTCGTTGCAGCTTATAGAGCCAAACATCACGAGCGAGTCACGCGCAGTCAAGGAAGTACGCAAACAGCATTACATTAAGGATGCTGATGCTTTGTCAACTCGAAGTCCGTTGCGAAACCCTCGAGAGGCACCGCAGCCACCAGCACTAAATATCATACCTGCTACGCCAAACACGGAGACAGATGCTAATGAGTTCAAGCCGAGCGCGGTGTCGAAGCGGCCAAGCCAACGGCGCAGGTCTGAAAGTTTCGTGCAGGCCTTGACACGTGGGCTCAGTGTTCGCAACCCACAAAACCGCAAGAAAGGTCAGCAACTAGATGGCTCTTCGCATCCGTTCTGGCGACCACAAGGCTTCTGGGACAGCTTCGAGGATCCGCACCCGAAACCAGGCGAGGAGCAAGACATGCAAGTGCACAATTCACTCGGTTTGCCTCAGGAGCGAACCGTCATCAGGGGGCCAGTGAGTCTAGTGAGGCGGATCTCGCAACGCCGAAGAGAGAATCAGCTTCGGATGCTGGCGAAGCAAGGGAGCTCTAACAGTCTGGCCAAGATTCGGGCGAGCCACCAGCTATACAAGACATCGATACTGGGTATCAATATGCCCTTCAGCCGGTTTGTCAATATGCGGGACCGGGTACTTTTTGCAAAACAACGAAAGGAGGACGAAAGGCGGGAACGACGGAGGCAAGATATTAGAGACAGGATTGGCAAAGAGGTTGTACGGCAGGGTGACAGTCGATTTTTGAGGAGTCAGGATAGCATGAGAGCGATACGTGTTGGGCCATGAGCAGACGACCAGCGCAGCGCGATGTCTATTCTGCCGAAAGGAGATTCTTATTGGATCTCTGCTTGTTACAATCAGCTAACGGCGAATAAGAGGAGAAATGATGCCTGGGGCGGGACGCCAGGATAGTGGAAGTAATTGGAGGAAGACCACACCAGGATACCAATATGTCTTGATGACATGACGACTACGCGACCACAGAAACGACTTGACGAGAATAGACGGCCACGAAATAACAAGACCATCAACCGGCATACGAGAAAATGAAACGTTGAACGTTTTCATGAGATTACGACCGAAAGTACTGTACTACATACAAGGAGTTGTTGGGCTTTGAATATCTGCTGGTTTTTGACCAGTCTTTGAGCGCGCAATCAGATCCAATCGTTTAGGATATATAAGCTATTGAACATTGATCGCTGGCCGCTGCCTTCTCTCAGCTTGGTGATTCTGGTTCTACCTTGACTGCGGATATCTTATCCCGTGCTATCAATATAAACTCAAGCTTCAGAGCGGGTTGTGTGGTGATCCGAGATCCCGTCTGAGTTCCGAGCGTTATCAAGACCCCTAATCCCTAATGCGCCCCACGTGGCCGCCCCCCGACGTCACCGAACGCCATAAGCCAAATTTTGGGGCTTAACTCCCTGCTGACTTCTTCAAGACAACAGCGATACAGTCAATAATTTTCGGCAAGATACACTCAGCTCATACACAATTCCTTTGGACGCGCACGGGCTTTTCATCGAGACCCCACCGAGAGCATCTACAACGCAACCCACAAACTCACACCACCTGCCATGGGCAGCCACACCAACGACGGCGATGATGGGCAAAGCCGGCAAAGCTGCTGGAAAGTCGACCTCCAGTCCATCAAAACCGACATGGTCAACCTCGCCAAACAAGCAGGTGAGATGATCACGACCGCGACCGCCTCGGCAGCCACAGCAGTCGACACCAAGAAGAATTCTGCCGACCTTGTCACCGAGACAGATGCGGCGGTCGAGAAGTTCATCTCTACCCATCTCATGGTGAAGTACCCAACGTTCCAATTCTTGGGCGAGGAGACCTACGTAAGTCCCCCCTGCTACTGTGAGCGCACCAAAAATCATTAACAAGATTTTCCAGAAACCGGGCATGAAACTGGGCAAGGAGCCAACGTTTGTGGTAGACCCCATTGACGGGACGACGAACTTTGTGCACCGGTACCCATATGTGAGTATCAGTCTCGGCTTCGCGGTCGACCGGATCCCCTGTGTTGGTGTGGTCTTCAATCCATTCACGCAGAAGCTGTACTGGGGCGTCAAGGGCGAGGGCAGTTACATCGTGGACGTGCAGACGGGCGAGGAGAAGCGTTTGCCCGTGAAGCAGGAGAAGGAAGAATTCAAGGGCCTCGACGGAACGCTGGTCGCGATCGAGTGGGGCAGCGATCGGAGCGGCGCCAACTGGAAGTGCAAGACGGAGACGTGGGCGAAGCTCGGGGCTAGCAAGGAGGAGGGTGGCGCGATGGTGCACAGTGCAAGGGCCCTGGGGAGCGCAGCGTTGAATCTGTGTGCGGTGGCAGAGGGCACACTTGACCTGTATTGGGAAGGCGGCTGTTGGGCGTGGGACGTGTGTGCTGGATGGGTCATCCTGAAGGAAGCAGGTGGGACCATCGTCAGTGGCAATCCAGGCGAGTGGGAGATCCCAGTTGATCACAGAAAGTACCTGGCTGTGAGAGCCGCGAAAGCTGGACAGAAGGAGATTGTGGAGGAGTTTTGGGGCTTCGTACAGGGTACTATGGAGTATGAGAGTTGATGGCATACGCGCGAGCGGAGCATCTGCATTGGGGTCCATAAATATAGACAGGCATCAGCGGCGTTGCTCAATCTCTGGTATCGTCTGCATTACAGAGAAGATGAGCAGTATGTCTCACTATCTTTCCAGCTAACAGTGCCTGTATTTTCAGGCAGTAAAAGCGGAGGTAGAGCTCTCCAAACTCCGGGAGCAGCTGTACGTTTCCGCAGTTCAGTACAATTCACTGCGGAAAGATCAACCATATCCTAGCTCAGTCGCTCATTTCGACAATATCTGGCGGCGACCTTCGGAATGTCATGTCGATACGGACGTGCATCATGGCCGTCGACCAAACACATCTTCGCCCCGCGACTCAATGGCATTCGCGGTAGCCGCACGCCCCCAACTCCCTCGGTCTGCGGACGGAGCGCTCGCTATATTCACCACGACTTGCACACGATACAAGAGCGGATACCCAATTCGAAGCTGCTCGAGTCTACTGGACCAGACGAAGCTCGAGAGCAAGTGAGGATCCAGGGCCTTGTGCGCAGCATCAGAAAACAGAAAAGGCATGCGTTTGCGCATATCGCAGACGGCACAACGTACGAGCCTGTCCAAGCGCTCATCAGGCCTGACAAGGCGCAGGGGTACTCAGACCTCAGTCCTTCATCAGAGAAAATATGCTAAAGAGAAGCATAGCATCCAACCTGGCTCTTACATAGACTTTGTCGGCAGATGGCAACCATCGCCGTCGAAAGGCCAGTCGCATGAGTTACAGGTCGAGAACGTACTTTACCAGGGCAATTCGAATGCAGAGGTACGTTCCCCGCGGGATAGGCAGCCCCAAATTGATGTAAATTGGTGCAGGAGAATCCTATCCAGCCAAAAGACACGAGCTACGACTTCCTACGGACGATTCCACATTTACGCATGCGAACAAGCTGGCAAAATCTCATCCTTCGCACCCGCAGCCACCTCACTCGCGCTGTGAGTGATTATTTTGAGGACGTGTGCTCGGACCCTGCGGTGCAAGTCCATCCCCCGCTCATTACGTCCTCCGACTGCGAAGGCGCCGGCGAAGTATTCACAGTTGTGCCCCAGAATGGGAGCATACCTCCTCTCAAAAGAACCGGAGCACCAGGCGTACGGCCCGAGATACAGCATTTCTTCGGCGAGCCGAAATACCTCACCGTCTCGTCGCAGCTGCATCTTGAAGCCTTCTCGGCCGAACTAGGTAACGTCTGGGCTCTGTCACCCACTTTCCGCGCTGAGCAGTCTGATACTGTGCGCCACCTTGCCGAATTTTATATGTTAGAGGCTGAATTCCGGGGCACCATAGCCCTCTCGGCGGTCATCGACCATGCCGAAGCTCTGATCCGCTATCTGGCTGAACGACTGGCAAATTCGAGGATTGGGTCCGAGCACATGAACAGCTACGCGGGAGCTCACACGAGTAGACAGAACCCCGAGTCCCGCTGGGCAAGACTCATAGCTGGACCGTGGCCGCGTATCACCTACCGCGACGCCATCATTGAACTCTGCGATGCGCAAGCCAAAGGACACGATTTCGCAATCAGGCCCGGCTGGGACGCGGGCCTCGCCCTTGAGCACGAGCGGTTTCTGGTCGCGAACGTTTTCGACAACCAGCCTGTCATCGTCACGAACTATCCCGAGGAGCAGAAGCCCTTCTACATGTCTCGGGGCATGGATATGCTGCCCGGTGACGTCGTTGATGTGGCGAAAGGATCCACCGAGCGGGTCGAGACGGCCGCATGCTTTGACATCTTGTTGCCGGACGGCTACGCGGAGGTGTGCGGCGGCTCACTACGCGAGCACAACCTTGAGAAGCTTCTCCAGAAGATGCGACTGCGAGGTATGCTGGATCAAACGAACCACTCTGGCGAAGCTGGGCAGTATCCGGGACTACTGGAAGGAGAGTCGCTAGGGCCGATGAAGTGGTACGCCGATCTGAGGCGTTTCGGCAGTAGTCCGCACGGCGGGTTTGGCATTGGGTGGGACAGACTGCTGGCATATCTGTGCTGTGTGGCGAATGTAAGGGACGTGGTTGCCTTTCCTAGAGCATGGGGCCGGGCTGACTGCTGACGAGAGGTTTGGCACAAGGAGTGGTAAAAAAAGTGTACAATATATGTCTGGCCGTTGATACAAACATTCGCGGCGCTGCGGCAGGGAAAGAGAAGGAATGATACCCAGCTTAGAGTCTCGAATCCAAAGAAGCAGCACTATTAAGTGCCACGCTACCGTCATGACCGACCGTGCAGAGCCATAGGGAACTGGCCTGAAGCATGTAAGCCGGAACGTCCGTTCTTCCTATTCTCGCCCTCGCGCCCCCTCCTCCATCAAGACTTCTGCTCCCCCCCC